CGAAGCTTGACCCGGATGACCCGTTTGACCCGGAAGAAAGATTTCTTGATTTTCTCTGCCAAACTCTTCTTTCTGCAGAATTGGTAGCTTCTCAGGAACAGTTGCCTCTTTTCCATGTCTGTGTACCCCATCTCACTCCTAAATATTGGACCATATTGATTCACAGCCATATATATATATATAGATACAGAGAGAGAAACAGAGTTTTGAGAGAGAGAAACAGAGAGATTGTGTAAGGAGGAGAAGGGAGTAAAGGGTTGAAGTCTCTCCCAGAGAGAGATATTGTGCAAGAAGGAGACGGCAGTAAAGGGTAATTGAGACTTTGAAATCTCTCCCACAGAGAGAGAGGGGGAGAGATTGTGTAAGAAGGAGAAGAGAGTAAAGGGGGTTTATAAAAGAGTGGTTGTTTTGAGACTTTGAAATCTCTCTCTCTCTCTCTCTCTCTCTTAATTTCTCTCACTAGGACAAGTAGCCACTGCGCCCGCCGTCGTGGTAGAATCAAAGGAGTCGGATTTTCTCACTCTAGATATATATATATATATATATATGACAGCATTTTATAAGTACTTGTGTTATGTGGGTTGATAGAAGTGAAAATGGATGGGTTTGCTTTGATGGGCGGTCACGTGACTTTTATGGTTTTTCATTATCTGTTTTTCTTTCTTTTTTTTTCTGGTTCTCTCTTCCAGATGGTTGGGACACGGAATAATCTCCACGTCACTTACTTTGACTTTCTTTTTCTGTCCTCAATTTGATTGTGAAGCTGTTGTGGAATTTTGTTTCGATTTTATATATATATATATATATATTTATAAAAAGAATCTGATACCAAAATCATTTTCGAATAAGAACCAAATTTAAACGCTATCCAAATTGAAACAAAATTCCACAACAGCTTCACAATATATTTCCAGATCACAATTTCCTTTTTAGGACTCTCTGTAATTTGGATGGCTTATACACATTACACACCCATCCAAGTGAGGAGAGGAAAGAAAATGTTAAAGGGCATTTTTGTCTTATTAATTTTTTTAATATTTCATAATAATAAAAAATATTTAATGAATTAATGTATAATTTTAAAAATCCTAACCAATTAAAAGTGTGACACTGCAACTATTTGGGGCTTGGATTATAATTTGAGGAACAATGAAAGTTGCAGTTTAAAAAATGAGAAAGGGATATGATTTGGTGGGCTGAAATTTGTGACCTTTTACTTTTAGCATAGCAAAAATTTTGCCTGATTTTGAGTAGGTTTTATGTCTAATCACATAAATTTTTGTGTTCATTAGTGTGTTTATTTTTCTACCACATTTTTTCACTGTGCTGTTGATCGTGTCAATTGTAGAAACAATAATTGACATAAAACAAAATGACATGATTGGAACAGTTTTCTTCTGTTTTCGTGAATCTGATGAATGTATATTTATATATATATATATAGGTTTAGTTGACTGTGTTTTTCTGAAATTTATCATCTGCAAACTAAGTTTATACCAAATAAATAAATAAATAAGTTTAATTTTTTATAATTGTCTAGAAACCCAAGTCAAAGAAGGTAAATTTTAGACAATAGTATGTTATAATTGTCAAAAACTTTTATTTTAAGTTAGAATTTTTAAAAATGCATTTAGAAAACTGAATCAAATAGAACGTATTTACTTTTACCATACTAATTATAGGAAATGCAATTTTGCTCCGTGTACAGTTGCATGAATTTTGGAATTAGAATTGGGGGAATTTTTATAAATAAATAAATAAATAAATAATTGGTTCAATTTTTTTAATTATTTTTCTTAAATTCCATTAATTTTAAGACTCTAATTCCATACAACCGAACACACGTTATAACCCAAATCCAGTCACCATTGTCCAAACTTATTATATTGTTCAAGTCCAATTGAGCTTGTGGTTCTCAATCTTACACAATTAATATTTGTACCTTTAGCAACTCAAATAAGCAAATTGCAATAGGGACATGTTATTGATAAAAAGATGATGTTGTTGCTTTCAGATTCTTTTTAAAAGTTAATGTCCACTGGCTATTCTGTTTGAAAATAGATTCTCAAAAAATGGAGCCAAATTTTAAACAAGCACCTTTATTATTATTTTTTTATTTTGATACATACATATATACATATACATATACATATGTGTATATTTACACCACCTTTTTTTTTTACATATAAAGACAACCTGCATTCACATTGTCCTAGTCAAAATTCAAACGTAACCAATTAACCATGAGCACATTACCCCAACCAACAACATATCCTAGAAGGAGAGGGAAGAAGTTCGAGTCCCGGGCGTAGGCAACAATGTGTGTGCGAATATGATTAAAATATATGAATAGCTAAACTCGATTTAGAGACAAGAACCATTGTTGTCTATCCTAAAAGGAGAGGGAAGAAGTTCGAATTGTGGCGTGGGCAATGTGTATGCGAATTGTACTTGATTGACACGAGCAAACTTTATGATAAAGAAAATTATTAAATCAAAACTTATAATGATCCAAGGCAGAAGCATTCTGAAAATGCATGAACCAAAAGCAACTAGTGTAAGAAAGGTGAGGAAACTTGAGAGTTAGAGATTATTACAACTGAATACAACAAATAATCAAGACAGTTGTACCCAACCCATATGATGTACATACATTACCTTGCTATGTAAGTTTTACATTTTAAATTCTTATTACCAGAAAATATAATTGAAATTTACTAATTTGTCTTGCAAATCAAGCAATAGTAGTGAGGATTCTTATTTTATTTGTTTGAAAATTAGGATATGGTATGGTAAAAGCAATCTCCACTCCATCCTCACTTTGAGATGACATTTGAGATTGAAGGAAATTTGGTTAAAAATTTAACTAAATTTCTTCCAATCTTAAATTCAAGCCGTCGATTTGATACGTGCTCTTATGAATGTTATCTTAGCAATAATTCCATGTATAATTTCAAGAGAAAACATTATAGTTTTAACAACAAAATTATGGCAGGTAAGAGAGATTTGCAAGATTGAAACCAGGTACGTGCTCTTATGAATGTTATCTTAACAATAATTTCACGTATAATTTCAAAAGAAAACATTAAAGTTTTAACAACAGAATTATGGCAGGTAAAAGAGACTTGCAAGATTGAAACCAGGTGAACAAGGATATATTGCACAATATTTATCAATATAACCAAAGGGCCTCCGGCCCAATGGTGTAACCTCCTCCCATCTTCTTTGAAGATGGAAGGGGTTCGAATCCTGAGACAAAAAAATTTATGTGTGTGTTTGCTTTACCATTCAAAAAATATATATTTATCAATATATAAGATTGTGTTCAATGTTTGTATGTGGCCCAACTCATCCGTTTAATTAATTCGGTTTTTACAGACCCAAACAAACCTTACCAACTTTAATACCCAACGCATAAAAACTTAGGCTTTAAGTCTAAACCCAGACCCAAAAGCTTAAAAAAAAAAAGACTCGGGCTGGTGGAATACAAAACCATAGAAATAATAAGGAAAAACTTGGGCTTTAGAAATTGGGAAGGGGCCGCGCGAACGCAGGCCCCCACTACCACAAATTATGACGTAGGCTCCACTACTTGAGTAGACCTCTCCTGAGTGCAATGGAGGTCACCAACCTAGTCCATGGGCCTTTTTGATCACCCATTGAACCCGTCCAGGTAAGTATGTTCCTCCTCCAGCTTTCAACCTATTATATACTACTCTCCAAGTCACTCTTAGTTGTGTATTTTTCGATGTGGGACAAACGAAGATTACACACATCAGTACACACCCTCACCAGCTAAGCTTCCCTTTGTTACTGTCAAATAATACAAAAGCTGGGAAAATATATATATATATGTACTACTACATTTAATATACCTAAACAAACTATAAAATTATCAATATAACTATATATATATATATGTTGAAGAAAGAAACCATTGGCAGGAGAGGGGAGACAAAAGAGATATTCATGGAGAAAAAATGGAGTTCTTCCCCCCACTTCTCGAGGCCAAAAAAAGGATCCTTTGTCTTACACAAGAAGTGGTGGCTTTGGTTTGTGTTTGGTTGAGTAGAAGGGAAAAAAATAAAGATAATATGTTACTTCACAACTATATATATATATATATATATATAAATGGGAGGATAGGGTAACATTTTTGAAGTTTTATCCAACAAATGTCAATTTGTTTCTCTACTCTTCCTCTCAATTTTGAAACAAAGCAAAAAATAGGAAGACAATACACTCTCATCCTTCATCTCTTCTTTCCCTGTACCAGATGACAGAAATTTGCTCAACCATCTCCCATTATCACACTAGTTTAAAACAAGGGCTAATCACATTAAGCATTTTCTTTTTTGCTATATTTTTATGTATATATTCATCTTTCTTCCCCCCTTTCTCTTTGCAATTTTCTTTGTACAGTCTCTCTCCATCTCTATGAAGCCAACTACTACTTTCAGTACATCAGAGATTGGATACTCCTAAAACAATAACCAGTCAAAAACTATACAAAAGACCAGAAAATTTCTGGTAACTTGGTGAATTATGATGTGCTCTAAAAGACAACACTACCATCATCAAAAAATACAAAAAAAAGACGACACTCGTTTGAGAACGATACTGAGATTAAAAAGACAAGTTTGATCACATTTAGGGAATTTGAAGACAAGCTTGGGCAACCCACCACTTGGTTCAAAAGCCCTAGTTTAAGGCTTTTAGCCATTATTTCAACAAATAAGACTTAAAATAACCACCCACATTATGATATGGTACCAGTATTTTCGACCAGAAAGAACCTGAGAACATCTTACACCCCAGTACATTAACAAGACAGCGAAATCGGTATAGAAGAGTACAAGGAAAATCGGTCCACCTCCAGCGGCATGATTGGAACATCGGTCCAAACCAAAAATTAGCATTAGCACAGCACTAGCAACATATGAAAAATAACGTAAACAACTCCAAGTAGCCAAGTCCCAATTTAGAATGAGGTAACTGGATTCTATCAATGCAAAATCACTCCAACATTTCCATAAATTCTTCAAAAAGAACCAATTTCAAACCCTAAATTCTTCTGTAGTATCATGACCTCCAACTCAATAAGAGAAAAGCACCACAATCAGTTTTGTATCTACACACAGGTATGACAAGAAGTGGATAACGGTAAGACAAACAGACCACTAAAAAAAACTACTACAGAGAAAGGGGAGGAGGGGAAAGGATATTATCCTACATGTACAAAGCCTAACGTCAGTGACTAAAAGTAATGGAGAGAGTTGAGGGCTCCATAACGCACAAGAAGTTGAAGAAACCGTGACCAATACCAATCAGCAAACAAGCAGAAATCTAGTGTTTCCATTCATTCTCGTCATCTTGTTCCAGCGTCATTAGCGGGAGGGATCTTTGCAGAGTGGTTAAGCATATGACTAGTTGGGCTAAAAAGAGATCATTTTATATCCATGTCAATAAGTGACATGTCATATGGCACAGAGACAGAATTTGAGGTATCCACTAGCAGGGAAGAGCTTGTTCTTTCAGGATTAGCAGTATCAGATTCAATGCCAGGTCTCGTGGGAGTGCTCGTAGCAGAAGATGAGAGACTGGATAGTTGTATGTCATCCAACTTGTTTCCAAAAATGTGCTTGTTTTTTCTAACTGTATCCATCTCTGGGCCAGTTGGAACAAATGTCCTAGATCGATACTTCCTTGTACCATCATCACCGTCGCCATGGTTGTAGAGTACATAATCATGATAAGTTGGTGCAAACTGCATGAAGTAAAAAAATAGTCATCAGAACAAGTGAAGCAACATAAAAAAGAAATCTTTGTCCTCCTGAGGAGGCCATGAACATAACAAAAGTAAAGCACAAGCTGAAAGATTCACCTGGTGGACCGTGTCATGGTAAAAGTCATTTAACATCAGAGCATGTGCGAGGCTTGCCGTCAACCCACGAGAACCACCAATATTTGCACCAGCATACTCTTTGTATGGAAAGGCAAAAAGATGGCCCACAGCTGCAATAAGCATCTCAACACAGATTATAAAATTTTGGAATTCAGCAGCCTCCTCTGCATTTTTAATAAATCCAGTCTTCGCAGCAAGGAAAACCAGAACACCCTATAAATTAGACAAGAGGATTAGATGCCAAAATAAATCAGATAAGTTCTCATGCATGCCCAACATCAGCAATAATTACCCAGTATTCTCTTACCTGAACTAATGTCTACAAAAACAAAACAAAAAACCCAGTAACTGGCAATAAGCACAGTTAGAGGTGTCATCAACAAATGAACGGCCGCTACAAAGAAACATACAATCTCAAATGAGCAACGAGTCCAGGTCAATCTAAAATTTGCAGACTTTTCAGCATTCTCCCATAAAAACCAATCACCAACTAGATCTTTATAGAACAGCCATCTCCTTTGTTTCAAGTGAAGTGATTATACAAATCACATCACCAATCATTTATCTTAGATTATATTTCTCAAAACGAAAAATGGTAATAACATCTCGTAAGGTTTCTTACAATTAACAAAAACTCCCATTAAGCTTTCATTATTACACAGATCTCTCCCCTGGTTTACTCTTTCCTATATTAATTGACAACCAACAAAGGATGAAAAATACTGATGCCTCCCAGCTGGTGGAGATTATTTTGATATTTTAACCAAAAGACATGTTTTTACGAAATATGTAAAAACACCCTTCCCAACAAACTCAATGAATGTCAGTGTTGTCACAAATCTTGAGACTGCAACATTGCCATTTGATGGCCATGCTCCACAGCATTTACAAATTACAACCACCCAATCCTATGGTTTCATACCTAAATACCCACAGAGTTTCTCCAATCTCTGTAAACACTACCCAATAACCATCTTATAACAAAAAATTAACATCCTCGCATTGTGCATTGTTCTTGCCACTAAGTAATAACAATGACCAATGGTCATAGTAATTGTCAACGGAGGGTGATCTAACCAATGTGAATAGTTATGGTTTTGGTTGTGGCAACCACAAACAGCTATGGTAGAAGAAGATGGTAATTTAAAAGTTTAAACTTTAGAGAGTTGCATCAAGGTTTGGCTAATTGTAACTAGGAGGCTCGTGGTAAAGAGGAAGTAAAAGGCAAACTACCATGGTGGTATGAAACGTGGTCTCCGCTCAATGTGAATGTTATGGTTATAAGAGAACAATGAGGTTTCCCTGCAATGTTGGATCCAATGGAATATATCAAGGGTGGAGGTGTAGCCGCTGTGGTGGTGGCAACCATGGGTATGGTCTGAAATAATGATGATGGTGGTTAGAGGGTAATGTGACAAAGTTGTAGTGTTGAAGCCATGATGGTCTAAAGTGGAGACGACGAATTATAGTGTTGAAGCAAATGGTAGTTAAGCTTAAGGTTTCAGCTCTGGAACTTGATGGAATAGGTTGAAACGCTTTGTTTTTCCACATGGATGTTGGTAGATGAATAGATTTTGGAAGGGTTTTTATCTGGTAAACAAGCCAAATAAAGCAAAATTTCCATCTTGAGATTAAAATAATATAATGATGGTATTTTCTATTCTGAAAATAATGGTCAATTAATGCAAGATCAATGCAAATCCAAGTGAAGCAAAGAGTATGCCAGTACAACTTCAAAAATGACGGGATGTTTACTGTAAATGTTAGAAACCTCAAGGGAGGTTAGTCTAGTTTTGCTTTGTAAGCAAAATGATCTCAGATGCAAGGAAAATTTAATCATAATGTTTGTTCAAGTTTATGAATATGAAGAAAATGAATCACTATCCATTCCAAAGATGATATCAAGGTGGCACAAAATCCTACCTGCCAATAAGTCAGAAAAACGACAGACTTGATTATAATGAACTTTGGTACTGGATTGTATGGCTTAAGCAAATCTCTGCACGCCACATAAAATAAGACCAAAGCATAAAGCGCCATTGTGTATGAGATCGTATAGATGATGGTAAGATACAAATATGACTGATTTGGACTGAAATTCCCGTCTTGATATTTCCCTTTGGCATAGAGTACGAATGTAACTGCAACTAAAATTGGCTTCAAAATCACAAACTGCAGACAACCTTGCTTGCACCTCCGAATAAAACGCCTGCATAGCTTTAAAGTTTCAGAAAGGTGCTTTATTTATCAAAAAGAAAAAAGCTTCAGAAATCTTGTTTGTCAAACATAAACTAAGGAGATGCAATCTTCTAGTATATGATGGTATTGGGAAATATATATATATATATATATATATATTATATATATCTCCATATTCTCCAGAAAGGTCTAAATTATATCTAAATCTTTTAAGGCATAAATACCCTAATTTCGTCATGTGCTCTCCGGTACAAACAATCCAAAATTATTTACAAATGTTAAGAACATTGCTAAATAACTGGCTAATAGTCCATAAATGTAGTGGTCGAAAAGCTGCCTGCATGTAAAAAAAATGAACAGCTAATTTTATCATTTTACATCATTCCAACAACTCATAATTCTGCCTATCCTAGTTTTTTCAGAATTCTTAATCAACCCAAACCCTATCATTTCTTGGATCCCAAAGTTAACAATATGAATCAAACAAATCAAACAGACAGAGGTCTGGTGTGTAAGTACTCACCCGTCCATTGGAATGGGACCAAAGCAACAAGTCATCAGATGCCAACTTGGCTTCAAAACACGACCGCTTAAACTTAAAACAACAGCTCCTGGGCCACCAACCCATGCCAGGCATAATGACAGGAAATTATAAATGACCCAAGCTTCATATCTGAAACAGTAAAAGGGAAATTTTAATATATTTTGGTTTTTGCAGTGTAAACCCAAAAAACGTAAAACATGCACACCAAAATAACCTTGCTCTTTTGGCATATCAACACTGGCCATTTAAATATATATTACAAATAAAATAAAAGTATCAGATAAACTAGCTGAGCACATAATACTCCACTATGCAGCACTTGAGAGCTGCACATATAATAATTTCAACTAAGAGCAAAGGACCTGCCACAAATATGCCATTATGTAATGACATGATCAATTCGGTCAATGTTCATACATTTAGGCAGACAAGCAAACTAAGATTATTAAATAAAATAAAAAAAGAGTGAGCCATAATTGAAATATAGCAAATTAAGCGCTCAGCCAAGACAGTTTAAACATGTACAACAACCAAGGATAACTGATAGAATATTGTCATCACCTGACCCTTCAATGGCACATTATAAATGGCAGTGGTGGTTATGATGATACAATAAGAAGCTATTTACAAGTCAAGGTGATGCCTGAAGGCAAAAACCAAACACTAGCAATAACAAATGGGAACAAACTCTGCTGCAACCATGCAGGAGAAAATGTCTTTGTAAGGACAAAATCGCAAAGACCATTCTGATCCGGCCATAATAAATATTAGAACTGGTGAGTGTTTTACATGTAGGAGGAATCAAGCTTTAACCTTTTTTTCATTTTCCCTTTTAATGGAGGACCTGAACTTAACTTACACTCAGTTAAAAACACAATACAGGCTTAGGTAAATTAGCAACTTTGGAGAAGGAGCAGAACATCTTTGATCAATACAGATAGCATTAATTCTAAGCAAAATAACACCTAATTAATTCCTTCTCGAAGCAAAACTACGCCCGGACAAATTCAAGCATTAAAAGACTCCAAATTTGAGTTTTTGCATAGTCCATTGGTAGCGTAATAGTTTCGCCTTTTCTCAAAATTTAATGATTCCTCATCCTATTTTGCCTGTACATCTCTTCTGTTTTCTTAATAGTATTTCTTTATTATTAGAAAAAGAAGAGTAATAAACACATTCTACAACAAGTAATCCATCTTTTTAAGTTTACAACAGCCCACTTTTGGGACAACAAAATAAAACCAAAACTGGAAGAGAGAGAGAAAGTAGAGAACAGAATAAAAGAAAAAGAAACAAGTATGGAACAGCCAACAAACTCCTACTTCAAAATTTATTATCACTTCAATGTTCTTGTAATGAAAAAAAGTTTTTTTTTTTTAGAAAATATATATATATATTGTAAAAAAGGGATATTTAGTGATTCACTCTAAGATGGGATACAGGGTGGTAGAAATAAAGATTGGGAAGTTAATATCAAACACACAGAATAATTCTCCAAAACTCCTACATTGGTTCTCATAACATATACAAAGTGCCCAATATGTGAGGTCAAGAGGACACTTCGAAAGTAATTTTCTAACAGTGTCAATTTTAAAAATAAGGGTTCTACTTGTGTCCAACAATTTAGGGGAAAATGCTGACGCCTTTTTTTTCATGGTAAAAATGCTGTGGTAACATCTGAACAGGCCCAAATACACTTTTAAGGAAACAACAATTTGCGCTGCGGGTTTACACCGTCAACAAACCCTCCAAGAAAAATCAGGTCTTAAAAGGTTAGGTCACAGGTAGAGGACTCAGGCCACCCATCAAGGGATGGCTTAATAATATTGAGGCAGCCATAATGGTGTTCCAGAAGATACGGGGAAAAAAAAAAAAAAAAAAAAGAAAAAAAAAAGGGTACATAATAGAACTTTAACTAAAACCAAATAATAGATTGGGTCCTTGTACCAGAATTAGGAAAAACCTCCTTTTTTTTCTTTTCTTTTTTTCAGTCATCAGATATTGGATAAGCTGACTAGATCATAATTAGTAAGGGACACGAAGCTATGGAGGAGATGGACATGACAGTTGGCTTTTTTTATCTTCACTAAGCAAGCACAACAAAATGGTGGATAATGTACAACGGCATGTCTGTAATGACAGGTCGTTGAGGAAAAACATATAGAAGATCACAACAGCCTTGGTTTTACTGAAGATCTGGAGGTGCCTTCAAGATTTGAACAGAATAATTGTTCAAGGAATGCAGGACCTTTCTAATCCTAAGCACATTCATCGACAATAAGGATGCCTTGAATAGAAATAATCAATGGTGGCAATCATTTGTCTTCATGGGACCTCCCAGTTTGAGTCACAAATAAATAAATTAATAAACAAACATTAGGGGCCAAATAACTGCTATAAAAAGTAGAATCTAACTGCCTGCTAGAAAAGAAGTATATACAACATTCTAGGCATCCTTAATAGCTCCCCACTAAGTTCACTAATAACGAATCAAGAACGTAGGTACAGCGTCATAAATCTTATGTTGGATCCTGAGTTGGGGACTTCTTGTGCATCCTTCCGTGCAATCTGGCGCTCAAGAAATGAAGAAAGAACTGAATCTTCAGAAAAGGGGGCAATATGTCAAAGGGATAACATTAAGCTTACTGAGAACTTCTAATTTCTAAAACCCTTTTCAATGCATGCAGCTCTCTACAGTTTTAGAAAGGACAATACAGTTACTGCAAGACCAATTACAAAAACATTTCCATCTGTGGTATGTGAAACATGGTACAGAAGGGTTGAGCTAATAAAGCTTAAACTTTAGAATGTGAAAACTTGAAAGGTAGTTTAAGATGCAAAACTGGTTTACATTTTATTTAATAGATAATTTACATAAGCAAAACTCTTTTATGTACATTAGGAAGCATGTTTAATGTGTTGGAGTAGGTAATCCAAGGGCACAATGCTACTTTTTATTTCAATTGATGTCATGATGTGTTGTATTTGTTACCACTTTTGCCCTGAAACTTCATTTCTTGCTAGAATACAGTTCAATAAATTTTATGATTCATAAGAAAAGGATATGAGCAAAGAATAACAAGCAAGAGTCACCAAACTTAATTTTCATTATGGAAGTGTATCATTTGTCTAAATGCAGTAGCATGGATCACTAATTGCTAGGTTATCAGTGAAATTGTTCTAGCACCAGGTAAAACTTCATCAAGGTGTTACCACAATGACCTAAAGTACCAAATTAACAGATCAAAAGAAAATACAAGTGGAAGAGGCAAAAGGTGCTTAACTTAAAGTATCTGATGTTGGCACAACAATGCATTCTTCGGAAGGCTGACAGTAAATATAAGAACATAATAATGTGCCAAACAGGAAACTCGGTCAAGGTACAAGTGCCTTGTTGTTCATTATCTAAGGAATTTATGGTCCCTTCTTTTCTGATCCATCCATGCCCTCGATGGTAAGAACTTTCCTAACAAAAGTTACACAACTGTCCATCCAGCAAGGACAACCTCAGAAGGAACTTTGGTACCTCCAATAACCTCCCACGAGATATCAGAAAGACTTCCAACCTTCAACACCATGGAAAAGACTGAACCTTACTTATCCTCAAACTTTATTCTTACAAGAGATTGTTCAAAATGTTATTCTGAGCTCTCTTTTTTTAGGAAAGTCAAGAAAACTAGCATCAAAACTAACCAGCTCAATCATATGGCAATATCTCCACACAACTTATTTAATCAGGTTAATTCTCTTCTTGGCCTCCTTTTTTTTATAAGTAATAATTCATTAAAAAGCATTCAAAAGGGGAATGTGTCCCATGATAATTCTCTTCTTGGCCTCTTAACATAATGACAGCTAAGGTTTGTCTTCCCCTGCCCAAATATGTTCCAAATTCTATTTCTCCTCCTAGGGGGTTGGTTTCTTGGTGGTGATATTTGACAATGGACATTAGATAAAATCATTGCCAATGAAATTTCATACCTTCTTGTTGAATTAATTCCAAATTTTTCAACCACTACATTTGATCCCAATCCATCTCAGTTCTGTACTCAAGCAATTCATCCAAAACATCTTCACCTTTCTCATTTGGGTTTATGTTTCTTACAAATCCAGTATGCAATAATTTGTAAAACTTCTTCAAGGCATAATGAAAAGCAAATGGCCTTATTTTTTGTGGCTATGAAGAATTGCCTTATTTTTTGTGGCTATATTTTTATTTTCGCACAAATTGAAAGAAATTGTTATCGATTATTGCAATTGATTTTTCAATTCAATTCAATTTTCTTTAGCTTATGGTAATTTCTTCCCTACACAGATGCCAAATATATTTTTTACAGGACCAACATGAATCAATAACAATTTTCTTTAGCTTGACTTTTTGTCAGGACTCAGGACTAACATGAATCCTAATAATATGAAAAGCTAGGATATGGAGCCGATCCCAGTAGTTGGAAAAAGGCTTTGTTGAGTTGGGTACACGCACAATGAATACAATGTACGCCTCAACTTCATGAAAATCAGAATTTCCAACAGTTAGAAAATTTTAAATAGGGAGTTATCATATCATCCCACATCAAAATAATTCATGCCACATGCAGTTGATGTACAGCTCTTTCCAATTTCAGTTATCTAAAAGATTTATGAATTTCATTCACTCTTGCAAAATGTTTGGGTATAATAATACAATATGATGACAATGCAGCAGTTGTCATTGATCAAGAAGGAAATCCAAAAGGAACTCGAGTTTTTGGTGCGATTGCCGGGGAATTGAACTACACAGAAGAATCCCAGTTTTCTCTCCTGTATATTTCACATGCACAATAGTTCCAACCTTTTTGACAATCTTAACCTTGCATTCACAGTGCCATGTACTCGGAGCAAATCAACATTTCATGCACTCATTTCTATCAGCATCGTCAGTGTATAAATTAGCATGTGCTATCTATATCTTTCTATCAAGTTCACCCTTGGCAAGACAATATATAAGGAAATCCAAATTTAACCAAAGAACGTTTGTTGATCACCTTTTCACACAAAATGTTTTGTGTTGCAAACACAATACACAAACTGATTTTAATTTGATAACTTATCTTCAGAAGGCCAGCCAAAAAAGAATTATCATTTTGAAGCAAGAAGATCAGAAGCTGTCTAGTCAATATTTTCGACGTGGCTATTTAGATTGTTTAGTTACATGACCACGAGGGAAATAGCTGGTGGCAAAGCCTAAGTACTCTTTTCATCTAGTTCAATCTAACAATGATTACACATTTATACATTTATGAAAAAAGGAGGTATAGAGGTTTAAAGATAGAACCACTACCCTCCAAAATATCAAATTAATAAACAGCTGACAACGACAAAAATGAACCATGAACAAAGGAATAATTCATGCTGACATAAATAATGATCACAGCAATAACAATAAGAAGTAACAGATTGAAGATAAAGTAGTGCACTATCTAGTATTAAGTACTTACACTTCCCGAATGGAATTAAAATAGATTGAGCTCTCATTGAACAAAAGGGAGAAAAAGGACATTAATGCATAAACCTGTCAATGTGAATAACATATATAATGGTTAGAGCAATATTGCAAATAAAACAGGATGAAACATAACTAGCTAAAAAGTGGAAGGAGGTAAAATAGAAGTAAAGGGAATCTAAAAGAAGCCCAAGAAATAAATAAATATATAAATAAATAAATTTGCAGACAACAGCAGAAAAGTTGACAAAACGCCACCTTTCAAAAGATAACACGAGACATACCACAAGCATCCATAAAGAAGTGCAATTTTAATTTTCAATTGAAGAAATGAACAAGTTCAGCAAAATAAAAGACACAAACCAGGGAATTTCAACCCCTAGCATAATTTAAATAAACAAACACAGTTCTTTGGTTGTTTCTTAACGAATTGTGCAAAAGTTGCATCGAAAAGCATGCTCAATCGGTGCCAATCTACAACCAATGCATCTATAATCCTATAGATAGGCTACATAATAAAAAGCACGAAAGATATCGTGTGCCATGAATATAAGGATGAGGCAGTAATTTTCCTTGAAAGATGTCATATAAAAACGAATAAACGAGAGATACAAGAGTAATTTTATCCACTAGCAAAAGAGATGAGCAAAGAAAAGAAAATAAATAAATAAATAAGCTCTAAAATCACTAACATTCTTATTCAGTTTTAGAACACTATCCTACCATTCAAATCAGTTCATTGTGCTTAACAAATAACAAAGACTGGTGAAATCCCTAATGAAAAAGAATGCCATGGTGGCATGTTTCTAGACAGTGACTTTACAGTACCAAGCAGGATAGTACAAAAGGATATGAATTATCATAGTGAGGAAAGACCCAATGACTTGGACAAGATTAACTTAGCATCAAATAGTCATTGCTCAATTTACGTGCAGCGTAGTTTATAACAATAGTTAAATTCAACCAATTAAGAAGCAATAATAAAAATTATTCAAATATAAAACACTATCCAACAGTTCAAATTACTTGTGGTAGAGAATAATTTGGAAAATAATGATTAACACAATTAACAACACAGATAAACTCAAAAACAATGGGCTTTGGTAAACATATAAGGGAAGAGAATAATAGTTTGAGAGAATAACACATTACTCACTGGGACCATAAAAATGATGCGGACAATATATCTCTGAAAAGTAGGTTCAGTATAATTCAAAAGGTGCCTGTAAATGTGCAAAATCGCCAAAGCAATGGACCCGACCGTGCAAGGCAACGCAATGAGGATGTAATAAACCGGTGCCATTTGCTCCCCGGATCACAATTCTTCCACCAACAACTCCCTCTCCTGGATATAGAGATAACAACAATGTATTGATAAAACCCAATTGTATAAATCACTAACATCACAAATCACATACAAATATACATATACATATATTAGCAAGTGTTTACACTGTTGGGTTGTACGGCTTCGCTTCTTCACTTTGTTGAGAGAATTTCTGCTGCGATTCATTGAAGGAAAATTCACTCGAATTGTAAACCCTAACCCCAACCCCACCAACCGTTAACGCCTGCGGCTGTAGAGAAGTAAAACTATTGCAAAAAGCAAAATCAGTTTGAGCCTAAACTATATAGAGAAGGACATATATAGATATAAACGACCTAAAGTAGAAAAATTACAATAGTGACGAATCAGAAAATTGAGAGAGGGGATCAAATTGATTATGGCGCTTAGGAGATGAAATGAGCCTCGATTATTGATAATTTGGTACATAAATACATTCATACGCTTATTGTTTGTCCTCCATAGATTCTAGCGATCTAGTTTCACGAATATATATATATATATATACACACACACACACATGCATATATGTATATGTGTATATATATAATATATAATGAAAATATCATAAGAGAGAGTTGAAGAATGGGTGACCTTGAATCGATAAGATCGGGGAATGGAAATCTTCGGAGAGTGGAAGTCGGAGAAGATAGCAGATCTGGTGGGCGACGCCGCAACGAGAAGGAAATGTTTGGTGTTTTTGCAAATTCATAATTATTCTTATATCCTTTTGTAGGAGGCAGAGGCAATAATGGCAGATTACAGAGAAGCAAAATGAATATATTACTAAAATATATTATTAAATCAGCAATTAAAAAAATTTAATTAAATTAAATATAAGGGTACACCAAAAATAGTCTCAAATTGGATGGAATCGAATCAAACTGAATTATATGATTATGGTTATGGTTCAGAATTTATGATTATTTTAAATGATAGATGAAAAAATAATTAAAAAAAAAAGTAATTTCTCCATCTAAGTGTTATGTATTGAAAATCGGGACGTTTCGGTTCGTATATTACACTTGTTATGGGAGGAAATGAATGAAAAAATGACTAGTTAAATAAAAGAGAAGAAAATAGAAAGAAATAGATAACCTTTCTCTTTTCTGTTTTTGTATGAAAAAATGAAGAGAGATTATTTTGAACAAATTTTACCACTTCATCCCTCTAAGTACGATTGTCATGAACAAATTTTATTATTTCAACCCGTGACATTTCAACAAAGTAGTTTATATGATTGAAACTTGAAATATAAAAATATCAGTTCATATTTATATTATATTTATTCCTTCATTCCTTCTTCTCGTCGTCTAATTTTGGAAGATTTCTCATTCCTTCTTCTCTTCGTCCTTTTCTAGCTTCCACCAAATGATGGAAACTATCTTATTTCCTTATTCTCTTTCATCAATTTTCCTTTCTTCCTTCAAATCAAATAAGGTTCAAAATGACCTGTTTAGTTTAAAATATGGTATACATGTATATAATATAGTTGTTCAATTTTATTTGTTGGATTTACTTGTTGCGGGTGTGGGTAAAAATGTACAAATTCCAATAATTCAATTCGATTTCAATACTTTCAATGTTTGGTCATAGTTCATATTCACATCCAACCATTAAAAAATATATATAAAAAAAAAAAAGGACATATTGCGAAATTCCATATCATTTAGGGAAGATGGTGATGTTAGCATTTATATAGGAATACCTCATACTTGTGTATATACATCCAATTTGAAAATCATTAGTGTTAAGAGGGTGTAAATATAAATAAACGATCCTGACAGTCGAATGGTGACATATACAATTTTCAATAGAAAACGGGAAGAGTGTGTGCATCATACGAGGTCATCATCTCGGTTAGGACGATAGATCCCAAGAGTAATTGTGACGTCCCACATTTTCGAGTTTTGAAAATCGCAAGTGTCAAAAAGGGTGCAAAGTTGACAATATCCAGATAATATGAAGTGGGTCCTGACAAATCCTACTTGAATATATGTTGAGGCCCTTAGAAGTTTTTGGTTGGTCCCCTTGGCCAGTATTTTCTTATAGCACTATCATTTATTTTCATGTAAATAAAATTATAATACCAAGGGATGCAAATTTTTTGTTTTGCACTTTAGCGTTGCATGTCAGCAATTTTATTACTACTCCTCTCAAAAAACAATTTCCTGATTTAAATTTATCAAAAAAAACAAAATCCTTTTTGACAAGTGAAATTTATCAAATGAATAATGTTATAAACTCTTATTCAGTCTATACTAACTCTCCCACAATAATATCATGAGGTCCACCACTTACTGTGAGAAAGTTCGTGTGTTATGTTCTTTATCAAATATTTGTTTTGCACTTGTAATATGGAGGGTTTGATTTTTTTAATGTTCTGACAAAGAAATATAGGATGTCCCTATAATATAATTATATAGAGGCATGAATCCTCATACACAGTTGATGTCTTTTATTTTTTATAGACTTATAGTTATAACTTCTACTTATGCAAGGCGACCAAGGTCCAAGGCGTTGCCCTAGAGCCTCAACATTTAGAGGGCCTTAAATTTTTAGGCCTATGTGTGATAGCCACCCCCTCCAACCCTTAAAAAATATTTTAAAAATTAAAAACTTATCCCTTCTCATGAGTGATAGGTCCCAAAAGAAAAAAGAAAAACTTTAAGATCCTTCCCATGAGTGATAGGCCCCCAAAAAAGAAATAAAAACTTAGCTCCATTGGATTAAACGAATTCACACTCTTGTTAGTCGGTTCAAAATTGGGAAGCCTCTAGACTAGGAATGTGTTTGCTATTTGATGGGCTGCCCTGTTGTGTTAGTGTTTGTTTTGAATTATTGGTCTTGTTGCTTGTTGGACCTGTCCAGTCTTCGTGGGTTGTGTCTATGTTAAGGCTAAGCCTTTGTATATTCTTGCAACCCTTTCATATACACCTCTTACCCTCTGAAAATAATAATAATAATAATATAATAAAATTTAGGGTCCTTAAAAATTTGGTGATTAAATTCGAAATTGAATATGACCATGTATTACTTTATGTGTATATTAGTGTGTATTTCAGTAATTAACTCTGAAATTAAATGCGGTCATTTACAAATTTTATGTGTTAATATGTACGTATGTGAGTAATTACTTTGAAATTGAATGCAGTCATTTGTTATTGGGGTAGATAATATATTTTTTTATGAAATTTGAATAAATATAAATTAGTTACGTATTACTTATATAATTGATTTGATATAAAGGGAAAATACTTGGGTCTAAGTTTGAAGTCATTTGAAGCTGACAAGAACTCCGTTAAGGCAAAATTTTACAATTTTTTTTAGAAATTTAAAATGGGTTGAAAGTTCTAAACTTGATCAATTTGAAAACTTGAAAATCTTTTTGGAGTTTAAAATAACGTGATATCATTCTAACTATTTATGTCATCTATCCTATGGGGAGAGAACTAAGCATTTGTTAAGAAATTATATATATTTTATTTTATTATGAGGGATGGCAGATGTAAAATTTGAGAGAAACTAATAGACCATATATTTGTATTTTGTATTTTCAACATTAATATATTTTATGTGATCATCTTCTCATTTTAATAAAAATTTCGCGTTCTTATAAAATTTTTACACGTGTGATGTGTAAAGGACTTCACATTTAAGTTCGTCTAGGGCCTCTCAAGATTTTGTCAATCTCAAGGTCAGCCTTGTACTTATGCATATACAAAATGAGCGTGGTCCCTTGCACGCGGACCTTGCTCCTTACTTTCCACTATTGGGTGGGGATGGTCAATATGTCATTTTGGTAAACAAGTTGGTATTTTGGTAATTCAAAATATTAGGAGACTTCTTAAAAATAATATTATCTCTCCTCGAGATTAGTGATCATTCTCTCGTAGTGGTGAATTTTAATTTTGCATATAAAGGGGGTGAGGGAGATGAAACCCCCTTTCCCCTTTATCCAATCCAAAAGGTGGGTGATGGCCCCAAGCCTTGTGCATGGCTTAGCAAGCCTTACATGCAATAACTCTTATGGTCTCGTTTACTAACGCTTTTACTTTCTTACTTTCGCTTTCTCGAAAAGTAAAATTATGATTTTGATTTATTTGAGATGAAACAGAAAGTAAAATTATGTTTAGTAAACTGTGAGCTACTTTTGAAATTTGAAAGCAAAACACAGAAAGTGTGCTTAGTAAACTGCTGTCTACTTTTGAAATTTGAAAGCAAAACACAGAAAGTGTGTTTAGTAAAAAATAATAATTTTTTTTTTTGCTTTTGGTTCTTGAATTGCTTCTGGTTCTGATTTTGTTAAGGTGCAAAATCAAATTGTATAAAGAGAGAAATGGTTTAAAGTAGGCAACACACTTTAATCCATAATGTAATATTGATTGAACTTTTTTTTTATTGGGGAGTTGTCTAATATATGATCCATCTCACTTTTACATGCAGGAAATTACTGGAGTTTTCATGAAAAATTGCATGTTACATTATGCAGCCTACAGGAATATATACCCATTGTGGGCTTTGGCAGAATACCGAAAGTGGGTTCCATTGCAATCAAAGAGTTGTAGCTACATAACTGATACCTAATTAGATTGAATTCATGTAATAAAGAAATATCATGTATAATTAATTGTTGTAGTGGTAGTAGTGTGTGTTATTAATGTATCACATCTCTGTTGTTTCTTCCACATGAACATGGTCAATACCAGTTTGTTCATGTAAATCTATTATATGTGGGGAAAGACTCAAATGCCTTTAAGTAATGAGGCATTTCCCCTGTAATAAAGTTGAAATAAGCCTGGACAGATTATATTAGTATACTAACAATTGAAACACAACTTTAATTTTTCGGCCCAGCATACATATAATATCAAAAGCATGCATATTATAACATGAATTTAAATGGCATTTAGATACAAAATTAATCTAAAAAAAGTGACAATATTGCAATATCCAAATAGAAAATTAATCCAAAGTGACAATATTACAATATCCAAATAAAAAATTAATCATAATAAAAGTGACAATATTACAATATCCAAATAGAAAAATAATCATAATAAAAGTGACAATATTATAATGAGCAAATAGAAGTGATTCATCTATCATGATAGTTGTTCCACAACTCATTTGCAACTGCATCACGGGTTTCACTCATATCTTGAATTAGCTCATGTGTAACATTTACTTTCTGAGAAGTACCACCTAACTCCACTTCTTATTCTTCTTCTTGAAGATTGGCATTCTCATCCCTATATTCATCAAAAAGACGAGCTAAATGGGTTTCGTTACGAATAAAATTATGTAATGTGCAACAAGCAATAACGAGGAGTGCTTGTACACTCAGTTTGTAAGGAGGCATCAACTTAAGGATCGGCTAACACATTTTTAATGTACCAAAACAACGCTTGATCACATTTCTCAGTGACGAATGCCTATAGTTGAATAGTTCATGAGGACCCTTTATTCGTCTCCCCCTATATTTCTATAAATGATATCTTTCACCACAATAAGGTGCTAAGAAGTACCTCATATTGGTGTACTCCACAAGATAATAATTATCTGCACAGACAAAAAATAATTAATTTTTTCTAATTTAATATGATATCTTAATTTAATAATTGACTGTTTCCAACTCCTCTATTGCCCTTGGATTTGCAATAGGCCCAATGAGATTTACAATGTTCCTATAGTCCTGTTATAGGAGAATCCTCTGTATTCCTCTAGTTTTGGGGGAAGTGAAGACAAATTGGTTTGGGAGGGTTTTCAGTTACCACTGCTTGCCATGGAGTTAAAACAGAGGAAAATGACTATGAGATCCTGTAAGGGTGAATGTAGCAAGTCTGTGGTGAACTTAGTTTATTGTAAAAAATTATGGCTGGTCAATCTCAAGCCAAAGATCAAACATTTTATATGGACACTTTTCCCTTGATAGACAGACTTCCTGTTGCTAAGAAACTTACTAGAAGGGGGTATCATTCAACACTCGAGACCGATACGCATTAGTCCAAAGGGTATGAATTCCTCTTTCCAAAGGGTGGTCCAGTGTTAGAGGCTTACTAGGGATAATATTGTAAATGTGTGCACGCTTGAACTTAGGTGAAAAAAAAAATATCATTCAAGATTTGAGATTTTCTTTTTTCCGGTAAGCGACTACATTAGTTACAATCAAGGGGGAGAAGGAAAAGGGCAGGGTTATGTATTGCAGCTTTCTTGGCTGGTACCTTTGGAAATGCAGGAATGATTTCATTTTTAACAATAAATAAATAAATAAATGTTGGTCCGAAGTGGACACTTTGTGGCTCAAGATTTACATAAGTTTTAATGAATTTAAAGAAGGCTTAATGTAGGAGAACTAGAGGAGGAGATCAAAGTGGTAGTCAAAGTAGAAAATAATTAAATTCCAATGAGAGGACTGAAATCATAATTAAGTTAAATTTCATTAATCAGAAGAAATAGTAAATCATTCACTCATTTTGCACACTTACCTTTAAAAATCTTCATGGTTTTATTTGCAAGTTTAAAATTTGGATGTTAATACTGAATTAAATATTTAGATGATTGAAGATCTAGGTTTAGCTATATTAACCAACAAATTGTCTCAAAATCACTATATATAAGCTGTCAAACTTGCAAAAGTAAGCTTTTCATTATGTTATAAACCAGAACTTCTCATAGAAATTACACAAAGAAAAAAAGAGGTTATTCTATAAAAATTAGCAACAGGGTATAAATTCCCATAAATAAATTACATAATGCATCCATTATAATCCAACATAACAATTAACCCACAAAGAGACAATGTAATGAAACAGAATGATGTAAATATTGAAATTTCACGGATCTAAAAAACCACATAGAGGAACATTACTATATATACACATACAACGAATATCACATCGAGGAAAGCAAAGGGATCTGGGCCGAAAAGGTCTTTGATTTTAGGGTACTGAGACAAATTGTTATATATACACATACATATATTTCACTCATAAAATGATTTAGGAAGAAAAATTATAGATTCTAAGGCAAAATCTTCATATACGAGGAGAGAGAGAATATGAGAAGAAAGAGAATCTGAGAAGAGAGGGCGAACTTACAGGTGGTGTTGTTGGTCGGCCGTTAAGTCTCCCTTGTCGATCGACGCTCGCAGATAAGGGATGACAATCGCTTGGTAGAACTTTCTCGAAGCAGATATAAGGCGAGAGGCTAGGGCTGTGATGTTGCGATGATGATATAAACGAGGACGAGTTTTATGTTTTAAAAAGTTAGCGCTACAGTGTCGAAATTACTTTCCTAAATTTGACAAAGTGAAAGTAATTTAATAAATGTGATTTTACTTTTATTTTTGCTTTTTCAGAATTGACAGTAGAAAGTAGGAAATAATTCCTGTTACTAAATAGGCCCTTAGTTGGTTGTCAATTTGCCTTGAGAAAAGGTTGTGGGAGGATTCCAGAGACCTAAGGTGGCCATGGTTGATGATAGCAACACGTGGCCACACAGCACATGGGCCGTTTTGGGCATTTTATAGTGCAACAATGTCATTGCTTAGCACCTTAGGTCTTTAGTTGACACTATTTGTGGGCTCGGTTAGACCTGGTGTACACCATGTGTGGGCATAGATGCAGGTACGGAGTCATGATTTAGTTTTAGGGGGGGCACAAATTAGTAATTTACAAATTATATACTTATATTTGTGAAAAAAATTCATTTCCAAGGGTATTTTTGAAATAAAATAAATTTTAGGGGGGCCACAAAATAATATTTTTTAAATATTATACCTATATATATAATAATTTCAATGGGTTAGCTTGGCCCGAGGGGGCACGTGCCCCCTTGGGCCCAAGTTGGCTCTGTCCCTACATAGATGGGCAATGGTTGGTGATGCATGGCTAAGGTGTATAACATATACTGTGGGCAAAGTTTGGTGGTGCAAGGCATGGTTAAGATATGGTTTCCATATGCACTAATTTATGAGCTAGTCATGACGACCAAGGGCAATTGAATGGCTTTATGGGATAATCGGTATATTTTCTGCGCATGCAAGCCCATTGGTGTCCAATAAATGGAGTCAGCAGAACAAAGGAAAGAGGAATGGGAAAGGTTTTAGAGGAATATCTAAGTACCAATAGGGAAATAGAGCTCATATCCATAATATGCACCCACCAAAAGTTAGTTAACATTACCAGACATAGCTAATGTGTACATGAGTGGGCACTTTTCTGATATGTTATTGGCCATATGGTTAATGATTGTAGATTGTGGGCTAGACTACATTGTCCAATTAAAGATGGGCATGCGTTAACGGTTATGGCAATTGAGATGGCTCGGCTGATGATAGTATATGGTTATGTATGGGCAGACCATGATTTATATGAGAAATGTTATCTTTGTTTGGCTTAGCCATATTAGCTGGCATTCATAATAGTTAGGGATGTCGATCAATTGCAAGCCATGCAATAGCATTTCTGCTTTTGTACAACACACCCTAGCAGGGTGTTAAGTGCATGTGTGTGATGGCTAGTGCTCATTAGCTAGCAACCCTAGGACAGTCGGGTTTTCGACTACTATTATGTTCCTTGTCCAAATACAGACAAGGCAGTTAAGGCAACTGCCATGTTATACTGGCCATGGTTAGCCTAAATGCCCAGAGTGGTTTAGGCTGTCAACCACCTGTTGTATCATGTTTTAACACATCATGACAGTTATAGACATTTTTGTCAAAATGTTTATATTACTGAATGGTGGGGGGACTTGTTTGTGGTAGAGTGCATGCAATGAATGCTTATAACCCTTAGTTCAGATTATTCCTTTTGTATGTTTCGCATGAATAAAGTTATGAAAGTTGGGACCGTTGTTCTATAAATTGCACGTGCCTTGTCATTTGTATGCATTGTGTGGTGAGTTAGTTGAGACTTGGTGACATCCAAGTGTCATTACAAATGCAACACTAGTTCTTCGAAGTTGCAATAATGGTGTTGCTTCTTGATTTAACGTGTGTTACTCTACAAAATACTATGATAAGTTTTCACAAAGTGACTAATCCTTTATGAATACCTCGTAAGAATAACTATGAGTTTTTCATATTTAACCATTAGATTGAGAAAGTGTTTCGGGATATGTTAAAATTCAAATCAGATAATTCATATTTTAATTTATTAATTAAAATGAAGAGATGTTGGTGAGGGATTTATCTTGAAAGTATTATTCATCATTTTATATGAATGAGTTGGAATAGATGAACCGACAAATGTGAAAAAGTGACGTTCAAATAAAGCAAGCTTAGGGTCAAAACTCAAGATTTTGTTTTATTTTACTTTTTCTATAAATTGGAAGTAGAAATGTGTTTACCATTTTTAAAAATTATAAATACAACAATTAAAAAAAAAAAAAATACAACAATTAAAAAACAACAATAAGTGATGTGTGCGGCTTCGCAATAAGGACTATACAGTGCTCATTCTTAAAGAGTGATTAGCCCCATTACAGATTCCATGTCCAAAAGATAGTTATCATATTTGAAATTAAAAATGGAGTACAATGTTACAAATTTGAATGCCAACATCACACTATAATTTAAAGTATAGGACGTTAATTCAATACGTCTAAGTGTAACATAACTTTAGAATGTTATATAAAGTTGAGACCAACAAATAAAAGGATAAATTGTTGATTTTAAAAAAAAGTCATCTCGTATAAAATAATGACCATATGTATTTTCAAATAATTAAATAAATAAAAAGAAATAAAGAAATATCAATACTCACAAAGTTACTAGTATCTTTCCTTCCTCAACCTAGAACCCAAGCACACTATAAAACCCAAGCTAAGAAATATCGTACCCACCGAGGAGTTTTGTAGCTCCATACACTACAAAACCTCCGTGGCCTTATCAACTCTCCCTCCCACCCTATCCTCTCTCTCTCTCTTCCCTCCACCTCTCTCTCTCTACATTTCCACCACCACTTCCACCGCCGCTCTCCGCCATGGCCTGCTCTTCCTCCATCATAGGCGTCTCTTCTATCTACCAAACCCCCACTCAAGACCTCTCCAGAAGAACCACCACCAATCCGCCTCTTTCTCTCCCCTTCGCCGCCGAGAAGACTCATTTCAGTGCCTTGAAAGCCTCCACTACTCGCCTCCGTCTCAGCCAGTTGAATGGTGTCGGTGGTAATTCTTCCTTCGTAGCTTCAGCAATTGCGACTCCCAACTCTTCGGTGTTGAGTGAAGAGGCATTCAAGGGTTTTGGTGGTTTCGATGAAGATTCTCTTGGTGCCAGTGAGAGCGAGTATGATTATGAACCCGAGTCGGCTTCCGAGGACGATGGTAGCGACGACGAACTGGCTGTTTCGAAATTGGGTATCCCTCAGAGGCTTGTTGAGTCTCTAAAAAATAGAGGGATTACGGAGCTTTTCCCCATTCAAGTACGTATTCGAAAGTCGTAGTCAATTCTTTGTTGTTTTATATTGTTATTTCTATTTACAATCCTCCATTAGAAGCATAGTTTGATGCTTAATTGGAAAAAAGGTGAGCTCTTTGTATTGGTTTTTGAACAAAGCCATTACTCTCAGACTTGTATACACTGTACCAGTTGTGATGTAGTTATACTGAGCTAGCATATAATTTGGACAAGGATTGATAAATTGTAGCAACTTCAGTGCCACAAAGCTAGGAAATGTGGAAATGTTTTGAGTTCTAATTGCTATCACTGGTTTATCCACATTATATGTGATGTTCAGCTTGTTGACTGTACTAATTGTTTTGATTTGGCTCCAATGATAGTTTACTTATGTGTTATAGACATTTATGTTACTGGGTTGTTTACTACCAATGTATAAGATTGGTGGGTGTGGCTTTGCTTCTATCTCACCATAGCCAGTAACTTGACTTTGACACTATTTTCTCAGGCTACTGGTTTTGAATTATGTTTTAGTCTAATTGTGTTTGCATTTATGCCCTTTGAGAATTTTATTTATTCACAAGTTAAGACCGAGCACTGATGAGACATACTTTTCAAGGTACTTTATCCTTAAATATATATATATATATAGTGTTGGGGGGGGGGGGGGGGGGGGGGGTGTGTGTGGTTTGGGGTTTTTATGTTCATTCCTATGTGAGCACTGACCTAATAATTCGAAAGTTCCATCAAATAGACAAAGCGATTGTCTCCACTCTCTCTCTCTCTCATAGTATAAACACATATACATGCGCATGCAATTCTTATGGATTTTACTTTTCCTTTGATAATTTAGAGAGCTGTGTTAGTGCCTGCATTGGAAGGTAAAGACCTTATTGCCCGTGCAAAGACTGGAACAGGGAAGACATTAGCCTTCGGGATTCCAATACTTAAACGCCTCACTGAAGATGAAGAAAAAAAAAGTTCTCTAAGGTAGCTATTACATCATTCACGTCTGTATTTTCTGCTATTTTGATTATTTGATGATATAATGTTCTTCTTGTTTGCTTGAAGACGGTCTGGACGACTTCCCAGAGTATTGGTTCTGGCTCCTACTAGGGAGTTAGCAAAGCAAGTAGAGAAAGAAATTAAAGAGTCTGCACCATATCTGAACACCGTTTGTGTCTATGGAGGAGTTTCTTATAACACACAGCAAAATGCACTCTTACGTGGAGTTGATGTGGTGGTTGGAACTCCAGGTAGACTCATTGACCTGATTAAAAGTAACAGCCTGAAATTGGGGGAAGTCCAATATCTAGTCATAGATGAAGCCGATCAAATGCTTGCGGTTGGATTCGAGGAAGATGTGGAAGTAATTTTAGAGAAGCTCCCGTCGGAGAGGCAGAGCATGCTTTTCTCAGCAACTATGCCCGCTTGGGTAAAAAAATTGGCAAGGAAATATTTGGACAATCCTTTGACAATTGACTTGGTATGTTTATCTTAACTTTTCTTTTTTCCCCTCCCTCAATAGTGCCTTTTTTTTTTGGTACTGCACAACTAGAATATGTGTGGATGCATGAATATAAGTATTTTCTAATTCTATTTCTATAATAAGATGACATTTAAGATAATATTCTTCAATCCATGTTATTTGGTGGTGCATTTGTGTATTACTGTTGTTTGCTTTCTGGGGAAAGGACATGTGGATGTCAAGAGGGAGAAAGACTTCCCTGCACCTTTAATACTTCGTTTTCTGTGCCATCAACCAATTGTATCATGTCACATAAGAAAAAGTGCTTTATTTTAGTGGGTCCTATCACTAAGTGTCATTATATAATTAGTTGGTGATACCACGTCACTAATACAACCGGCGCAATTAAGTTTTTCTCGTCAAGAGGGAATACTCATTACATGCATAAAAATTTTTAATACGTGTTTTCATACTGTTTAAAAGGTTTAGTCCACATTGACGTTGGTTGAAGAAATTTTGGTTTTTAGTTTCACATTTAAAAGAGCAATGCCATATAGAGGTCCCCCTCTCGATAAGAGTTTGGATCTCTCTTATTGACCACTGGATTGAGAAGCATTTCAAGATTTGTGAATGTTAAGACAAAAGTAAAAGAATTTTATCTCAATTCTACGGTGAATAAAGAGGGCTCATGGCCCTTGTCAAGAGGGTGACCTCTTGATAGCATTACTCTATTTAGAAATGCTAAAGAGAGTGATCTGCCAATAGACCTGATACATTGTTCTTACTGTTTGGTCCGGTAAGAGAAATACTCTTATGATTTATTACTATTTTATATATGCTAGTTTTAATCTTCTTCTACAGCCAAGCATGTTTTAAGTTTAATAACTGGCATAATAAATATCTTCTCCCTGCAAAAAGCCTTGGCCTATTAGATCTGTGCTCCTTTATTTTGTACTTATCCAGTTGGATGTTTATGCTAACTTTGAGCTTTCAATTATTTTTATCTTGCCCACCATTGGTAAGTCTGGGGAGAGTTGAACCCGAGACATTTGGTTTTTGAGCGATCACTGTAGCCAACTCACCGGCCTAAGCGGGTGAAAGTTAGACGAACTTTATAGCCATTGCAGAACATGATTCATTTGTATTAACAAGTTGTTCTTCTTGAAAAATTTATATTAAAAATGATGCTCTTTGGTATCTGTGTACCTTCTGAATGCATAGTTACGCATTCTATTTGCCAGGTGCTTTTTGTTCCCCCCCCCCCCCCTCCCTTCTTCCCCTCCCCTCCCCTCCCCTTCCCTCCCCTAATTTGAATGTATTTCATCATATCTTTTCAATGGATTGCAGTTATCTGTTATTGTGTACAACTATATATGTAAAAAACGTACAATGGATTTTAGTTTAATGAATTTTTTTTGACCCATTTCTTATTTTTTTCAATAGATTCAAGCACCAAAAATGAACATGTGGCACTTGAGCACACTAGATTTAATCTCTCCAACATAGTAGAAAGGCAATTTTACTCTGAAACTACAGGGATGGTCTCAAATTGTCATTGGATCTTCTCCATCTTATCTTCTGCCATAGCAGTTCAAGTATTTCTCTTTCAGTCTGTCTCCTCATGGTGCAAACATTTTGCACTTGAGCACACTAGATTTTCTCTCTCCAACATAGTAGAAAGGCAATTTTACTCTGAAACTACATGGATGGTCTCAAATTGTCATTGGATCTTCTGCCATAGCAGTTCAAGTATTTCTCTTTCAGTCTGTCTCCCCATGGTGCAAAAAAATAAATAAATTCATGAACGAACTCTATAATGTTCTTCCTTAACCATTTCTTTAAGCTCGCCTTCCTTCCCAAAAGGATGACATAACAAAAATGCACACAAGGAACCATTGCAGCCTACTAACATTAATGATGTTTATGTCAATATATGTCTTCTGGAAAACTAATTTTGAAAACTCGTTCTTTCTGTTTATTCTTGAAGGTCGGTGATCAAGATGAAAAGCTGGCTGAGGGGATCAAATTGTTTGCTATACCAACAACTGCAACTTCAAAGAGATCCATTCTTAGTGACCTTGTAACGGTATGAATTAGTGAATTTCTTTGAACTTACTTCATTCATGTTAAGTAAATAGTAGTTTGAGTTTTCCCCATTCGAGTGAAAGGAACATGTAAATAGAAGTTCAATAGGCTTCAATTTTGTCATGATTTTCAGGTATATGCAAAGGGTGGGAAGACCATTATTTTTACACAGACAAAACGAGATGCAGATGAAGTCTCAATGGCATTAACAAGTAGCATTGCTTCAGAGGCACTGCATGGTGACATATCTCAACACCAACGGGAAAGAACATTAAATGGTTTTAGGCAAGGAAAATTCACTGTGCTTGTTGCCACTGATGTTGCATCTCGTGGGCTTGATATCCCCAATGTTGATTTAGTAAGTTGTTGATATTGCTCTATCAATAAATTATATTTTCGATTCATGTTTTTTATTTTTCCGCGAGTTTGTTTCTGGGGGTATCCTACTGATTCACATTTCTTAAAAGATTTTGAAATGTGATTTTTTATTTATTTAAAAAAAAAAAACTAATTTATAGATCAATGAAATGCAAACTTGATTAATTATCACTTCCATGATATGAAAGACATTACTTTCATTGTGTTCATTTTAACATAGGGGTTGGATTAAATAAGATTAATAAAATGTTATATCTGTTGTACTGCTTCACAAAGTGTAAACAGATAGCATTATGACTTAATCTACTGAACTGAGCTATACCCTTCCAGTGTTTACCGTTTGGTAGTTCAAGTTTATAACTCAAACCATATGCTTTTATAGACCATGTCTCTTACAAGGATCACAGAAGTGTGATTGTGATCAAGCAAATATAATTTTTTTTGGACAATTGAGTTTCATTAATCAGGAGTGAAGACTGAGCAATTGTACTTCCTGGATAAGGTAATGAGAGGGGGGGTGGAAGATATCATGTCCACCCTTACCAGTACCACTGCACGTTTCCTATTGGACTTTCAAGTACATACTTAAAATGAGTTAAAACAGTGATAAGGTGATTAAACATACATTATCCTTACATTGCATTTGGATGCACATGTTGGTCATCTTGATGGATTTTTGTATAAAGTACTCAACACTATGTTTGGTAGGAGGGAAGTAAGAGGAAGGGAGGGAAGAGAGGAATGATGGAATATGCTTCATTGTTTGGTAAAGGGAGAAGGATAGGGAAAGATGGGAGGATGGATAAGGCTTTGAGCTTCGAGCCCACCTATTTAACTTTGTCAAAAATTGCATGGAAGGTAGGAGGGAATGAAATGATATTTCTTGACTAAAATGGTAAAGACGTTATTACCGTTATTTATTACTTTATTTAGTGAGGGTTGTAGTAATAAAATAATATCGGAAGCCTCATCCTCCCTTCCCTTCTACCAAACGATGGAATGTGTCACCTATTTCTTTCCACTCAAGCAAACAAAAGGAGGGACGGATGCCTTCCATCCCCAAGGATGCCTCTTCCTTTTCGTGTCCTATTCTTCCATTCACATTTTTTTTTTTAATATCCCTCCTACCTAGACTTTTTAAATGGAAATGGGGTAGTTGGTTAAAGTTTTAAAATGAACTTTAATGAGTTTGAAGTAGTTAGAGTTTTCTGTTACATGAACTCTGGTACATGTGCTGGATGCGGGTATGTAATCCATGCGTTGGACATGTCAAATCTCCAAACAGGACACATGGACATTGCTAAATATTTATATTTCTTTTGTAATGTAAAATAATGTTTTTTTATTTTTTTATTTTGCAACATACTGTTCAATTTAGGCATTTAACTTCTTTTGAAGAGATAATGTAATAAAAATGAATTATTGGATGTATCTTTTAGGTGTATGTCCAAAAGTGTCAGACAAATATCACATATTCATGTATGAGCATTGTGTGTCTGAAATGGGTATTTCATCTGCTTTTGAAGAGTACACGTAATGATTTAAGAGTACATATACTCTTGATCTTCTTGTCTCTGTATGTGTTGACTGGAATGAAATAAGGGTTTCTTCTAAACCCGTGTATAATCCTAACCCTGTCACATTATTCATTTGAAGTGCCCTACTTGTACTATATTATTTACATGACCCTCTTATAGATATTCATTCTTTTTATGGAAGAACCTTGACTTCTCTAATATATATATATATATATATATATATATATATATATATATATATATATATATATATTAAAAACAACATATTCTTTTATTCACACATACGTTTATCCAAAGTACTGTACTTGATCTTTCCCCCTTTCAAGAACCTATCCCAAGCATAAATTTTTTTACATTTTTTTTATAATATTGTATTCTTTATAATGTATATATTGTAAGCACTCATTCTTGTGATGTATATGTATATACCTATATCTTGCAAAGTTGCGATGATGTATTTTTCTCCTTTTCATCTAACCTTTTGTACGTTAACCACAATTATTTTGGCAAGTTTTCTCAGAAACCCCAATACTTGGCCTCAGGTTGCGTTTATATGAATGTTTGGTCTTAGTAATTTGTGGAATTAATATGTATGAGAATTCTTCCTCTATTTAGTATGATAATGTTTTCATGTGCAGCTAGGTTGATTACTTAAATTAATTTAGTATGATAATGTTTTCATGTGCAGCTTGGTTGATTATTTAAATTAATTTTTGCTTTGAAACCTTTGGTTGTATTTCATTTTGTTTAACTTCAATGATTTCTTAAATATATTGTCTCTGAGCTTTTAGTCCAGAATGTGATTTCAAAATACTAAGAAGTATGTGGGCTTCCCTTTCTTCCAGATTATCCACTATGAACTGCCCAATGATCCAGAGACTTTTGTGCATCGCTCTGGTCGCACAGGTCGTGCTGGAAAAGAAGGCTCTGCTGTTCTGATGTTCACTAATAGCCAGAGGAGAACAGTCAAATCCCTAGAGCGTGACGTGGGATGCAAGTTTGAATTTATTAGTCCACCATCAGTTGAAGAGGTTTTAGAGTCATCAGCTGAGCAAGTGGTTGCTACCCTTGGTGGAGTCCATCCTGAGTCTGTGAAGTTTTTCACCCCAACTGCTCAAAAATTGATTGACGAACGAGGAACAGGTGCTCTAGCAGCTGCATTAGCACAATTGAGTGGTTTTTCCCGACCCCCCTCATCCCGGTCTCTTATTAATCATGAGCAGGTAAATGATGGGTGGCATATTTCTGTTTTTAATTTTAAAGTCCTTATTTTGTTTTTGGTTGTAGTTGTTTACTCCCACCCCCCACTCCCCTGCCCCCAAAAATATATATACACTCACAATTTTAGCGTAGATTGAGTTCTAAAATGTAATATTACATACATTTTATTTTAAATTCTACTCTTGTATGATATTGACTCAGGTAACCCATATATTTCTCAAGAGAATTATCAATTGCTGAGCTTTTATATGGTACCATGTCATGCAAAAATAGATGGTAGATTTGTATATGAAAGTGCTTTCTAATTAACTTGCCACTTGCATTTTCTTTTTCAAGGGGTCATGCAGAATATATATTTTTACATGAGTTTTGGTATCACCCTTTGTCTTTAAGAGATATTCAAAACAGCAATAACGTAGAAGAAGATGAAGAAGAAGAGAAGGAAGAGGAGGAGAGAAAAAGAGAGAGATGGGGAAAGGGTGAGAGAATGAAAGAATTCTTTCATCCTTCCACCACATTGTATTTATACAAACAAGTTTCAGAAATTACATACAAGCCCCCAACATTAGATAACCTAATAACAAATAAGCCCCTGACAACATCACCTTCCACGAATGCATGCAGGGTCAGTAGTGGAAACCATCCCTTACTCAGGGACTTTGCCTCTAGGCTGTTGTCCCAAGATATTCTTTCTTGAAAGTTCATTTTAGTTTCCACTTGTTCATGTTCTTCTTTGTCCAGTTGACCTGTAAGTTGCCACTAGTTTGGTTTAGAACTTTCACCAGTGAGCAAATCTATTGGTTGGCAACATGTATTATGTATTATTTAGCTCTGTTTTTTTAATACATCTAGCCATTTTTGGTTGCAAGAATCCTTGATGCTTTCTTACCCTGTGGTTGTGTTCAATGTCCTATTTTAGAATCTTTTATTGATGCTCTATTTTCAAGTATCTTTGTGCAGCCTTATGCAGGTAAACTGATCATTCAATTTGAAATTGACCCTTGCATTGCAGGGATGGGTAACATTGCAGCTAACACGTGATCCAGGTTATATCAGAGGGTTCTTGTCTGCTCGATCTGTCACTGGATTTCTGTCTGACATTTATTCCGCTGCTGCTGATGAAGTTGGAAAAATACACATAATTGCGGATGAAAGGGTTAGTATATGGCACATGTTTGAGTTGGTTTTATTTGGAAGCATCTTTATTGATGCATTGATTCGTCCATTGTTGACATCTCATCTGTAATGTGTAATACCAGGTTCAAGGAGCAGTGTTCGATCTTCCGGAGGAGATTGCGAAAGAGCTACTAAATAGGCAGATACCACCTGGAAACACTATTTCCAAAATCACCAAGGTTGACTTCATATTATGGTCATTGTTTCTTAATATAGCTCCACGACATGTATTGATTGAGTTGTCTATAATCTGATTGTAGAATTTGTAGTGCAGTTTATATATGTATCTGTGCATTGTATGATGTTCTAATAGGAGTCCCAGTATAAAATTTATTGACGGATACTTGAAATCTGTGTATGCTCATTTGTGTTTGCAGTTGCCTGCTTTGCAAGACGATGGGCCTCCAAGTGACCACTATGGCAGGTTTTCTAATAGCGGCAGGGGGGGTTACCGAGGAGGTTCAAGGGACAGAAGAGGAGGTTCCAGAACTTCCCGAGGTTGGGGCAGTGGTCGGGACTTTCTTGATGATGACAATAAGGATGATTTTAGGCGTGGTGGTCGGGGGGGAAACAGAGGTGGCAATAGTTGGTCTCGGAACTCAAACTCAAGAAGCACTGGGAGTGATTGGCTAATCGGTGGTAGACAATCCAGCTGGTCATCATCCCCTGGAAGTAGGGACAGGTATATCCAGCTCCTGTTTACATATCAAGTATTTCTCTAAAGAACCTAGGCGTCATCTTCTGTCATTGTTCATAACTTTATAGTTCAAAGCTTCATAGTGGAATTTGACGTAATTTCATGAAAAATGGGATGGATTGGGGTTACATGCATGCCTTCAGGTCCCCAAGATAATTATTGTTCTGGAACGATACTGGTTTTTTTTTCAGTTCCTCAAGAGGTTGAAATTAGATTTATTAATTATCATTTGATTCACCATATATGATAAGTAAATCTGTTAAAATCTGACACAACATTTGAATGTGCATAACAGTAACAGAACCTTTGGGGGTGCATGTTTCAACTGTGGGCGGTCTGGTCACAGGGCATCTGAATGCCCCACCAAGCAATCATATTAGGTCTATGATTTGCGATATATGGTTTCCCCCTGCTTGTAGACGACAGAGGGGATACTCCTGAAACTTCTGCTACCTCCGCCATTTCTGGGCATTGCCTCTGGTATTTTGTTGCTATCCAGTCTGTCCAAAATGTCCGGTAAATTAAGAGAAGTTCTCCGGTGAAGAGTCGAGAGCAAGCAACTTCAATCTCAATCTTCTGCGTCGACATTCCCTTCTCCCACACCCATCACACAAAAATATGTAATGTTTTGACATGCCAATTGTTTCGCTCTATTTGGCAGGTTTATTGTCCACCTATTTTGTAATTCTATTTAGCATCTTTGATCTTATTTAAACTCTGGTAATTTTGTTGCATTTAGCATTTAGTTTATATGCTTCTAGAATCTAAAGAAAAATGAAATTTGTGTCAAATGTTAACTTGGATGTATTGGATCAGTTTGAGTGCCTGCCATCTTAAGCTCATTTAAAAATGTATTAGGCGGAAACTAAATGAAGTAAAGGTTATCGCTTGGTTTAGTTTTCTGGAACAGCTTTCAAATGGAACTATAAAAAAGTGTTCTTCAAATTTTGTTCTCTAACTTAATTTTTTAGAAACATTAATTTTTTTTTGTTTGTTTGTTTTAAGTGGTTTAAACTAAAAGTTAAGCGTTAATATTTTCAAATTTTCACTTCCATAAAAATAATAATAAAACAATTAGGGTCCTTTTGTACAAGAGATTAGTTGAAAAATTGCATGATTTTTGGGCGTTCGACAATTCGTTATTATTTATTAGTTAATTTTATTTTAGAAGAAAGGCAATCGGGGTTCACTTCGTCTTTTTTTGAGACTAGTTCCATTTGTATTCCTTATTTGGTTTGAATCGATACCACTTCGAACATTTTTGATCTTAACTATAAGGAATTATTTAAAATAAATACTAATAATAGTTATTTAAATTATTCTTGTATTTTATAACTTACTTTCTTTATAAATATGTATATACTAGTAAAACGGTAAAATCTAATTTAAAATTAATATTTAACAAGTAATTATTAATTAAAAATTTACTCTATAAAACATAATTAACAAAAGGAAAATGATAAGGGGCCGAAGGGTAATCCTGAAAAAACGTGGTTGGCATGTCAAATCCTCTAAAACTTCGTTGGCACGTCAGATTCTCTTAAACTTCTTGCGCGTAAAGAGTAAAAGAGCCATCACGTGCTTAGCTCACCCCTAAAATAAATTGAAAAAAAAAATTATTTGAGAAGATAATATAGCGATAAACACTATGAAGGTATATACAAATAGAAATATATATATACATAATTACATATATGTTGGTAATAGATCATAAATATTCAAAAAATTTTTTTTACAAATTTCTCAATAGATTTAGGTATTATGATCATCTTGTATTCGAATTACGCATAAAAATTCGGTTCAATATAATTACATATATGTTGCGCGTAAAAATCAATAGATTTTTTTTTTAAGAGTTTCAATATGATCCAATCATGTTGTATTCGTAAAAAGAGTTAATAATTGAGATCGGGAGACTTAGCATTTTTTTTTTAAAGCGTGATGAACTCTTTTGCTTCTTTACGCAAAAGGGATAAGAATCTGACGTGGCCAGATCACGACTCCGTGATTAATTCGGAGAATATTTTTCAGTTCTCTATTACTCCTCTTAACAAAACTAATATTTGATATCTTTCGGTTCCAGTCACTCCTCTTAACAAACAAAACTAATAATTTAACACTCACTTGAGTTTGCCTAGCCGATACATATTATGCACATATACCTAATCGAAGAAGTCAAAGAACGATTCGGAACAAAGAAATATTTAATATTTAATAGTTTGGTTCGATTAGGTATGATTCAGTCCTTTTGAATCTTAAATCGTAAGCTAACAGCAGTCAACTACTGGATTAAGGGATTTAACAATTTTTTGTGCCCTTTTTTCAGCGAGGCTGAGCTCCAACTCCACTGAAAATTCGTAAATAAAACCAGGGTATCAGTTCAAAACCTTCCACTCCTCTCTCTGCAGAGTCTGAAGCAATTGGAAAAATGTTTTTCCACATAGTATTGGAGCGAAACATGCAACTCCACCCTCGCCACTTTGGCCGCGACCTCCGAGAAAAGCTCGTCGCCAAACTCATGAAGGATGTGGAGGGCACTTGCAGGTTGGCTTCTCTCTTTCACACCTAAAAACCCTAATTTATAAAACCCCTTTTATTTCTTTATTCAATTAGAAAAATCTTGATCAATTTATTTTCAGCGGTCGACACGGATTTGTGGTCGCGATTACGGGTATAGAGAACGTCGGCAAAGGGCGTATTCGAGACGGCACTGGGTTCGTGACCTTCCCTGTAAAGTACCAGTGCGTTGCATTTCGACCCTTTAAAGGGGAGATCTTAGAAGCTGTTGTTACTATGGTCAATAAGGTATGTTCTCTGTTTTACAATTAAACTATGCATGTAATGTAGGATTTGTAATTTTATTGGTAATTATTGCAGATGGGATTTTTTGCTGAAGCCGGGCCTGTCCAAATTTTTGTGTCCAATCATGTGAGTCTACAAGACTTTTTGAATATTTTTTTGTGCTATTGTAGGTCTATTGTTTACATGTCTGTTTAAATTTCTCTTGGGTACTGAATAATTTCTTAATAGTCTAGGTTTGGTAGCTTCCTTGATCTTCTTGTTCAATACTTCATGAGCACAGCTTATTTTAGCGTAATTGTTTGAACTTGATTGATTATCGAGAGTTGTTGTACTTTTTACTTTCTTAATCTTTAAATTTTGGTTACGAAGAAGTTGAACTCAAAAAGCTCTAGTGGCTGTATTTTAGCTTTCTGAGCTGTGGAAATAAGAAGTAGACTGCAAATGGGCAATTTTAAAAGTTCAAAAGAAGTGCATGGCGTCATACAACTTAAGAGATAGCCTCTCATTGAGTTAGTGTTTTGAGGGATGAAGTGGCATCCTATAATTGAGAGAAATTGATTCAGATTGTTTTTGACAGTGTGCAGTAAAGACCAATAACTATACCAATAAAGATGAGTGACATGGTCCACATCAAGAGTACTGCTAGCAAAAAGGAGGATCAAAAGTCAAAACTAACATATGTTCATATAATATGAAAAAAAAATTGATAGCATGTCGTTTATGATAGGTTGTGACCTTATATAAAACAGAATGGCTAAACATTGTCCGTGCATGTGATATTTTGATCCCTACTAGTTGGAAAAAGACTTTGTTAAGCGGAGTCGAGTTAAACCGAGTCTCTATAGCGGTTAAAGAGGTTTCCTTGGGCTTTAAGAGATCAAAAGGTTAGTAGATATATTGACATGTTCAAGGATGTGGCATTAATGTAATTGCAAATCTGGAATGATCAGAATTGCTGTCCCTACTGTTGGGCACATTTATCTCAATACTAGCCTACTGAGAGTATCAAATAAAATATGTATGAATTCAAGAGTTGTACTGCTTCTATTTTTCATGGTTTATGGCATATGGAATATGGACTGGAGCAAAGTGAAAACCGTGTTGGCTTATTTTGTGTAAATCCCATACCTTGACTCACTGGTAGTTGAATTGTTATACGGTAGTCATTTGACCATTTAATGATTGTGTAAAATAACTGGGCTTGCTTGAGCAATTCTCATGTTTATGGTTCATAAATATTTAATGAAAAGCAACCATGTGGCGATTTGAGTATTGAGGATAGAACGCTTCCCTAGAGGTTTTGTTTTCGTTTTTTGTTTTTATTTCGGTTTAATTCCATTTAATATTTGTAAATCATATTATTACCTTATTAGAACACCTAGCTACCTCTCTGGATAAAAGATGAAGCGATCTCCCTTGACTGGTGGCAAAACATGCCTTGGCTATCACTTGGTAGCACAAGCAACAGCTTGCTACCTGTATGTGAACCTTATTTCCTGGCTTCGAAATTTGCATGCATAGATGGGGATACCCCCTTATATCTATACCTATATATGTTCATGGAAAAATCAATGGGGCTTCAAGAGGAAACTTAAACAAAATTCTGTGAACTACCTCCCATCTTTTCTCCTAGGCTCTGTTTGGTTAGACGGTAATTAATAGTGGAAAATGAAAGTGAAAGAGTGGAGTGAATGAAAAGAAAATATGTTTTCCATTGTCTATTTGTTTAGAATGATTTTTTTTTTTTCAGGAAAATTATGGAAAAAATACCATTTTATGTTCTGAATAGCAGGAAACTTACCATAAAAGAAAGGGCATTATTGTAAGTTCATAAATTTTTTTCGGTGTTTTTGTTGGAAAATTTTATGGGAACATTAGGCGGTTATGGAAAGTAATTTTCTCTCAAAATTTTCCTTTTCTTGCTAACACAACTTCTAATGTGTTAAAAAAATTTCCTTTCGTTTCTTTTCTTGCAATTTCAATCTTATCAAAACGAGTCTTACTCATTTCTCTATTTCCCGACACATGCAGTCTTCAATTTCCCATCGGCAAGTGTGAGAGAGAGAGAGAGATGATATTGTTAGTGGATACTGGCAATTTTGATCGAGTGCAAAACATTGGTGGTTGGCCAAGAGCTCCAATCCCTTTCTCCACCGCCCTCAGCAATGCGTAAGGAGATCTACTCTCAAAACTGTGGTTACCTTCCTCTGTAATTAAATAATCTACAAACCTAATTGTTACCATCTTGATGGGAATATGTAGAGAACCCATGCCTTCCATGCTTTTTGCATGTTCTGAACCAATCTGTTTGCACACACAATCCTTAGCAGATGGCCACAGAGAAGGGACAAATCAGTGGAATACCAAGGGATGGTGTTTATCCATTCGCTATCTGGTGGAAGCAAAGTTTTTCTGACGCTGTTGCTGCTCCTCCTCCCTCTTCCATTACCTAGGAGTATATGAAGAACTGACAGTGCACTAAGGCAAACATAGTGAAATACTTATAAATAAATAAAAAAAAGCCAACATAGTGAAAATGGCAAGAGAGGAAGTGATGGTTGAATTGTCTTTTCGACATATAAAAGATGTAGCGTGGAGTGTGAGAGTAGGTATTTGGAGCTATCTTACATGGACTCTTCTATATCCCTTCACGTAGCCGTGTTGATGTAACACAACATAGGTATGGGTACTAGATATGTGTCCAACACACAAACACAAGTCAGACACCTAGATCCTTCACAAGGCATGATTAGAGAGGAATATCTATGAGATGGATAGAAACCTTTTCTTTTACCACATTCCATTTAATTTAGGTAATAATTGTGTATATTCCTATAAAAGATAATCATTAAACATTACAATATAATAAAACATATAATGTATTTACATGCGTAGTATGTGTATACGCACTTGTATCCAACTTTGGGACACATATCCCCGTATCTTAAGATTTGGGTTTGAGGAGGTCCGACACTTGGATATACACTCGCATGTGATAGACTTACCCGAGTCTGGGTAAATACACTTAGATATACACTCGCACATGATAGACTTACCCGAGTCTGGGTAAATTAAATTGGGAGGGCCAATAGAGCTACACCCAAAAAATTATCTGCAAAATATATATCTATGTAACTATGTATACCATGTAATATGTATTTATTTAAGGCTCCATTAATCTTGATGTGCGTTTTCACGCGGCTTTATTAGAATTTATCATCTACCTCCTATGATTTTTTAGAAAATTATCTTTTACATGAATTTTGTGTACTGTATAGATTGAGCCTAATGGATACGTCTAAGTACATACGCTAAATATATCTGCTATATCTGATCCGCATACAATTACACTGTAATATTGTCCTCTTGTTCTTTTAGTTAATACCAGATGATATGGAGTTCCAATCTGGAGATATGCCTAACTACACGACTTCAGACGGATCAGTATGTATCAGTTTCTACTTACTTTAATAAGCAGTATTCTTCTTGAAGTCTTTACTTCATAGATGCATGCATGCTTGAATATTGATCTCATTGGTCCTTTGCAGGTTAAGATTCAAAAGGAGAGTGAAGTTCGATTAAAGATTATTGGAACTCGAGTGGATGCTACAGAAATTGTATGATACTGTCTTTTCTGTAGTCATTGGAAAGTATTTATTCATTGGTTATAAATTGAAGCTTTTAGTTCATTATATTCCCTTCCCAGTTATAATTTAAATTTGATACAGTTCAGACTTTTTTATGCTCCCATAGTAGTTGTCTTCATGTGTTCGCGTCTTATTGATGATTATTGAAACTAGGATAGCAGTAAATTCTAGGAGAGATCCACAGATAGATGGTTTGAAATCTTCAAAAATAGAATAGGAAAATAAAAGAATAAGCAAGAAAACAACACCACAATTGTTGAGTGTGAACTTGTCCCTATCCATCCAAGTTTATCTATGAATTTTTTTTGTTTTAACTGCATTAAGATATTACATTTAATTATCAAATAAAATAGTTATGGTTGCTGGCCTGGACTAGCAAAATGAAATTTCCAGTCTCAGCTTAGAAAAAATGCAATTGTTAGATATATATACGTGTACTATAAAGGATTTCCATTTTATTGTTTCAGTATAAACAAATCCTACTTGTTCAAAGAAGTGATGTGGAACTGTTTAATATAGAAGTAGAATAAATACAAATTCTAAGAATGATCTGTAGGTAGATGCTTACAATCTTTGGAAACTAAAAAGAAATTGAAAAGGAACAAGCAAGAGATAGATGCTAGAACTATTGAGTTGATTGTGTTCATTAGTATTAATAATGTATATTTATCATCTTGAAGTTCTTCTGTTCAAACTACTTACCACAAGAAAAAAAAAAACAAAAAAATTGTTCTTCTGTTCTAACTTCATTAAGCCACTAAATGTGTATATCTTTTTAATAATGCAGGTAAGCAAAATATAACCTCCTCCTACTAACAAAACTATGCATATAACCCCCAACAGAATCATAAAACCCCTCGAATTAACAAAAGTTATCATATTACCCCAATTCGTGATGGAATCATTAACTGAGTTGTTAAATGACCAAATTAACCTTATTAATTAATGCTTAAAAAAAAAAAAATTTCCTTATCTCTGGCCATGCACCACCCGTCTCACGCCTCCCCCTTTGCAAGGTTCAATTTGTTTTTTTTCAATTGAATTTTCTTCTATAATCCACAAGAATATTGTGTGTGTGTGTATGTATATAGATACATAGTCTCTTATACAAGACAAATCGATTATTTTCAGGTCTTAGTGTCCTACTCTTATATATTCATAACAACATATATACATATAATGTATACATAGGAAACTCTTATATTGAGATGTTAATGAGAGGACAAGAATAGGAAGATGGTTAGAGGAGCATAACAGCATTATTGTGCCATAGTGCTTCAAAGTGATCAAAATGGGTTGACACTGGACAAGTGATGATTCAAAAAGTATACTTACCAAAAAAAAAAAGGTGATGATTCAAAAAGTATAAATTTTGAGGATATTTATAGGGTCAAAATGTAGAACTTTAGGTTTTTATTTTTATTTATGTGGTCAATTTCATCTCTGAAATTGGGGTTGGAGTTGAAAATGGTGCCTCTTTTGTGGTCAATTTCATCTCAATTTCTCAGACTTGTTCTTCTTTTAGGTTTTCTGTCTCTTTGCCGGATCTCCAGCACCGGCGTCCAAACTCTGAACCATTTCATTGCCAGACCCAATTCCTTTTTTCTGCTCAACACACAAAAACAGAACAACCACAACATCAATGTACCAGTGTTAATTTGTCTCATTGGCCCAACATTTCGTTTCAATTTCTTGATAAAAAATGAAACTAACTTTAGATTTAGATAAAGCATTGATGTTGCCATTATTAAGTGATGGAGCTGAGGACGAATTGATTCGGGTAATTTCATCCAAAGCAGAGCATTTTCGAAGAAGTTTCAGTTGAGAAAGCTTGGGGTATAGTTAAAGCAATTATGTTTCGATACCCAGAATATCATTGTTGGCGAAGAGTGGCTGAGAGAAGCTCCCTCCGACAAGTGTTTCTCCGAGGAAACCTTCATTGCCTGCCATTGATGTATCAAAATCAAACCCAACAACAGTTTTTTGATAGAGAGAGAAAGAGAGATTGGACGTGGGCTTATAGGAGTAAACAATGGAAGGTTCTGATATTGAATCTCAAACAACAGAAACATAGAGAAATTGAGGGAAAAATAGATGGATTAACTAAATATATACATACATATCACATAGTTGCAAAACAGGAGGATGATGACCAATGACGAGTGATCAGAGGTTGTCAATCTGAGTCTGCTGTCGTCTTGGTATGAGTGAGAAATTCTAGGTTTGTTCCGTAAGTAAAAAGAGAGGAGGCGATTAAGAAGAGAGAAGGGTATTTTCGGTATAAAGAAGGTAAGCAAGAGCATGTGACATCACGTGCTCCTTTCCTGTTATTATCTAACAGCAGAGTAACGGAAATGGGGGTAATTTGATCAGTTTTGTTAGTTCGAGTGGTTTTATAATTCAGTTGGGGGTTTTATGATTTTAACCCATTAATTTACGGCGGCGTTTGACTTTGGGACCATCATTTTCCCTTGATAAAAACAATGATAAACCTGCCTCAAAATAAATTCATAAAAGATGACTGAAAAAAAAAAAAAGATTTATTTAAGAGCCCTGCTTTGAAACCCAAGAGCTGAAGAGAATATAATAACTATGCAGTCGGTAAAGTAATCAATAGTAATGCCTTAACTTGCATCAAGTAAATAGAATTGACCTTTGTTAGGATTTAGTGTGGTGGGTTGGCATATTTTGTAACAAAAGCCAGATTCTGTACTTTTTATTTTGAGTTATTTGGATAGAATCGATTATCTTAATTGAAATTATTACTCAAAATTTCAATCATAATTTGTAGTCTTCAGTGCATTCAATTTCATTCCCCTTATTCCTTTGGTTCTCATTCTGCATTTTTTTAATTATTTGTTAATTGAGTTCCCGAATTAATTCGTGGCTTATTTGCAGTTCTGTATTGGTACCATAAAAGATGATTTCCTGGGTGTGATCAGTGACCCTGGCGCAACTTCATAATGGAATTGTTGGTGATTATCACATCTAACCGCTCCAACGAATAGCAGGCAATGAGCATGCCTAGCTTGCTTAATTTTGTTTCAGAAATTCCAAGTAGTGTTGGTGACACTACATTCAATATCGTGCGACTGATTACGTGTTGTGTAAAGATTGCTCTGATGTTCTTGGCTAGGAAAAAGGAAAGCTGTTGGCCGAGTCTGGTTGCAGTCCATATTGTATGAAGTTGAGCCATTCATGCTGTGAAATGGTCATAATCTGTCAGTAATGTTTGCTGTCAAATATCAGGATTGACATAGATTCTAATGAATCCTGCGCCAATATATATATATATCTTTCTTGGCCCTGCATAAGCATATTTGCATTTTTTTTTTTCCTTGACAAATTTTGTACCGCTCAGAAATTATGTATCTAGTCCATGGATAAAATTATGCTATCACCCTTGCAATGATTTTTCTCTAATTCTGTCGGTACTAACTCCGCTTGAGAGGAGAATGAAATGTGGTTACTTGTAAACACTAAATTTTAAGGGTTGTGTGAAGACTTAAAAGGCTGGGTTTTAGCTACTCTCCATTTCCAAGTTCTACTTGGTTTTAAGATTTTTTTTCCCTAACTCTTAGGCCCTGTTTGGCATGGGTTTTGTTTCTGTTGTTTTTGTTTTTGGGTTGTTACAGTGTCGATTTTGGCAACAAAAACATGTTTGGTGCGGTCTTATTTTATTTTAAACAGTGCTAAAACACTTCGTGAACAGTGACCCAAAACTAAAATACCAAAAAGATGTTTTTTTTTTGTTTTGTCTGTTAATGGCTCAAAACTATAGCGGTGCATATTTATGTTTCTACATTTTCATAGCAAAACATCGTTCTCAAACGTGCTTTCGATTTGGTGTTTCTATTTTAGCTCAAAACAAAGCGCATGCCAAACGTGCCCTTACTAATAACTCTCGTACCCTCAGTCATATCCAACTTCAATTTATTGATTTTGTTTTTAATGCATGTTTATGCTCCATTTGTTATTTAATGATTTTTTTTTTTTTTTTTTTTTTTTTTTTTTTTTTTTTTTCAAATAGAATCCGTACCCTCCATTTTTTAGGAGGCAATGTTTATGCTTTTAGTATGTAATTTTAACCTCTTCTTCAATTCCTAGTTCTCTTGCCAGTTTATGGGTTCTGCCATGGCGTAACACATTCTATAAAAACTTTTTCAGCATTTTAAAAGTATTAATCTAACAATAATTCCTTTCAGAAAAAAGTTTTAAATGAAAAATATTTTTCCAAGTAATTTGTCCACATTAAACCCTTCGCAATGAAATATATCTTCAATTTTTACCTTTGGTCGAAAATGATACTTAAACTGACTGAGTTAGAAGAAGGTTTAGTTTTTTCAGATAAGGGATAATGTCCAATTAACCCGTAGTAGAAAGATTTTAAGGATAAGGGATAAAAGTCCGATTAACCGTAGTAGAAAGATTTTAAGATCAAAAAGAGTTTTAACGATATTATTAAATAAAGCGTGTTTTTAAGTCTCCATTGTTCAGACTCTTTGTTTGGAATATCTTTAACTGAAAAATTTTCACTAGAAAAATGGAATAACATATATATATTATATGTATTATATATAAATGGTATGGAGCTAAAGTGTAATAATTATAAAAAAAATAAAGACATCGAAAAATACTAATTATCCACATTTATCATTTAGTGGTATATGTGTGAATCAAAGTTATACTTGATGCACAAAAAATAACACTTAATAAATAGTATTTTTTCATGTTGAAGTCAGTATTTTGGCCAATTTTTTTTTTTTATAAGACTATGAGACTTTGTCATTAGCACCATTTGTAATAATCCCTATATATTATGTTACTTTAATCCTGTCCTTTTTGGACTTTTTAAGTCCAAGAGTCTATCCGATCAAATGAGAGAGAGGGTTTTAACTTTTGTCGACAGTGTTCAGTTTAGAATGAGAAAAAGAGGGTCAAATCGTTCTCTCGCTTAGTTACCATTTCAATTGATCTGTATACAAACAAGCTTGATTGATTTCTCTTGTTTGGGGTTCTTCCAACATTATTTCAAGATCTGATCTGTAAGTATACATATTCCTTTTCTCGTCCACCAAGTGTTTGCTGGAATGCCTCACTAGAATAGCCGTCGGATGATGGCTTGGAGAGGATCCAAATCCGTTAAATGATGCATCTGTTGGTGGTCATGTCCAGACTTTATCCCTGTCATGTCACTAATATGAGTTCTTAGAGTATCCAAAAGGATAAAACTCAAAGATTTGGGGTTTCAGATGATATATTGGCATCTTATTCTCAAGTATCTATAACAAAGTTCTTAGTTATCGTTCCAAACTTCCATGAAAGTTGATTATTTCTTTCTTTCTTTCTTTCTGTGTTTAGCCTTGAAAAAGTTCGTGGTTAGTATTACATATAAATTTATTTCTTGGGTTTTTGATAAAGTGAAAAACTGTGATTCATCTTTTGGCAAAATTCCAAATTTAGTCAGTTTCCATCTGTGCAAACCCATGAATCATGTCTTCTTGAATCACAAGTATGTTTGATCGACACTTTTAAGACGAAGTTAATGAATAAAAAAGTTTAGTTTTCTCATTGCAACCTGACTTGGCTTGAACACTGGTTTTTATTTCAAGTTATTAGATTTGGTTTTTGTTGGACCACAAGCTGAAAGTTTTATCAGTGATAGGATTGTACTAAATTTCAACTCCAAATTAACTTAAACTGCTACAAAAGCAATATGGATTCGAGCCTGAATTAATGGTTACGATGCGGTTTATGACATCTTTTATAATTCTAGGTTCAAGTTCATGCAAATTGATTGCCAAAATATGCTTGTCATATTATTCTCTGATTTATGCACATTTATTATTGGTGTCCCAAATCATTCAAGGAGGATTTTATCTTATATCTAGGACCCTGAACGCGACGGCCTTTATAAAGTATGTTTACAAGGACATGTTCTGTAAATTTATCTTTTTTCTCATCGATTATTAAGTTTCTTCTTGTTATACAATTCTCTTGGCGGCTAATAGAAAGATAAATTTGCTCAACTATTTTTCCCCTTCTGGGATCCTAACAGATGAATGGGTTTCATATATGTATTCATCTTCATCAATTTTGGAAATAGTTTGATATTTTAATGGCCTTAATTCTTTCTCTTTTCTGTATGTGTGTAGGAATTAACTGAAGTAAAGAGCGATAATGGCAGAAGTAAGCCTGGGGATCCTTATAGATATAGTGGATGAGGAATGGATGAGAGACACTCTGCCTGATGATGGTAAGACTTTTTACTTCCTTATTCCCAAATTTGCACATTACTGCAGTAACATCTCTCTATTTTTGTTCAAATCGTGTTTCCTTTACCTTACAGATCTTCCTTTGCCACCGGTGCTGGTATCACGGAATGATGACACTGAAGACTCAAGTACGTCTTACCTTACTCATCACACTTCATTAAAACTAATACGATTTCGAAATTTTTAGGTTTCTTTATTTTGAGGCCTACATTGATATCCTTGGTACTTATTATCAGCGTATATATAGTTATAGTTATCAATGTTCCGAAAACTGAAGGTTTTGAGATAGGTTTGGATAATATTATTTAAACCTAAATGGGTTGGAAGATTTTGAAAATTGTTTGGGGGAATTGGGCTGTTTTTTGTCGCGTGAGCATGATGAATTGATTTTCTTTAAATCAACAAATGTGTTTCAAGAAAACAACATTTACGAACACTGAGGTTGGTGCCGCTTACACTTGCGCGAAGTGGTGAAAGATTTCAAGTAATTTTCTTTATGTTGTATTCTAATGAACGATGTTTAGCTGCCAATCCAAAATTTTGGAGCAACATGGTCTATGAAACTCGCAGAATATATGTAAAGCTAGGTGGCTGGGGCCACTGTTATCTTTCCCAAAGAGTAGTCCTGATTTTCAGTTTTGTGTTTTTCTTGAAATGTTATTCATGTACATAGTCTAGCGCTTGCATACTTTTCCACGGTTATACTTACATGTGCCCTTCCTCCTTTGTTTAAAAAGATTGATCTTTTATCATCATTTGAGTAAATGTAAAAGATTTCAACCGCAAAGTATAACAATCTATTGTGGTGTAAAATTGGGTATAGAATTATATTGCTCAGCTTCAATACACTTGTAAAATGGTTGAATAGCATCCATCTGACCTGACTCAAACTGAGGGTAATTTAAGGGAAGGAGAAGATCAAAATTAACATGTGTTGAGACTTGAGATATCAATATATATATATATATATATTGGTTTAGTTTATCTGAATTTAAAGCATGATGAGCAATTCTGTTTTCTTTTATTTGACCTAATTAATTATTCACTTTTTTGTCTAACTTTCGGGATTTTTCTGTTATCAGATCAGGAGCCACAAGTAGTTCAGGGGGATACCTGGCGTGATCTTGCATTGGGAACCCAATGAAGGTTTTGCATCAATGGTCACCAAGTCCAGTTTCTATGAACATTGTTAAAAATGCAGATTTTAACTACTTGGGTGTTGAGTTCAGATAAATGCTTATTATTAAACTTATTCAAAACTAATTTTGCTTTACAAAACCTTTGTCTTCTGGTTGAATGGTTTATGAGGCATTGTCTGGCTGGCTTCTCTATGTATATGCCATTAGCCATATCAATTCACAGAGTCCATTCATCAACCATATCAGGAGATGTCATTTCGATTGTTGCATATTACAGCCCTTGTGAGTTGATTACACCCCCCCCCCCCCCCCCCCCCCCCCCCCCCCCGGCGCCTCAGCAGCCGTACGATCACTTTGGAAACACATAACTCTCTTGAACTATGCTTTTGGCGAGGTTAAATTAGTGATGTACCTTACAAAAATGTTGTTTTTGAGGGGACATGACTACTCATTTCGTGGGAGAGGATTTTGATCCAAGTAATATGACATGTTTATCGAGTCCATGATCATGATTAAGAGTTGGAAGTTACCCGTGCTATTTTTGTAAGTTTATATCTGCAAATTCTGTTCATTCAGTTTTATGCTATGGTTAAAGCAGGAATTTTGGCTGTGAGCTGAAGTTACTCATACCCTTGGAATATCAGTTGTTGTATGGGGTAGATAAACAACCAAGAAGCACAATAGGCAATAAAGGCTTCACATTTTTTATTTTCAAGTTCTTTTAACTCTTGGATTTCATCAGCATATTTCATTTGTTATAATAATATTATTTTTGAACAAGTATCACCCACTCGGGTAATGTGATCCCGTCAATCACAAGTGACCACAAAATCGTAAAGCAGAATAAGTCGGTACATTTAGTTGTGTGATAGTTTATAATTGGCCGGGACACCTGGTACCGGACAACTTATAATTTCTCCCACTAATAGAGCAATGCGGGAGTGGCAAAATTTAAGACCCGTAGTGGAATTGGAAGTAAGAGTGTGCGCAGAGCGTGAGAAGCGGGAAGTAAGAGCGTGCGCAGAGCGTGAGAAGCGGTACTCGTTTAGAAAAATTATGTGACTTGGGGCTTGACAAGTTGCAACACAACTAATAAGCTGAATAAAGCTAACACATTTAGTTACATGACAGCTTGTAATCAGTCGGGACACATGGCACTGGATCATTTAATAAATTTTCACATTACGAGAGTATATGTATCCCGAATCATCTAATAATTTCTCCAACTAACGGAACATCGAAATATACTGCCACACAACCAAAAAGCTGAATAAAATCTGACACAATAATTTCTCCCACTCAGAGAGCATTGCAATAGAAATATAGACTTGACATCTGCCACAACCAAAATACAAAAAAAGGTTAAGACACGTTCGGTTGCATGATCTCTTGTAATTGACCCGGGCACATGGTGGCAAACCATCTAATAATCTCTTCCACTAACAGAGCATTGTAATAGAAACTTACCCAAGAGGAATTCGTGGTAGTAGCTGGAACTTAACAGTGGAAGATGTTTCACTTACCAAAGAAAACAATCAAGTGATGATTATTCGTCTCTCTGAAAGGTATGAAGAGCAACCAGAGATACAAGTACAATCACAGACAACTTAGGAGTAACTTTCTGTTTCTGTTTCTTTTTTCTTTTTCTTTTCTGTTTTCCATTAATCTCTCTTCAAGCTCTACGGTGGTGTTCTACAATCAATTTACAACCAGTATGCACCTCTCTACATACATTGATCAATTGGAAGCTGCACACTGTTATGAACTTTCCCAGAAGGATGCACTCACAGAGAGTCTATTTATGTCAAATATATGGAAGACTTGCGAGGGAATCAATAATCTTGACAACTTCACCCCAAAAATTTGTTGCCAGCCAAAAAAATTTTACTATAAAAAAAAATGCTGACAAAATGAACAAGTTACAATATTACAAACTGCAAATTGTTCTGCTCTCTATACAAGAAAACTAAACAAAAATACAGAAGAAAAAAAATAGAGAATTAGTGCTATCAAACTAATTACTTCTTTTTTGTTTGAAAAAGGCAAAATTGCACAAAAGCAAGCAAGTATGAAGCGTCAAGGTTTTCAAGATAAAGGCCAATTTCCACTTAGCGCCCCAAAAAATCAACACTGAAACTGTTCTTTTTATACAAGAACATATTTTTGGGTAGAACATCTACTACAAGCAATAGTGTCAATGGGTGGCTTGAAAGTTTTTGTCAAGTAAAGTCAATCATCGATAATTCAGGACGTACACTCTTTACCTGAATGTTAGGTGGTTGATGGGGAGCCTCTGCAGGGCTCGTAGATGCTGCTGGGCCACTTTGTCCTGGAATTGACTCTGAAATATTCATTGAGGATGAGATAGGAGTTTGATTATCTGAAATTGGTTCACTCAACTCTGAGGTAACCTGCACACTTGATTCTGAGGGAACCTGTGGACCCGATTCTGAGGGGACTGGAGCAGTTGATTCTGTTGGAGGTGAACCACTCGGTTCTGATGGAGGCGGAGCACTCGATTCTGATGGCGGCGGAGCACTCGATTCTGATGGCGGCGGAGCATCTGATTCTGATGGCGGTGGAGCACTCGATTCTGATGGAGGTGGAGCACTCGATTCTGATGAAGGTTGAGTACTTGCTTGTGTGGCAGTAGCAGGTGCTTCTAATAACAAGGGCTTGCCTGCTTGTTGCTGTGCACCCTGTGTGGCAGTAGCAGGTTTTTTCACTATAGGAATGGGACCATAGAGGGACGCCATCCCAGGAGGAAGAATTTCAATTGGTGGTTTCTTCCCTGCGTCTGCCAGACTTGTGAGCTTGGGTTCCTCAAGAGAAGCCAGAAATGCAGTGGCGGCATCAATCTTTGTAGGGGTGTGGTCCATCTCCTTCTGTAGCATTTTGTTCCAACTCTGAGCCAAGTTTCTCAACGACGTCCGTCCATGAGCCTGGAGACAATTAGACTGGTTAGATCAAAGAACCATATTTGAGCTTAAATAACTGTATGGATAAGCTAATTATACATGGGCATGGAGCACAGCCTCTGCAAGCATCCCAGTATCCTGCCATGCTTTCTCCATGAGAGCATTGTCTCCCAAAACTGCACCTGAAAATGCTGCCTCCCGCCCCAAGCCAATTGAAATCAAATTATTTATCAAACCCTGCAATGAATTCATGCCATTTCTCATTATAACCAAAAATAAAAAATTTGGTCTAACACCAGAACAGTTGAATCTTAAGCTGGCATTGTACAGCCCCTATCAAATGCAAACCAGGAAGGTTCTTCACAGGGACAGACCCACGACAGAATGAACGAAGTGTACCAGTCATATAAAATATAATTGACATAGCCAAGCGATCACATGAGCTAAGAAAACATTAAACATGCATGAAATTAAATAGCTTCTTTGTTTCTTGCTGCACTTGAATCTTAAATGTCACCATTGTGAACAGGGATATCATAGAAATGTAAATGGTCCAACACAATGATCGTTAAAAAAAAATCAATCATTTCAATTAAATTTGAAAATGATCCCAGGCCATCAATTATGGCCGTAGCTTGTATTCTTTTAAATGTTAAATTGTTGGTCGTTACTTTCACGCATGCACCAAGCAAAACACAATGGAATCATTCCAATCAAATCGGCGATTTCCCTCGATCGAATAACAGCTCCCAAACTTGATCACCTAGCCAAATGTACCTCAATCAAAGAACTTGCTTGCTTTCAGTAGCAAACAAACCAAACTAAAGAGGGAGGGGGGTCTGTTTCCTATGAAGGCTTGACTTTTGAGTGAAAATTGTGGGAAAACTTTAGGAAGAGATGCAGGGAAAGGGATCCAAAAATCTGGCAACTTTATTGAGAGTATGGACTTCAAGCTATTAAAACAAGGAAGATGTTAAAAAAGTTAAATATATGAATACGTTCTGAACAAGGTAGACCACATGTTTAGATTTGACCAAGATCATTATGTACGATATTATTTCTAAAGCTTTATAGAACATTTTTTTATAAGAATTAAAAATGAGTGCATGCAAACTAGAGCAGCTAATGTTTTAACTAGATTTCATAAGCTGAATTGGAAGTGACTACATACACTCAGCCGTGTTAATTCTCCATGATTTGCAAGGCGTAAAGATAATCCTCTTAACTCGTGGCCCTGTAAAGCTCCCTTCAGGGAACCTGCAGCAGCTAGCCTCTTAAGAGCTTCACGAGCAATGTCAGCTTGTCCAGTAGCATCTGCAGCATCAATAAGATCTAAAAACTCCTTTGCAAATTTCACCACTCCTTGAACGGCATCCACAACATTTTCCTTCTTAGCTGTTAAACTTAGAATGTCATTTAAGTCTAGTCCTATAGATTCTTGCCCCATATCCCTGCTGTTGCTCATTGTCATAAGGCACTGAAGAGCTCTTTTCAAATCATTGCTCTGCATGGCCAGATCAAACTCCAACCTGCATAACATAAAATAACAATATAACTATAATCACGATGAGATGCCATGAATCATTATGCACAATTCTTAAGCAGTATTGCCAGATTTAGACAAATGCATAGAAGCAAGTCTGCTATAACATCAACTGCTAGTTAGGAGGACATCGCAGAGAAGAGAATCAACATCTGTCATAGACAATACCTAACACATCAACCAACCAACACATTGTGATGCAATGCAAATATGGATGCATGTTGCTTTTTTATTATCCAACTAGAATATATGTGCTTGATACAGAAATCCTTCATTTCATAATTTGAAATATGAAAGCAATAGCATATATAACATCATCAATATCCTTGCCTTTATCCCGTACCGACGGGGTTGGCAAAAACAATAGCACATAAATACATACATACATACATATATATATATACATACATATATATATATAAATACATATACAGACATCTGTTTTGAGTTGAGACTAGTCCCCATGGATAGGGACCATAGTGGTAAAATGAAGCAAACAGAAAAAGGAACACAAGTCTTCTTACAACAATAAGGAAGACCGGGAATACTCCGATCACCGCCGGAGCCTAGATTTCTATAGGGAAATCTGGGGGAAAGCCTTAGAGGGGTATAAACTCTAATAATATCTCAAATTATATTCATAAAAACTTGAATACAAAACATATAGAGGTCTGTCCTTTTACAATACTACTATTAGTGACACTTGACATATCCTAGAAAGACTTTTAGAATTCCCACACAGTTTTAATAGCACTTAAACACTTTCCTAAGTGAATAGTGAATACTTAGTAATTCCAAAGCTTAATTAATTACTACCCAAAAACTAGAATGACTCTTTGACTTTTCTTCAAGGCACTTTCCAAGGCACCATTGACTGCCTCAATCTTGACTAGAGTACCCTTAATGATTTGCATCAGACCCTCCTCCTTAAAGAAAACTCAATCTCGAGTTTGAAACAATTTACCACGATCAATGACAAGCCCAAGCAATGCCTTCCATCCTTTCTTTCTTCTTTTCCATGCTCGAACAAAACACACTAATCTGCTGTTACTGATAAAGAATCTGATTTTTAGACGTCTCTTTAGATATTTAGTAGATTTCCAACACCTGCTTGAACACAAATTAGGAGCCAAGACCTGATTTAATCTGATTTTTTAATTGAAACAACTCCTAGCTATATATTGCGCCAAGAACCCATTCCAAATCAGGTCATGCATATGAAGTCCATTATTTATCAAACCCATGAATGAGGAAGTTTCAGTACTGACCAAAATATTCAGGAAACTTAAATCTGCTGTAATGCTTTCTGCACCACGTGCAGCTGGAAGTTCAGTATTTTTATCTTCAAAGTCTCCACCTATTTGTTTGTCAACAAGAGTAAAGTCTGAAATTTCTGCCACTTCAGAGTCAACTTGAAATATTTGCTTCAATTTCTTCAGCAGTTCCCACTTTCTCACCATAAATCCGCGATATGCAGATTGAATGATGATGGCTGCTTTATCATCTGACATGTTGCTGGCTGCTTCGCTAGACTTCTCTTCTGCCATATCTTCTCCTTCATATTTCTCATCATTATTGTCCTAAAATTGTGGAAGATGGAAAGTTGAATGCACCCCCAAGATCTGACCTTCATATACACCTCAAAAAGATTCATCAAAAGTTGAATTTTCATCCGGTGTCTCACCTTCTTCATATACACTTCTGAGGGATTCGTCAAAAGTTGAATTTCGAATGTCTCACCTTCTTCATATGTACTTCCAAAGGATTTATCAAAAGTTGAATTGACAGCAACAAAATTTCCAAGATCTTCATCACCCCAGAGTTGCTTCCGTCAATATTGTGGCAGTTCACATGTCTTGGGAACTTGGCAGACTTGAATCTTGAATCCTCATGTGTAGGACCAAAATTCATGCTCCTTAGTACGTTTCACCATTGAAGTCCATGTGTTTTGTGATCTGGCAGCACACTGCTTTGGACTTCTAGACAACTTATGCAGCTGAATTCTTCCTCTAGGTTGTTCTACCAAATATTCACATTTATACGCATCTCTCCTATTGTCTATACTCAATGGAGAAATGATTTAATATTGCTCTAATAGAGTGGTTAGTCGAGAAATTTGATGTTGCAGATCTTTTTGCTGATTTTGAAAGTTTTGAAAGTCTTCTTTTGTGGCTATCTTGCTTCCTGGTCTAGCCATAGATCCGCAAGAACCACAGATCTTATAGCAGGGCTCTGATACCACTTGAAGCAAACAGAAAAAGGAACACAAGTCTTCTTACAACAGTAAGGAAGACCGGGAATACTCCGATCACCGTCGGAACCTAGATTTCTATAGGGAAATTTGGGGGAAAGCCTTAGAGGGGTATAAACCCTGATAATATCTCAAATTATATTGATAAAAACTTGAACACAAAACATATAGAGGTCTGTCCTTTTATGATACTACTATTTGTGACACTTGACATATCCTAAAAAGACTTTAAGAATTCCCACACTGTTTTAACAGCAATTTGAACACTTTCCTAAGTGAATACTTAGTAATTCCAAAGCTTAATTAATTACTACTATTAGTGACAATTGACATATCCTAGAAAGACTTTTAGAATTCCCACACAGTTTTAATAGCAATTTTAACAACTTTCCTAAGTGAATACTTAGTAAGCAAGTTTGGGGAGAGCAGTGGTGGGTGGTGCTCTGCTGAGATGCATGGTCCTAGGGGGGTGGGGGTTTGGACTTTCATTCGGAGGGGGTTGGATGATTTTTGCAAGCATGTTCGCTTTCGGATCAAGGATGGTAGGAGGATCAGATTTTGAGAGGATCTATGGTGTGGGGAGCTTCCTCTTGCTCTCGCTTTCCCACGGTTCTATAGGATCGCTTCTTACAGACAGGCCATGGTGGTTAACTGTTATCACCTTGATAACGGGAGACTGACTTGGGATGTTCAGTTTAGGAGACACTTTCAGGACTGGGAGATTGAGGATGTTACTTGTTTCTTGGAAGTTCTGTATCGCCAGGTGATCACAGTTGGGGATTCGGATTGTTGACTTTGGGATCCTAACTCTCAGGGTCGTTTCGAGGTTAGGTCCTTTTTTAGGTGCCTTTCGAGTGATTCTGGAGGCCCTTTCCCATGGAAATCTATTTGGCCATCTAAGGCCCCCCCTTAAGGTAGCCTTTTTCGCTTGGACTTCTGTCCCAGGCAAGATTTTAACTCGGGATAATTTGAGGAGGAATCAGGTGGTGGTCAATCATTGTTATATGTGCTTGTGTGATGAGGAGACAGTTGATCACCTTCTTTTGCACTGCAGCATGGCCAGAGACTGTTGGGATTTGATGCTTGGATTATTTGGGATCCATTGGGTTATGCCTTGCTCCTCTAGAGGGTTGATTGAGGCTTGGAGAGGTGTCTCTGTTGGGGTTCTCATTCAGGATGCTTGGAGGGCTACGTCTCTTTGTATTTGGTGGTGCATTTGGCTGGAGCGAAATAGGAGATATTTTGATGGAAAGAAGAAACCTATTTCTACGCTTAAGTTCTCTATTATTTCCACTCTTTTTTGTTGGGTTTCAAGGAAAGATTATAGATCTATTGAGGAGATTATTGTTTTTTTTGGGCTCTTTGAAGGTTTAAGGCGCCTTGTGGCTCTTGTGTTTCTCTAGGTTCCGCTCCCCTTTTGAGTGTTTTTAATAAAATCTTACTTATCAAAAAAAAGAATACTTAGTAATTCCAAAGCTTAATTAATTACTACCCAAAAACTAGAATGACTCTTTGATTTGACTTTTCTTCAAGGCACCATTGACTGCCTCAATCTTGACTAGAGTACCCTTAATGATTTGCATCATAAAAGCACAATCTGTCAAACATGAGAACCAAGTTTGAGCCTTATGGCAGCCACTATGTGCAAATAAACGAACGGTTAGGTTTGTGCCCAGTCTACTCCCCAACATCGTCAGTTGACGGGGATCATTACACTAGATAATGGTTTTCTTTACTAATGTCTATGGATACATATAACCAACCCTGAACACGTGCATAATGTAAACCCGGGAGAGTTTCCAGCAAATGAAATTATGCACACAAACCTCTTAGATATTCCAGGTAAATGAAGAGCCTCAGTAGCATATCCCATCCCGAGCATAAACTGCGCCAAGTCATCATGATGTTCTCTACCAAGCCTACTTGCCCTGCATGAAAAGGTACCATTTAGAGTACATACAGTATACAGCTAAAATTATATTACTGAGAAATCAATAGATTGAAAAGTATACCATTTTACAGCACTAACAGCATCTCCATAGGCAGCAAGACACCGGCAACGAATACCAGGATGGCTGAGGGATATTGCATGAGCGCACATATACCTATAAGAGAAAAATCAAGAATCAATGAATAATTCTTCTAAGTTCTAAGCTACTATAACATTATGTAGGAATTGATTATTATAAATAAAATTTAAGTCAAGGCATGATCATTGCGATGACAAAGAAAACAGGTTGCAACACAACCCCCATCTATCCAAAACAAAAAAAAAAAAAACGAAAAACAATAACAAAAGAAAGAAAGAAAAAAAAAGGAAAGAAAAGAGCGTGAAAACTGGTGGAGGCAAGCTAGTGGCGTTTTATGAGACAAACAAATGCCATATAAACTAAAAGGAAATTTTTATAGAACTGTTATTAGGCCAGCCACTTTTAATGGTGCAGAGTGTTGGGCTTTAAAAAAGAAGCAAGAACAATGAATTCAATTAGCGGAAATGAGAATGTTAAAAATGGCTGATAGGAGTTGCTAGAAAAGATAGGGTTACAAACCAAAATGTGAGAGAGAAATTAGGTGTGGCATCTATTAGTAATAAGATTAGAGAGAGCAGACTTAGGCGGTATGGACACATACACAGAAGACCTATAGATGCACCGGTGAGAAGAGGAAAGTTAGTTTGCATGGAGGGTAGGAGGCAGAGAGGGAGCCCAAAATCCACATGGGATGAAATCATTAGAAATGATTTTAAGAAGTTAAATATGAGAGGAGAGAATACAATGGAAAAAGAGAATTCATGTGGCCAACCCCATTCAGTTGACCATTCATACGGGGTTAAGGCAAGGATGATGATGATAATGATGAGCGTGAAAACTCAAGAAGTTCTCATGAGCATTAGGACTTTTCAGGTTTGAACACAGGCAGATCATCGTCCTGAGGACTAAAAGTTAAAAAATAAAATCCTTCTTTGTAGCATCCAAAGAGTCCAAATAAATTGTATTAAATTATCTAGCATGTGACTAATGGACAGAGTGGCCCACTTTGATGTGAACATGAAACCAGGCAACTATGTGTTTCTATTTGCGTGTTCTCTATATTGAAATTTACAGCACTGTTATTCAGGTAGTTCATGTATCTATGGAATATGCAGGCATGTGTAACATGATATATATATATATCCTTTGGGTGTAGAATTGCTCATAGAAGCATTTAGGGTTGTCAACACAGCCATTCAAAAAATATCAGTACAAAAAAAAAAAAAATGTATTTGGTACTTCATGAAACTAAAAAAATAATAAAGAAAGAAAAAGCTTTAGAGAGGTCTTATAAAAGAATTCACTAATCTGATTCGGTAATCCGATGGATCAAATACATTGCTGATCCGAACTTGTAAGTAATAAATCTCCAATCTGACAAGACTTAATGAACAATAACAATTGAAAAAGAATACATAATTTCATGACATTAAATAATCAAATTTAAAATTTAATAATTTAGGCAAGAATGATACATAAAGAATTGAGAAAAAATCCATAACTTTAATAATTGTTTGATCGTAATCGTTTAATACTTCATATTCAGTTATTAAAGATGCTGAACACACAGACAAACATATATTCATGTATTTTTTTTTTTTTTTTTTTTTTTCAATCGGATTGAATCATTATCGCATCGGATAAACTAAATCCAAAGTTGATCGGTTACTAATAGGATTAACCAAATTCGGATTGTTGCAGATTGATTTTTCCTTTTTCAAATCTGGAATACCGGATCAGATCCAGAGCAAATTATCCATTTATGAAAGATTGGAGACTGTGTAACGTCAGAAGTTCCATAATGCATGAGAAGAATCACCATTAGTTCCACAATGAGAATGTGGTAACAACATGGCAATTTACATAGCAAAAAAATTAATATTTCATGAGAAGAGAAGATGTACAAAAGTAAAAGGTTATACTGCCAAACATACCTTGATAAGAAATTTTAACTTGAGAAACATCATTAATTACCTAAAAGAACAACAACCATACAATATTTCTAAAAATATATGAACAACTTCAAGAACATTTTTTCGTGTGAAGTTAAGTTTTTATCTTTCTTTCCAAAGCCATGGCCAAAGAGGATGCACTTGTCAATAGAAAGCAACTTTAAGGAATAACCTGTTGTTTTTTTTCTTTCAGTATTAAAATTGTTGGGTTCTCAAAAACTTAAGTAGCTAATTACCTATCAATTAGCCAAAGAACTCCATCTCTAACACCCACTACTATGAGAGGTCCAACTGGACGTTTCTGCTCTGCCGGAAAACGAGTAACTGCCACCGACACCCCTCCACCTCCAACAGCCACCTCATTAACTCTTCTTTCATCCATCTCTTTTGGCATTGCTGAATCATCCCCATTGACTTTTGACTGTTTAGGCATCAAAAAGGGTGGCACAGAAGGAGCATGCTGAAATGAAGCTAATCTCACCACCTGAAAAAGGAAATAGTTCATATAAAAGAAAACAAGGCAATGCTTCCTAATTACATGACTAGTGTGACTGCAAAAAAAATTAACAATTTAATTAGTGCAAAACTCTTTGACCAACCGGTAAAATTCAAGATAAAATGTTTGAAGAAATAATAATAATAATTACAGAGGTTGCCTAAAAATGCCAAAAATGCATGAATGAGCATCTCAATTTAATCAACAGATTCTAAAGAACTTTAGATATTATTTTTTGTTTCCTTCGAGACCTTCACGCTCACTAGAAGTTGAACAATCATGACGCTGCTGATACAAAGTTTCAATATGATAATGGAAGTGCCACATGACATGAAGGGGTTGGGATCTGTACACCCTGGTATAGCGAATTCTTATTTGGATAGTAGAGACACATGTTCCTTGCGTTAATCCGAAATGATATTTATACTTTATAAAATTGGTGAATGCAAATGTATTATGTTTCGATTCATTATGGAATTGAATGTGTTCACTTGATTGCAAGAGATATTTATATGTATGTGATGGCGATCAATACAAGAATATAAATATCGTTCATAAATAATTCATAGTTGGTAATTAAGGATGGACTCTTAATTAACTAAGACTTGAACCGGATACACAATGGGTTGAGATATATTGCCAGAGCCATCATATGCAATTGATTCCTATCATCGTCATGGCATTCGACTCTTAAGCATGAGAGAAATATACTATTTTCTTAATTACTCCCTCCGTCCCAAAATACTTGTCCATCTTTCTATTTTGGGATGTCCCAAAAACCATGTCCAATTCCAAAATTGGATGTACTATTTTTTATAACATTCCCAAACTATCTTTTTAAGTAAACAAGTGCACTAATTACGGAGCACTATTTTGCCTTTTAACAAGGGCATTTTTGAAACTTCACTCTTATCAATACAATAAAAAACTATTAAAACTCCACTACCATAAAAAGTTAAATTCCCTAAGTAATACATGTATTTTGGGACAGAGGGGGTAATAATTACTCTGATTTGATCGACAAATCTCATGTGATCCCATGACCGGCACTTTGGGTAATTATGCAATTAATAGTTAGAGAGTTATATTCTCAATATTTGCATCATTGCTACTTGTATTTACTTTGTATTGATTATGGTTGATCACAAAGTAAATTCGAAGGCCTTCGCGTGTTTTGGACAAAATAGTTTTGATATATATTTATTTACTAAATTATTTTTTTTGTCAAATAAATATTTTATTGTGATCAAGCCAGGAAAGAATCAAGAAACCAAAATAAATATATTAATTGTGCGATTGGATTGATGGCTTTAATTATCCGATAACTAATTATGCATAGAGGGGTCAAAGTGAAACATTGATTTAATGGTTATTTACTATTTAATTGGAGGTCAATTAATTTCGTTTAGTGCAGTAGAAATAAATTCATGAATTAATTGAATTGGATTCATGGTTGTTAGACCGGATCAACAATTATTAATTCATTATAATCAAGAGAATAGTAAGCCCAAAGAATTCTCACCAATAGCCTCAACTTGATATTGGAGGCCCATAAGGATTGGAGTTATCACTTTTATTTGTAGAGATTTGAGAGTTGTTAGTTCCACTCCTTGCGTCTATATATACATGTATGACATGTATCATTAGTAAGCTTTTAGGCACCATTAGAGTGTGAAACTAAATACTCTCTCTCTCTACAATTAGGGTTTGAGTGTACTCATCTTCTAAGCTCCCACAAGCTATGCATCAAATGTCATTCATGGAGGAATATTGGTGATTCCTAAAGACCAGTCCACCTACAAGGAAGAAGGAGGGCTAAGGATTGTAGATCAAGCTTCTATAAGTGAGAACATTCACTTTTGTGGAGAGTTGTGAGGTTTAGTCAAGTCTCTATTTAAGTTTCGTAACTCTATTTGATGAACATCATCTAATTCTTGCATTAAACTAGCTTCTAGAGATGAATCAAGGTCCAAAGATGAAAAGCCCTCTTCTAATTTTTAAAAATATCCATTTCCCTAACAGATGGTCAAATAGAATTCACTTTAGTCTGCCAAGATTTCAGCTAAATGCAGCTTGTAAAAATATGTTCAATTCCATTCTAGTAAAAAAACACAGTGATTGTTTGCAAGCTTGAGCATACAGTTTCGATACGAAATTAAAACATTAAAATTACTTGTCCTATTTGAACAGAGAAAGCATAAATCTTCGTCACTATTTCTAAAATATTATCATCGTATAAGTAAACCAAGTTTCCAAGATAGAAAGTACAAATCTCAATCCCGTCGGGTCAAGTAAACAAATACCTAGAATAATATCACAAAACCCTCTAGAAAGCAAAAGGCAACATTCAATTCCACTTTTCCATCTATGCCAATAGAAAGTTCACAATATATTTTGAAATATAACAGTAGTTATCACCTGTAGCATTGGGGGTCTCAATGAAATCCTATCATTTTTATCATTTTGTGGACCATCAACTGCGATTAGTGCCAACTCTCCATGCTCTGCTACAGCTTTTGCCTGTGCTTCTTTGAGTCTCATTTCTTCTTTTCTCCTTTTTGTTTCTAAATCAATAGGTGCAACCCCAGCATCCACAAAAACACACCTGAAAAAACACAGCACAACGGATGTTATGATTGAAATCATTATATCATGATCTACTGCTTCGATTTTAACTTCTCCCGAAGTTCTGAGTATGTCTTTCACAATTTTCATATACTTTTGTGTTAATTTATTTATTTATTTTTTTTTATAAGTAATATACTTTTGTATTAATTTATTAATCAATGCAAGTGCTCATCTGTTTTACCAAACAATTCTCTTCTGGTAAAGAATCTTCAATTCGGAAAATTGTTGTAAAAGAAAAACAAATATATCCACATAATGGCAAAAAAAACAATCATATTATATTATCAAGAGGGTAAGAGGGAATAGGAAATGATGAAGACAACACACATGTTTTATGGAAGAAATTTAAGTGATGAAAAAAAATAAATAAATAAATAAAAATGAGTCCATGTTTGGTGACCATAACTTACTCGATGGTAGTTGGTGTCGCCACAAACAATTGTCTCCGGTGCCAGACTGCCCCAGTCGCATGCGGAATTGCTACATCTCCTAAGTATCTATATTGTGGTCGCAAGGAAGATATGACAATGTATTGGTGATAGGCAAACGCACAATACTCAACAGTTTGGTCCCATGCAGTCCATTCAGGTTGAGGGAGAAGATCACCCACAGGTTGAAAAGTTTCCCAACTGCAGATTAGCTTTAGTTAGACAAAATCAAAAAATCTTAAAAAGAACAATTAAGTAGGTTAATCAAAGCACAATAACATACAGCATAAGTAAACATCGGAAAGAAAAAAAAAAAAAAAAAAAGAAAAGAAAAAGAAAAAGAAAAAGAAAAAGAGTGGATAATAGCAGGTGCTTATTTGAAAAATAAGCTTAAAGATCCTCACTAAAGGAGGTAGACAAGCTATGCAAAATCTTATAAGCATTGAAACCAGTGGAACTTACTGAAGCAAGAATTGCCAAGCTCGGTCAAGTGGATCCATAATCTAGGATGGCTGCCTGATGTCTGGTTCAGGTTCAACCACAAATATGAGCCAAAACCGAATTTGATATAGAATGAGGTCCCCTTAACTAAAGCCCAACGCCGAACCCAACACTAATTAAAAGTATTACATACTTAAATGATTTCTTTGACAACTATATCTTTATTAAAAGAAGAGACGATCCTTGATTTCATTTAAATTGTATCCATATACGTAACATATTACTTCTTTAGGTTAAAGAAGTCTGAAATTGGCCTGAACTGTGATACACAGGAGCTCAAGTTGTGCTGGATGGTTTTGGCTAATTTGTGCTGATCTTAACCCCAGTTAGTCCATTACCGTACTTGATAATTGGTGGGGGTGTGTGCGCGCGCAGGGCCCCCCCCCCCCCCCCCCCCCCCGGGGGGGGGGGGAGTGGTTGTTGTTAACAACTTTGAGTTCTCTTATATACAAAGAGACGGGATAAAATGTTCCACAATTTTTAAGTTTCTTGCACTTTCTTTGAGGACAAAAATACACCTGTGAACTAATACCCATTCACAGGTTCAGTATGCAAATATACTTTTCTTGAGGGCGGGCTTAAGTGTTTAAAAAATATCAATACGTATCGGCAAGTATTTTTTTTTAATAAGTACATATCAATAAATATCTGAATAGCATTTGTCTCCTAAACAACTAGGATAAAGTTACAACTAGTTTAAAGAAATATCCGTCCTGTGATGTTCATTTGAGACATAATAAATGTTGTGAAAAGTTACTTGGATGAGATGACCGCCATTTTTTTTTTTTTTTTTTTGATGGTATCCAACAGGACGAATGCCACTGTTGGTACAGAGGCAGGCAGATAAAGGTGCAAAAAAGTAAGGAAGTAAAATATAGAAAAACTGTAAGCAAGAAACAATCCTAATATGGAGAAGTTGTACAGAGATAACATATAACAAGAGAAAAATAGTAGTAGATAGCAACCCGAGATATTTACTGAGCTACATCCAGTGTTATTAAAGGCTCAAGGCGCACCAAAGTGCTAGAGGTCCCTTGGAGCCTAGGCGCGCGCGCCTGAGTGAAGTGAGGCACACAATTGAAATTTTAAACTACCATAAAAGCATTCATAACTCATATGTAGTATCAATATTCTAAAAATTAATATCATATCTAAAAAAGTAAATCCATCAACCATATAAGCATTCAAGAACCATAAAACAGAGCACAAATTTGTTTTCTTGAACGGCAAAACATAATTTGCTTTTTTGAAAGGCAAAACATAATTTGCTTTTTTTGAAAGGCAAAATAGAGCACAAAAAGAAATAAATTAACCAAAAAACAAACTGTTAACAAGAAAAGGAAAGGAAAAAAAAAAAAAAAAAAGAAAGAAAGAAAAAGAAAAAAAAGACAGTAGATGAAGAGAGAGAGTGTGTTAAAGAAGAAAAAAGAGAAAAAACAGAACCAAAAAAAGAAAAAGGAGACGGAGAAAAGAGAACTAGACTAAGAGAAGAGAGAAGTAAACAACGATGAGAAGAGAGGAGTAGAGGAGAAGAGAGAGAAGAACAAGAAAGAACTGACATGGCTTCGTGGTTCATCTCTACAATTAGGGCTTCGTCGTTCGTCTCACAATCTCACTCTTTCTACGTTCGGTTGACACTTTGACTCTTGGGCTTTCTTATTTGTTTATTCTTTTGAACAAAAGTTCATTCTCTCATACGCTTAGGCGTTCTTATTTGGTCAATAGTACCCTTTTTGGCTAAAGAAATAGAATACTCATTTTAAAAATAAAAAAATAAAAATAAAAAAATGAGGCGCGCTTGACAAATAGGATGAGACGCAACCAAGGCGCACGCCTAGTAAACATCAGTGCGCCTGAGATGACAATAGGCGCTAGACCTGCCCCTCGAGCATAGGCGCACGCCCAGGCGCGCATTTAACAACACTGGCTCCATCTTCCAAGTTATATGATTCTACATATAGGAATTAGACGAAATAATCAACATTATATATTGTCTCCAAAAATAGAAAAAATATAAATATTTTTCATATTGTAATGTCCTCGTTATCCGAACCATGTTCATGTCTTGTGTCCATTCTTGTCTATATAGGTCGTATAGGAGCCATCAGATAAGACTCACCTCAAGGTTGAGCCGATGTGGCAAGTTGGTAATTCTTGGAAAAGTGCTAGATTGGGGTATGACCAGAATACAAGATCAATGGCAAGGAACACTCTCTCTCTCTCTCTCTCTCTCTCTCTCTCTCTCTCACACACACACACACACACGACAAATCAGAGTTGCAAATTGATGAGGATAAAATAATTTGAAGATGACCAACCAAGATAACCGCGGAGTTCCTTTTTCAAATCCAAAAATGCAGGAGGTAAATATGATGACGACTCTGTCATTCAGTTGGTGAATGAAGATCACGATCCATCTAATTAAAATATTCCTGATCGACATTTGTGTAACCAACCTGATCCCGAAAATACATCGTGTGACAATTAATGAGGTATGAGAAAAAACCCCTAAACATTGAATACATAATGACTTTTTTGTTATACGATTCCAAGTACTAATTTGATCGTCAGAGGGTCCTCGGTCGGCACCCCATCAGTGCCATTCGAGATGACATTCCATTGTTTTGCAGGTAAACGCCATCGTCCTAAGTCGCGAAGATTTTCGCATCAACACAAATAAAAAATGGGCAAAAAAATCAAGTTTAAAATATAAAATACAAAACGCAAGGACTACAAAAATACAAATAACTAAGTGATGCTCCATTTTGCTGCTGAAAAAACGATGGAAAATATAATAAAAAATGTTTAAACTATTGAATTACCAAATTAAACCCAACAATAACAAAAAGTTGGCAGTGTCAATAATGACACAAACATATTAAATGTTGGCGTAAATAGCTGTTGTCCCATCAAGGCATCAGGGTGATATACTTGCATTGCGTTGGTATGGAAAAATAGGAATGAATATATCCACACTTTGAATCAGGTTAGAGTGGCCGATGGATAATTATATTGCACGGTACATGACACGAAGCAACGATGAACCAGTAACGTACGGCACTTCGGCCAGATTTGGCCAAACCGGACAGCCATGGAGAAATATTCACTGATGGGTTTTAGTGGTGCTTAAAGCAATCATAAAATGGATGAAAATGAGAAAGAGAAATCGGATATGCAGTACTCCAGGAAAAGCCATTATGATTATTCAAGCAAGGCATATTCTGTCCCGAAATATGAAAGGCTTCCTATGCAATTAAAGGGGAAGAAATATTGACCCAATCAAACAGAATTCCTATTGTAGTAGTCCTAAAAAGGACATTGGGTGTACAAAGAGATGTGCATGGATATGCATTTGTCTTGTGAACCTCAAGGAAGGTGGTAGGGAGACACGAGAAAATGTTTTATTCTCTGTGAAACATTTTCGAGAAATTTCTTCTTCTTTTTTTTTTTCCCTAAGTCCACTTCCATTACCAAACAAACAATTTTACAAACATTTGCAAGAATTCTAAAAAAAATAAATAAATAAAAAACAGTTCCCGGGGAACTAAAAAATAGGGCTCCAATACTAAAACTATTTTTAATTTTATTTTCAGAGAACATTTTTTATAAAGCATTCAGCAATACGAAGTTTCAAACAAAAATAAGTACTCTCAGAATACAGAAGTGTCAGCAGATCCAAGCCAAAATTACCAGGATGCAGTTATTGTCATTCCAATGTCGAGTCTAGTATGAGTTAGGTAATCATGGGACTTCAGATGTTTATCCCATGCTGTGGTGTTAATACGGACAAAATAGCTCATTTTGGACACATTAAGCAAGGGCAAAATGCTTAGCAGCATTCAAGATGCCCGTACTTAGCGAACAAACTTGTCAACCTAGGAGATTTTGCACAACTCCTCAAATAAAACTAACTTGGGTGGCCATCCAAAGATAACTTTATTGGGACCTGATGGTTCTCAATGCCCAATCATGAGAAGAGGGTGCCCCTATCACATTCAAAGCACGTGCTACTTATTAGCAGTATCAACATGCTGGTGTTCTCTCTGTTGGCACAGAGGTGTGCACCATGGAATTCTGTTGGTAGATCTCCCAAGAAGGTTGTGCGTGGAGTTGTTAGCAAGACATGAGGACTAATTAACTAATCTTTGGTAAACAGCCTCTACTACTTATGTTTACTCACACTTAAGTCTTGTACATAGCAAATGAGACAATATTTTAACTGCAGATCTATCGCCATTTACTTATTAGAAGGTCCGAATCCTGGAGCCACCATTGGTATTGTAGTATAGGCCATTGGAACACTAAAAGTTTGTTACACAGCAAAGAGAGGCCAGGCTATCACATTCGGCAGCTTTAAAGTATTTGGACAAATGAATTAAGCAATTATAGAGATTAATCACCAATGCGCCAGTGGCCCAGCGATACCAAACCCCTATTTCTCAAAGGGAGGTTAGGGGTTCAAGCCTCAGTGGAGACATGGGCGTGTAAGTACCAACTAAGAAAAAAAAAATTTATAGAGATTAATCAAAAAGTATAGAATTACGCGTCCTCCAAAACCAATGTCTTTATTACCTATATAGTTGAAAGTTCTGGGGTGCCGCTTCGGAAGGAGATTTATAAGAAGAAAGCCCATCATCAATAGTGGTGAAAGAAGAAAGACCACTACTTCCAAAGCCTGATAAGGGCATCGACTGAATTGTTGAAATAGCTGTTGCAGCAACAGGGCTAACCCTCCGAGATGTTCGATAGGCAACACCAAGTAATGCTCCCCCATGTAAACCAATAACCTGTAAGAGAGAATTTTGGAATTAGAGACGGGGCCAACAATTACTTGGCAAGAACTATGATAAACACAATTTAAACCAAAAACTTCATGGTGAACTATTTGAGGGAAACATGTATTGATTGTTAACTGCTAAGAAATATACATGACGAATTTTGCATCACTTAACATCTCCTTGACGACCAAAAAGATAAAAGGTTTGTCAGCACCAGGATAGAATAGTTGTAGCAGAGTATTCAGACAAGACAAAATCTATTAAGTCAAAATTGGATACAGGGAGAGCTTTGGCATGTCCGATGGGCTTCAAGAAACCCCCCCCCCCCCCCCCCCCCCCAATTCACTAGTAAGAGGTGGAGAACAAAAATGAGATTCTTTCTGTAAGAAGGAATCTAGGACCTGCCAACACGAATTGTCACCCCTGTTGGAGGCCACGCCCCCTTTTATGGTCGGGCTTGTGACAAGAAAGAAATAGGAGGTCTTCTGATGGGGAGGAAACTCCTATTTAGTCTCTCAAAAATTCCATATTAGAGTTCTGTATTCTTTTGGGTTAATGAGCGAAATTAACCTAAATCTTTGGTGGATTTGTGAATTTGCAGATAGCTTGAGATTTTAGATGGCCTCTCTTTGTCTTTCATGAATTTCTTTGGGCGCACTCCACTTTTGAGTGCTTTTACTGAAACATTAACTTTCTAAAAAAAAGGTTTGGTCAAAACAGATCCATGATAAAAATAACACCAACAACAATAACAAGTAGTACTTGACCTATTATGAGTGCCTAAATTAGATGCTGTTTTCAGAATCTAGTCATGCAAAACGAATATCATAGCAGATGAAGTATGACTGAATTGTTTCAGAAACTATGCTCAACCAGATCAAGCTTTGGTAATATTGGAAAGTAGCAATATATATTCTGATAAATCAAATTTATACACACAAATTTTTTCCTACATCAATATCACTCCCAAGGAATCAAAAAATAAATCACAACCTTTATAACTTCCGGCTTAAATCATACATCACTTGTCAATTGATGGCTGTAAATTAATTTTTTTTAAATTTTAAGCATTCCACAATATTATTCTGACTACCAAAACAACCAAAGAGCAGAATCCTTTCTCTCCTGAAAAGTGCGAACATGAAAATAAAAAGTATCATTGAGGGAAAGAGGCAGATACCGGTTCACTGCGGCCACCTATAGACCTCATTAATATATTTGATGTACCATCGTCCAGCAAGATACGAACTTGAACGCTAGCGGAAGAAGCAGCAGTTGCAGCAGCAGCAGCAGCTTGTGCTGCCGCAGCAGCAGCCTCTTTTGCTTTTCTTGATGAACCACCCTTTGGAATTATCGGAATTCTAGGAGCCAGAGAAGATTCTAATAGAGCAAATCTGTCCCGACATGTATCCCACGCCAATAGTCTTGCACTGCCGGAATCAACAACGGACCAGTCACCGACCTTGAAGATTGAGAAGTAAGGAATATCAGGCCACACAATTGCAAGATACCTGCAACAAATCACGTGATTAAAAGCAGTTCTTATTAAATGGGCTTCTTTTCACATGATTAAATGAGATTCAAACTCAACAGACTGATAGGATTGTAAGACCACCCAAAGTGGAAGGAAACCGTAAAGTGCACGAAGATCCCAACTAAATGTTAGAAGATATTGATTGTGATATTAATAGCTGATCTACATATCCATACTACAGAGTCAAAACTGGAATAACAGTAGGTTTTTATACTGCAACTGAAACAGCAATACAGAATATAATTTTTATGGGTAACTTACTTTCCGGAACTGCTCACAGAAAGAACTGAATATGAATCATGAGGAACAGGTGTACTGATGTGTTTTTTTATCTGCTTGACATGTAGTTGTTCATATGAGTCTCCCTTGACCCCTCCCATTTCATTCAAGGAGCCATTACTTCCAAGGGATGGATTTGCTGTGTTAGACAACTGAAAGTGGAGCAACTTTAATTCCCTTTCAACAACATATACAGCAGAATGCTCTCGGCTTCCTGGTGGTGTTGGCAGGGGAGCTACAGCTGGAAGAGATTTAGGATCAAACTCACTGACAATAACACCAGCGTTGGTTCCAGTAGCAACAAGGTGTGGCTGTAGAGGATGTGCAACCATACAATAAACCTGCAATAGAAACCCAGGAGTGTGAATTTCAGATAAGAAAGTAAGGAAAAAAAAAAAAAAAAAAAGGACCACCTATCTACTATCCACAAATTCTTTTTTCCCATGTATTTATAAAGCTCTTAGAAAAATCCATTTCTTAGTTTAGAGCAAGTCTGAAATAACAATCCAGGTCTCTCTTGTTTGGATTATATGAAATATTTACCACCTTCTACGAGAAATGAGGTTCTTCGCATTTTGCATTCAATAGAATTTATCCCAAGTGAATCACGTGAACTTTTCAATTAGTTAGAGAGAAATAGTAAATATATACTTCTATGCATTGAGATCTCTAACCATTTCCAATATTGACCAAGCGCACCAAGAAGAAGACTAGAACCCACGATCCAACTCTATAAATGTGCTGATTTAACTATTAAGCTCTGGAAATTAATCATCGTGATTAGAATGTCTAACCGTCCAGATGAAAGATAGAAAAAGAAATGAAGAAGAGAATAGGAGAAACAATGTAAGACTAGTGATTGTTACAGTTGGCATAGTAGCATAATTATATTTACATAGCTAATGTTTAAGGTTCAAAACACACACACACACACACACATAACATGGAGATTTCAGAGTACCAACAACTAACTCACACAAAGCGGAAGTGAAAGCAAGAGCATGAGAATGTCAATGTCTAAATTATTTAGAGAGCAGAAGCGCCTTTAAAGCATGTACATGTTCCATGTATTGTTTATTATGTAATTATATCAATTGTTAAAAAGGTATAACAGCTTGAACAAAATATAAAGAATCTGTTGGGAAGCCAAGTCTGTGACATGTGGCTAGATTCAGGGCAGAATGAAGGATCCGTTTCAAATTGAAGAACTGAATATTTAAAATTCAAATTACATGTGAATCCGCTCTCAACTCATTGATCCGCTCATTAGGAGTTCATCTAGTAAAGTGCACAGATTGTGTGACGTGGATTGATGATATATGGTTTTAAACAACTTTGACAAGTGTCGAACAAAAAAGTTTTGTTCAGGTCACTACACAGCAGAATAACTAACTGAAGCTTTTTTAATTTAGAATATCATAAACCTAAAATTAAACCACAAATAAAGATCAACTAGTAAAAGATCATTTAACAGTAGCCTACCCTAAGTTTCTTGTGTGATGCAAGAACTTGTGGAGGAACTAGTGAAGAAAGTTCACATAATGGCCTTGTGAGAGCAGAATATGTGGGGTGCTCAATAGCCCTGCAAAATAATCAACCGAAAATCATAATTCATCTCATAAAGAGAAACAAAGGGCATATATTTTATTGAGTCATTATTTTTCCTGGACAGCATCGAACTGTTATGGAGCCGACTGCAAACTTTCCGCGACCAATCAACTTAATAAGAGAAATAAGGAATAAAAACAAGAGAAATTAATAGCGGATGCTGCCATAAAGAACAAACTGCATACCAAATATGGGAATCTTTGACACAAGTTAATATATCAAGGTTAGGAGCACGAGGATGGCACCAAGATGCCACACTGTGGCAAGCCAGTTTAGGAACAGGTTTAATACGACGCAACTCCTGAGAAATAAGAGGAAAAGGAAATGAAGACAACATTCAACACAATTTTTCCATCATAAGAAGTGATCCTCAAAATTAAAAGTAAGAACTTCCAAAGTTAGTGAGGCACCTTAAAAGAGATTGTGTCCCAGATTGCTAAAGTCTTATCTGCACCAATTGTAATAAGTTGAGGTGCACCTCCAATCACTCTAGAAAGCTCAGCAGCCACAACCCCTCCATCATGAGCCTTAAAGTTTCATAGAAAATTTAAATAGGTTCAAAAATATAGCCAACAAAAATAAAAGCAGGAAGTGTATTGTTTTATACACTGGAACCAGAAAGACAAATGCATGCAAAAAGGTCATGTTTAGCATAAACTTGAGGGGGAGAGAGAGAAGAAAATTCAAACCAAATTATATTCCAGGATTAAATAAACCTTCTAACAGATTTTTTTTTTTTTTTTTTTGGGGTTCATTATGTTGTAAGGCTATCGAACAGCAACACTTGTTAATGTCATTCAACTTTTAAGCATTTAACGATATCACCAGCTACAATTTCTTCAATATTACCACCACAAGAAAAAAAACACCGTAACAAAGCAATGAAGGATTTCACCAGCAACTACAGAGAACTAAAGAAATAAAAAAGCAGGACCCATAATGGACATGCAAAAAGGTCTTAAATATTTTATTTGCATATTTTTTTTATGAAACGAAAGTAATAAAAAAGAAATAAAAACAAAAACAAAAACAAAAACAAAAACAAAAAAACAAAAACAAAAACATTGGAACAACCTTTTCTAACACATTACATGAAGGAATTTTCAAATTAACCATCAAATTGGACATCAGATCACCTAGTGACACCCTCACACGCATGTGACTGTTCTTCATGTTTTAGCGTCACAATCTTGAAAATGATAAATCTATGTGAAAAAACACCACTTGCCAGTGTAGTTCACACATGGGCAAATATTATCAGGAACAAATAATTTATCAAATATAAGATAGTCAGAAAGAAGAAACAAACTATTTTCATCAAATGAAGGAAAAGAAACAGAAGGTAATAAGAGAATAAGGAGATCGCGACCTTTAAGCTCAACTTGGGTACAAGTTCTCGTGAATCTTGACCATGGTCCGCACTCCAAAGAACAAGTAAACCATCATTGCCACCAGAAACCAAAAGGGCCTGTATCAGACACAAATACAGCAAAAGAAAATTTTGAAGGTACTTAACGAAATAATATTGACAAACACACATATTGTAAGTCAAGGGAATAACCAGTTGAACAGGGAAAAAAACAAAAGAACAAAAAAATAAAATAATAACCTGATTATATCAGAAAGAAACATAATCATCATTTTCAGCACTTCAATATATTCAAGACATGAATTCTAATGAGTTCCGTTTTCGTACTTTTTTCTCAAAAGAAGTTCTACACGGAATACATTGGAAATTAAATTTTATTGCTACAATCAAAAGAAAAGGCAAATGAGAGAAAATTTTACCTGGACTGGCAACAAAAGTATCAAACATTTAGATATTTGCGTGCATTTTTTTTTTCATGAGTGCATTGATTAAATGTGTGTACTGTAAAAACACGTGTATATTATGACATCAGGATACACTTTATGAAGGGGGGAATAAAGAAACACAACTTCTATTGTCAACTATAATTGCAAAAACTTCATTGGTTGTGACCCTCCAATAATGGAGGTAGCAGTTTCCATATGAATGTGCCGGCCTGCCCAAAAAAAAATGAGATTGTATGAAGAGATTTAGGCACAAGACATAAGTTGGCACATCAAATCTGACCTTAATTATAAAGGTCAGGTCTAATCATGGGAGCAGGTTTGCAGGCCCCTCAGGTTGGGAGGCCTAGGGATTAGGAGATTGGCCCCTTTCAACAGGGCCCTCCTAGGCAAGTGGCTCTTGAGATTCGGCAGTGAACGTAATAGGTTATGGAGGAAGGTTGTTTCTTGTCGATTTGGGGGGGGCAGGGATGCTCAGCTAGACCGGTCAGGTCTGCTATAGGTGTGGGGGTTTGGAAATCCATTGGGAGAGGGTGGGATGATTTCTCAAAGTGCATTAGACTCAGAGTCCGGGAAGGAAGGGATATCCGGTTTTAAGAGGATGCTTGGTGCGAGGACCATCCTTTGTCTAGTCTGTACCCGAGGTTGTTCAGGATTGCTGTTGATAGACATGCTATGGTTGCTGACTGCTATAGCCTTGATAGCAGTAGGTTGTCTTGGGATGTTCAGTTCCGGCGATCCTTTCAAGATTGGGAGTTGGATGACGTCGTTGGTTTGTTGGATCTTCTGCATAGACAAGAGGTGGATGGCACCAGGCCGGACTCATTGACTTGGGTGCTTTCTCCTCAGGGGAAGTTCCAAGTCTGGTCCTATTTTCACCAGCTTTCAGATTTTCGTGGACCCACCTTCCCATGGAAAACGGTTTGGCGCTCGATAGCTCCTCTTAGGGTGGCTTTTTTTGTGTGGACTCATGTTTGGGGTAAGATTTTGACTCTGGACAATTTGAGGAAGAGACGACATGTTATCGTTAACCGGTGTTGTATGTGCATGAATGATGGAGAGTCTGTGGATCTTCTTCTCTTGCATTGTCCCGTAGCTCACGACTGCTGGAGCCTTTTGTTGGGTCTCTTTAGGGGTGCTTTCTCCTCAGGGGAAGTTCCAAGTCCGGTCCTATTTTCACCAGCTTTCAGATTTTTGAGGACCCACCTTCCCATGGAAAACGGTTTGGCGCTCGATAGCTCCTCTTAGGGTGGCTTTTTTTGTGTGGACTGTTGTTTGGGACAAGATTTTGACTCTGGACAATTTGAGGAAGAGACAACATGTTATCGTTAACCAGTGTTGTATGTGCATGAATGATGGAGAGTCTGTGGATCTTCTTCTCTTGCATTGTCCCGTAACTCACGACTGCTGGAACCTTTTGTTGGGTCTCTTTGGTGTCCAATGGGTTCTGCCCCAAACCTCAAGGGATCTGATTGATGGGTGGAGGGGTCAAAGGGTGGGAGCGCGCGCTCATAATTTCTGGAGGGTGATTCCCCTTTGTTTTTGGTGGAGTCTTTGGAAAGAACGCAATCGTAGATCTTTTGATGGGGAGGGGACCTCCATTGGGGCTTTGAAGTTCACTACTCTTTGCTCTCTTTTTAGTTGGGGTATGGGGCGAGATTGTATTTCTTTGGATGAGATTATGGACTTTTTGGGGTCGTTGGGTTCATAGATCTCATTTTCTTCTCTTTTTTTCGTCTTTGTACAGTTCTTGGGACGCGGTCCCCTTTTGAACGCCTTCTAATACAATTTTACTTATCAAAAAAAAAAAATCATGGTTCTAAATCTTGCAAATTAAATTCAACTTAGGAAGCACGGACACTCCAAAATGGGCGAAGAATCCGTGTCCGACACGTGTCGGACACGCCAAAAAACATGTTTGGAATTATTTTAATTTTTCGACACGGACACTCCGCGGATACGCGTCCGACACGCCAGGGGTGAGTGTCCGACACGCGTGTTTTATTTTCGGGGGTCTAAAAGATAATTTTTGAAAGAAAATTGGGTTAAAGTATAAATATGTGAAGTTATTTAACAACTTTTACTCACTTATGTGGTCAGTACATAATAATTTTAAACTTGTAAGGTTAATATGCAATTTTAGACAAAACAAATAGATATTTAGGTTCTGCTTGTTTCGACGTAAAATATTCTTTTTTAAAAATATTTTTCTTTTTCACGTAAAATATTCTTTTATTTTTACTTTGTTCGTGTTTGGCAAAGGTCTACGTCGAGGTTGAGATCGAGTCCATCGGGCGGGACATGTAAAATAACTTGCCGCAAATTGATGAATAAGTTATTTTTGTTAAATTTTAATATTTTTTTTTCTTCGTAAATATTTTACGACAACCAAACACCAGAAAATAAAAAAAATATTTTCTGAAAAATATTTTATGTCCAAACAAACGGAGCCAGGAGCCTTAAGAGCCAGTGATTACACTATTACAGTAGATGAGTTGTGATTTTGTGTATTTTTTTCATTATGAGGTTGATGAAAAATAGTAACACTAAGTAATTTTTAAAGTACTACATCATATATATATATATATATATATACACACACACTATTCACCGTGTCCCTGTCGTGTCCGTGTCCTAATTTTTTTGGATTTGCCGTGTCCGTATCGTGTCGTATCCGTGTCCGTGCTTCTTAGAATTCAACCATATCGAGACTTTAGTTAGTTATCATTTACTGTAACTTGTGTTGGGAATGTAAGTATAATATATCCTAATAATATAATATATCAAATAGTTTTTATTAATTTTAAAGTTTTTTCTTTAATACATATGCCAACATAAACAAGCTAGCAAGCTGACATGGTAGAAAAATATTTTGGTGTAGGTTTGCATTGCCAAGCCCAATAAAACATGGCAGCTTTCTAAAAAGACATAAATTTGGCCTCAATTGTTGCCCCTGTACTAACGACTTAAAGCTAATAAAATTATATTCCTGAACCAATGTTCATAGGAACAGGTTAAATTCCACTGTGGATAGGGAAAATTTATAATTCCTCAATCCAACAAAGCCTATACTACAATTAAACTAATAAAAGTGACATATGTACATAATCAATTGTTCCCTCTATCCCAAAAAATTCAAAGCACTTTCTAATTTTCTTTTTTTACTTCTATATACCACCCCAAACTACATAATAAATCAATTGTTTTTTCTTAAAACTTGAAATTCTCCCACACCCTTGACAGAATTTTTTTCGAAATGTAATACAAAAAAGCTGAAGTGTCAATGTATATTCTTCCATTAAAATTTAAGTCTTCAAAAAGAAAGTCATTTTGGGATGGGGCAGCACATAAAGAAATATGTACAAGAACAGGTACTTAAAGAATATTTTTCCAGTGGTGGTATGTGCTTGGTCAATTGAATATAAACAACTTGGAAAACAATGAAGAATAAGAGCCCATTGACGTCAGCAATCTACAAATTCTCCATAACGGACATTATTTTCTCATAGATAAAGATTGTGTTCACACTTGGTTTAGAAAACAAGATTTCATAAAAAATAATAATAATAAAATAAATGTCTCTCATGCCCTATAGCTCTACTCCTTCATTTGGGTAGAGGCTCCACCCAAATGAAGGAGATCAAACCAGACCAACTTTCACCAGGTTTTCAGAGCTCACCATGTCTGCAGCCATCTCTTGCAGGTCAAGGACATTCAAACGCAGAGAAATGTCTCCAAAACAAAGTCGACCAAAAAAGATCACCCATGTCCCTGTACCTATTCCTAGTTAACTGATAATTGCACGAGTTATAACTATGATACAAATAGAGTCTAGCTTAACCAATATTTGGAATTCAAACTTCCTCCTAAATCAACAACAAATCTATGCTGAAATTTTCAATAAATTTCATGTGCTTAACCCCTAACGTCAAGTACAAGTTTGGAAGCCCTCATCCCATAAATTTGTTAAGAAAAAGAGAAAATGGATCCTCAGATAAAAATACTTGACGCATATGCATTAATGACTAACATGAAATATGAAGCTACACAAAATTCAATGTTTTTGAATTAAAAACCTACCTCACCAGAAGAAGCCATGAAGGTCATCAAACAAGAAATTGATCCTTTATGACCTCCAGTGTACCTTCGAACAAGCTGCAAAGAAACAAGCATTATCACACAATGCAAGTAACAATAACAATAACCTAATAGGCTAATAGACCAAAAGCATAAAAAACCACAGACCTTCCATGTAATCATTGAAAGAACTCTAATTACACCATCTGAGCCCCCAAAAGCCACAAGAGGACCATCCCCAGCTGCTGATCTGGAGAGGAACTCCATACTGCAACCAGCAAACAAAATTGCTAAATAAAAATGCTTGGGGGAAAATACAATCATCTGGGCCTTATGGAAAGCAGGTGGCTCATAAATAACTATAGTCCCAAACTTATCTATACGAATTAACTTGGTAATGCCAGACGGTCATATTTTATGTTTTAAACAGTAATTTAAAATTAGTTTAGCATTATGTATCTATTATTCTACAATACAGAAATATGGTATACCAAATTCGGTCATTTGTCATTCCCCAAAAATTGAGCATACAGAAACATTTGTTTAAAGCTCCAAATAGCATGGGAAGGGGAGGGGGGTAAAGGTGCCAGTTGGAAGAGGGAAAAAGGTGAGTTGAAGACAAGTTGAGGGTCCTTTGATTGAAAGATGGGGATAAGAGTGCGAAATTATTTCACCAGTTGGAAAAATCCCACAGGAGAGCAAATTAATGGGAAGGAATTGAGCAAGGAAAAAAACATCAAGAGGGTTTTGTGCAGTTTTTTGAGTACTTGTACTTTGAGACTTCTCACTGCAGGCTGAGACTTGACGGAATGGAGTTTGTTAGGATTATTGGAGGCAATAAGGAGAACCACCAGACTTTTCACTGCAGACTGAGACTTGACAGATTAGAGTTTGTTAAGATTATTGGAGGCAATAAGGAGAACTATTGAGCCATTAGCTCATGGTAACTCCTCCTCCTTCCGTATAGGAGGTTGAGAATTCAAGTTCCATTGGAGCGTAGTGGGTGTGTGCATTGAGTTGGGTGCTTGTATTCTTGCTTAACAATTTTATCTTTTTAAAATATAATACACACACACACATATATATAAGGAGTAGCTAAAAAGGCCATCTAGATGAGGTAGCAGAGCTGCAGAAGCACAAGGTCCCTAGTCCTGGTGACATGACAGTTTATCTATTTCAATAGTGGTAGGATGTTGTGAGATCAATTGTTATAGACACATTTAGCTTTTTCATGAGCAGGAGAAGTCTGAAAAAAAAGGTCCTTTTATTGTTTCAGTCCCAAGGAAAGAAAGAGCGGTAGATTCCAAAGATTTTACGCGTATGGGTTCTTTATAAATGTAAAGCTAAGGTGTTTACTTCCTGAAACAAAAGGGTGATAGATTCAGTTTTTCACAGTCCCAAAATGCTTTCGTGGATGCCCATCAAATTCTAGATATGATGTTACTGGCTAATGATTACTTGGACTCAAAGATAAGAAGTACCAATCCAGGCTTGCTAGATATTTTGACATGGAAAAGGCATACTACCACGTAAATTGGACATTTCTCTTGTATGTAATGGAAAAGATGGGTTTCAGACCCCAGTAGGGAGAACATATGAAAGTTTTTTATTTCTTCAGTGGAATTCCAATGCTTATCAACACAACTCTGGCCGCCTTCTTTGACAGATCAAGAGGGCTTAACAGGGAGACCCATGCTCCTTTTTTTCCATTACAATGATGCTTTTAATCATATGCTGGGGAGGAATGTGGCAGCTGGTTATCTCAGAAAACTTCATAATGAGGTTGTAAAACGATATCTCTTGGCAATTTTCCTTTTGCTATTTGCAGATGATACAAATGTCTTCTGTGATGCAGATAAAAACCAATTAAAGTTTTTTAGGTCCATTCTTATGCTGTCAATCAGTGTTCTGGCTGAAATTTAATCCATGTAAAAGTTAGTTGATTCCAGTAGAGGAGGTGCAAGAGGTGAAAATTTCTTATGCTGTCAATCAGTTGTTGGGTCTCAGGAAGAGATTATAGATCTGTTGAGGATATTGTCACTTTTTTGGCCTCTTTGAAGGCTTACAGGCTCTTTTTGCCTTTTGTTGTTCCTTTGGGATGCACTCCCCTTTTGAGCGCTTTTTTATAATTCTTACTTATCAAAAAAACCTTTGGTATATTGGTATAATTTTATATTAAAAATACAACTCAAACTTCCCACAATATATCTCTTCATTTTTTATTTCTAAGAAACAAACTTTTTCTACATTAAAAACTGTTCATACATAATTTTTCTTACTTGAGGAGTCAAATTTACCAATACTTCTAGCAAATAAAATTAAAAAACAGATGGAGTAAAATAAAGTTACTGCCATTAGTGGTGAGTGAACATAAATCAAATATCAGACATAAGTGGGACTTGCCAGAGAAGTGACTTGTTGTCAAGTTCCTGCTTTGGTACATCACGGCCACGCATTGTCACCAAGTCTAAGAAAATGGTTTTGTTCTCACAACAGATGACAAGAAAATGCCTTCCTTTTGTTGAGGGAGCAACAGAACTGAAAGCTGAAGTATTGACTGATGATGGAGCCTCAGCAGCAGCAGAACGGTTACGCGAGACTTGCCAAAACCGCACATCGTCATCATAAAAGCTAACCTGCTTAACACTTGAACCACATGTCCATGGCAGGTTCATGTTTCAAAACAGAAGCCACAATAGCCAGCAAAAGGTATATATATATTAAAAGGTAGATGAACAGATCCATTACCTCCCTCCCCGTATGGCTTCTGTAGGTTTTCCCTTAGGCTCTACCAAACAAACAGCAAGAATTGGAAAAAAAAAATAAGTAAATTCTTGCAACAAAAAGAATTATGAAAATCTCTGAGCATGCGAAAGATAAATTATTTACTATAAATATATAAACATTTTTTCCTATAGCAAATGGGCATGATTGAAAAAGACCTAACACAATTCCAAATAGATTCTTCAATCATTTCAATTTGTTTCCAAAAAAAAAAAAAGTGGTAATATCTATTCCTAAATATTATTTAAAATTGCAATGAATCTGAATAAACAAGAATTGCACAAAACCAGAAAGGCCTGTTTTATCACAGTCTCTCAAAACAAATTGGAGAAATTAGAACATATATTAATTTAGAATCATTCAAATATCCTTCTTTCAGAAATTGTAGTATTCTTTTGAATGCCAAAAAACTTGCTGAAAATGCCAGCAGAAATTAGAAGCCTGGTCATTTACACATTACGCAATCAGACAAATAAAAAGAATAAAAAGAAAGAGACAGATATGATTGCTTACAGCAGAGCAGCGTCAAAAGATACACTCCCTGGAAATTTGTGACTTAAATACCATGGAAAATGATAATTAAGAATAGGCGGTGAATTAAAAGTTTAACTAAATATTTTCATTGGTAAGATGGAGGATCACTAATTCATCAAAACACACAAACACATATATAAAAAAATAAAAATAAATAAATTAAAAAATAAAGGAGGCCAGTACCAGTCCTTTAAAAATATTTAGCAAATATATGTTCTCTTCATAAAAATGAAACAATTATAGAACCCCAATACCACATCAAACATTTTTCTGAGAGATGGTTAAAAAAATCTCCAAACCTTCAAAATGCAGATCACAGCAGTGGACAATTCGTGTTAAACTATCCAATAGCCCAACCTGACAAAGGTTGCACTATTCATTTACACTGGATGTGAAAGTAAAACTTGGTGAAATCTTCCATATTTTTAGTAAATCCTCAATGCTACAAAAATCTCAAACTGATAGCTACCCATCTTATGCAAAGCAATCTCTCACAAAAACGCATCGAGTTCTTAAGATACCACATTTACCTATGAAGATGGCTTTTTGTCCTACATCTACAAAAAAGCTACCACGTGTACTACAAATATCACAGAAAATATTTATTTCCTTCCATATGTACCACATAGGACATGAAGACACTACCATTCAAGCCCGCTTAAACCTCTGCAGTCCTTTTTTTTTTTTTGATAAGTTAAACCTCTGCAGTCCTTATTATCAGCAATCCTAAAAAGAGCAATAAACCGATCACTAAGATGAACATTTCCACTCCGAAAATCATCTGTGACCATCCCCACCACAAAACTTATGAAATTTGAGAATCGTCTGAACCTTTTCAAAAATCCTATCACGACACCACTTCAAATGAATCCCTCGCCCCATTATTATCAGAATTCCATATCTTCCAAGCAATGGCCAAAAAATAAGGGACATAATTATGATTCATCAACATTAGATAATGATTACAAGTAATGGTAGTATATAGTTTAGATGAAATGAAACTATCGCATATTCACAATGACTCAACCTCACAAAGGTTGGAGAAAAACTGGATGCAGAAAAATTATTCCGTAAGAAAACTTGCATGTCAATCTTCACTAATAAACCCTTAATAATAAATAAAGACTCGACAACCATTGATTCTTTATCCTCATGCGTTTAGACAGATCAGGAGCTCAGTCCTTCAAAGGCACCTCTTCACATTACATGTCATTATGTCAAGCCAAAAATTGAACACACTCAAGATAAGCTTTTGTCAATTACTTTACTACTTTCACTGAATCTAATTAGTTTTATTATGTCCCAGTAATAAAATTCTTGAAATTTGCCAAAATAAAATAAAATAAAATCGAATTTTTCATAAAATGATTGAATATGTATATATCCCTTAAATAATAAATCCCGAAACCCCTAACATTATGAATAATTCTTAATCTTTTTTTAATTACAGAGTCATCGTGGATAATCATGGAGATGACTTAGTTGATCTTTTGGACTCTATTGGTCCTTAGGTTCAACTTTCATTTTTTGTATTACGGACACTTTCCCCTTTTGAGCGCTCTTCTAATTGACTTTTACTTACCAAAAAAAAAATTATCTAATCATTTAGTTCTCTCAGCATTAACATCTTTTTGGCTCCAACATTTTAGCATGTATCTTCTCTGTTAGAACCTTGTTTTTATCCCAATAACTCAAATTTTGAATATTTAGATGTAGAACAATTTCTTGAATGCAGTATCTGTTAATGTGGCTATATTGCGAATTAGCTGATAACATACGTTTTCTTTTAAAGTGTAGCTAGTAGGCATTGATTGAGAGATGCAATTCTACCACCAACTTTCTAACCTGGTCTTTGTCTATCAAAAAATTAAAATACCTTGACAAGAACTTTGGGTATATTACAAACCCCAAACTTTGACAAGCATGGTTTCTTTGGTTACAAGGGATACGCTCAAATGGTTTGTTATATTTTGTTAGACTACGATAGTTTCAAAGTATATATACAAAACCTTTCCAATATATTGGAGTATACAATAGAAGGTTTTAGTAGAGCACGTTCAGAACTTCAGTGGACCAATGTAGGAACCTACATGAAGTGATTGAAGTGTAGTTTGGGTTAAACTTCGACTTCTACTTCCTTGTTAAAACAGGTCATAAGTGCCTTGTTAGCTAACAAAGTATTTTACTCTGATCGTTTTTAAGGTTTCCAAGGTACTAGCTGATATGTATCTCCAGGTAGATCCTAAGCTTCACTCACCCCCTCCTTTTAAATCTGCTAATTGGTCCCTCTTGAAACGCAAGAGGTTTATGTTAATCCTTGTCGTTCTTCCCTTTCCTCGTGGGTTTGCGAGAGCATTTGTTGTTCTCAGTTTCTGACTCTGTCAAACTTCATTGTGTATCATTATTTTACATCTGAAAAAATTTATATTGCCTACTGGGAAAATATATATATATAGAGAGAGAGAGAGAGATTGCCGGAATAGTAATAACCAACAAACTTAAAATCTATGATTCAAACTATAGCAGGAATAAATATTTTTTGAAGAGGCTTTCCAACCTGATTCACCCTCGGCGAGCTTTTCCAACTTGGCACCAACCAATCGCCTCTCGTCAACACCACCTGCTTTCAGCTCATAAATCACCTGAAATGTAAAAAAAAACAAACAAAAATAAGTAAAAAATTCAATTGCAAAAGTACAAAAATAGAGAAATGTGATAAATTTACCTGGCGGTGTTCCCAGTTCCAAACGGAGACGCGATCGGAATCGTCGGCGGTGACCAGCCATGGATGCGTTGGATGCAACTGAATCTTCACGATCTTGTCATTCGTCGGACGAAAAGCTTTCAAACGCAGCATTGCCTTTATTGAAATTTGCAGATCAAATTGAGACGACTTGGCTTTCTATGAATGATTGAATTTGTAATCAGGGCAAAGTAAATGAAAAACTAACGCCCTAAATTTTGAGAGATCTGATCGAGCTCCGGTGATTTCGTCCGTCGACGCTCGGATCGGCGACGGACTCAGATCCGTGATTGGCTTCTGGATTTCAGAGAATATTTGGGGCTCGACGATTTATGGCGAGAAACGAGCTACACTGGAATGCTCTGTCGAGTGCGCATCGAGTGCATTAGAGGGGTGTATAGTGTAATTTGCTTACATGAAATGAGAAAGCGGATCGAAAACTGGAACCATATATCTGAATATCATGGGAGATTGAGAATGCTCAGGTTAAAAAAAAAAAAAAGTGTTAGAAACGAAAAAATATATGTATGTGTCTGTGGGTTTGCGTGTCTTTCTTTAATTTAAATTAATTTTTTATTTTTAGAGAGAGAAAAAAAAAAAAAAGTTTTAAATGATAGGATTAACCCTTTAATCACCAATACTACAGTGTACATTTTAAAGGACCTAGGTTGTATGTTTGTTTTTTGTTTTTTGTTTTTTTGTCCTAAGGACAACAACATAAATATTACGAATATTTCATTAAATCTGCTATGCTTTTTTTTGCCATTTCCTCCTCCGCGTTTGTTTTGACACTCTCTCTCCTTGGAACATACCATATATGACGGCCCTGTTTGGTTGGGGAGCTCCTAGTAAAATTCCTTGTTGATAAAGGCATTTGTGAAATGAATTTTGTTGGAAGGTCTCGTAAGGGGGAAAAAACGTTAGGCAAACGTATTTCTTAAATTTACTCTAGCTTTTGGATTATTTTTTTGTTGCTTGTCCTTAACAATTATTGCAGCCCTCTAATAAAAAAAGTGTGAAAGCGGCAATGGTAGAATGCGATGACAATATTGGTAATGGTGGTGGCAGAAAGCAATTGCGATGGTGATGATGGTGGTTGTAGCGGAAAGTGGCGTTTGAGAGGGGTGGTGGTCACTAGCAAGTGTAGGGTGGGCTCAAGTCCACCCCCAAACAAAAAAATAATAATATTTACTATGTCTAATTTTAGCCCAGATAAAAAATAATATATATTACTACTATTAGTCCATCCAAAAAAATATTAACCCACTTCATTGACAATTCTTGAATTCGCCCTTAGTGGTAGTAGAATGTGATGATGTCGAGGGTGGTGGAAGGTCTTAGTTGAGGGTGGCGGTAGCGGCGACGGTATCGGTGGAAGCCTGGAAAGTGGGCATGGCGATGGTAGTGAAGGGTGATGGTGGCGGTAGTGGTAATTGGTGGCGGTGGTGGTGGTTGGTGATGGTGGCAACGGTGGAACGAAGGACCAAAAAATAATATTGGACAATCTTGTCAATTTATGAAAAATGCGTGGACAAATTAGTAAAATAAAATTAACTTCTTAAAAGGAGAAGCAACATTTTCTTACTTCTCTTAAATGGACTTCCTGACCATTTACTTTTTGAGAAAGTCCTTTACATATATGTAACCAAATGTTACAATTTTTTTTAAATATACTTTTCAAGCTTGGAAAGGACTTTTTAAGGCTCTACGAAGCTCCCCCAAAATCTCTGTATAATTCCTTCCATTTCTTTCTAACCAAACTATTTGGTATTGATATTTAATATTAAGGAAGGAAAAAGTTATTTGAGGTATTACTACACGGCTGAAAATTTGGTACAGTATTATGATACCCTCGGATTTCCAGATGTGAGTTGGCCATGCCGACGCCCGAACACCCGAGGATATAAAAAACAAATGGCAATAATCGAACACATAATACAATTATAATAAAAATGAATAAATAAAACTGCTGAAAGAAAACCAAAACGATAATCCAATAATGAAAACCTCAGAATAAATTTTATATATAAGAACTATTCTGGTACATCCAAACCTCCAATACAAATACAACTCGAAAATCCATCTAGTGAACCCTCAATCAAAACCCAACTGAAGATAAACTAAACTAAAAAGGAAATCCAAAACTAAATATAAATTGCAGTCCTACGCAATCAGAAGAATGAGTAACCGTCTCTGCTCAGCATGAACAAGCTTTAAGACTGGACCCGTCCGATACCTGAAAAATAATAGTAGGTCAGGCCTACGTACAAGTTCTATACTAACTAGAATTCAAATAGAGACCCAATACACAGATACATCTTAGATATCTTAACAATATCTATCGAGTCCATACATATATATATCCACACTAAATGATTCTCGCTGGACTACAAAGGGGGTCTCAACCTAAATAGAATGTAGCATGCAAAACGCACTAGAGGTGAGCATGATTACCTAGACCTAACAGGGTACACCTCAACCATCATAGCCAGCTATGCATCCCAATGCATGTACGCTCCCTAACCAATGATTATGAGACTCAAGCTTATATCGTTGTACCATAGTTATATATCTAAAGTCCGTCCAAAACCAGAGTATGTCATTTAATTGTTCATTGATCTGACATAAGATTTATAATCCGGTTAGTCACTCAACTTACTCAGTTGATCTGACTTAAATATAAGTAGGATTCAATATTTTACAATCCATTCCCTTATTCCAATAAAATAGGTCTTAGCGTTTTGAGTTAAACCATCCCTAATATGCCACCGCTCTTTACCGGTGCGTACAATATATAACATCTATATAATTGACAGAATCTAATATAATAATTCAACAATTAAAATTCAACATATAAATCCATGTAATTGACAGAACATAGTTTAATAGTTCAGCAATTAATAACCAAAACACTAATCCATGTAACTGCAAAATAACGTTTATTATTTCAGCAATTAGAATCCTAAGTAAGCATGGATCAAGTCTGATAAATAAATGACCCTATTGTACATCCAAAGCAAGATTTATAATCATGCTATAGTCCGTTAAATTGTTAAAACAGAATTAAACAATTTAATCTCTTTATATCCGTTAACAGCATGCAAGATTGTTTAAACTTTCCTACTGTTAAATCCAATAGCATAGAAGCATTAATTATGCAGTGTGGGTTCTAATACAGCATAATATAATGTTTAGAGCCCATGCTATAGTCCATTAAATTGTTAAAACAAAATTAAACAATTTAATCTTTTCTATCTACTAACAGCATGCAAAGTTGCTTAATTTCATACTGTTCATTCCATTAGCATAATGATGTAAATTATGCAATATGAGGTTTTAAAATTTAATGAAATTACATTTAGAACCCTCAGTACAGTCCCCAAAACAATCCAGAATACCAAATTCGTCTGGTGCCCAGAAAAGTCCAGATTATAAGTATATAAGAGAGCCTGCTCTCAAAACTTGAAAGCATGTTCCAACCAAGCATGGAGCTGGCTCCATGCCCCCTGGAGCCGGCTCTAGAGGGGTGGGAGTCGCCTCTACATCCCCCAGAGCCGGCTTTTCACTTGGGAGAGCCGGCTCCCTCTTCCATGGAGCTGGCTCTCTCCCTCTTCCATTGAGCCGGCTCTCTCCCTCTCTGAGAGCCCTGAACCTTCTCCGGCCTTTTGCTTCGTCTCCGGCCACTTCCAACCCTTCTGTTATTCAAAAGCAATGAACTTAACAGTCTAAATTATACCCATAGCATCCCAATCAGTTATTTACCACAGTTGGAATTAAAAACCACGCTGAAACCAGTTACCGATTCTTTATGTTTTACAAACAGACAATGAACTCCAAACTTGCAAGAACAATTACAGATTAAATTAAACACATATATACGAGCAATTTAACAAATATTAAGCATGCAAGATTTAGTTATTATCCGAGTAAGATCCTATAGATCATCTAGGTATACATAGAACACAGGTCAAGGGGAGAGAGACATAATAGAACTTGCCTGAGGTTTTGAATCAAAACATCGTCGCCGTCTTCCTAAGTTTTCCGACGACGTCTATTCACTGTCAACCTCCTACTGCTCAACCTTCCCTCCTCTTAAGTCTGTTCTTTAATCCACAGCCAAAACCCTGACGAAAATCTCTATGTTTTTTCACAATCTCTCTCTGGTTTTCTTTATATCTCTGGTACATGAATAAGGTTTTTCCAACCCTTGTGCAAACTTGTAACAGTATATTTATAGGCACAAATAAAAACCTAGGTCCAATGTTAATCAAAGACGGAAAGCCTAATAAACTCCTAGTCAGCCAACGCGCGAGTCATAAAAAGAATAAAACCCTAAGTTCACATTATAATTAATAACTCTAATTTAATCCAATTAATTCATTTAAATAAACTAATAAACCATTAAACAATTAAAACTAATTTAATCCAATTAAATACAATTAAATTAACAATAACACTTTAATCCAATTAAAGAAAAATACAATACAATTAAATTAACAATAACACTTTAATCCAATCAAAGAAACATACAATACAATTAAATTGACAATGAAACAAACAATTCAATTAAAACAAACGATCAATCAATTAATTAAAATAAACAGGCAACCAAACACATAAACAAATAAAAATGCAATAAAATAAAACTTAAAATGCTGAGACTATCTTTTTAAAATTAGGGGTATTACAAGTATTAACTAACCAAATTTTGGATAAAAATTGAAGTAAGTGTCACTGGAGTTTTTGAGACAGGTTCACATTGAAATGTGTTCATCTCCAATAGCAGTTTATGGTATATTCACTTGCTTAAAATCGTGTCAATATGGATGAGGAATTGGAGCCAATGTAGCTTATTTAATCACGGGTAAAAGTAGGTGTGGCGGTATTGTCCGACTGATAGAGAGTGAGGCCTTAAGTGCCCCCAAACCTATACTCTTGGGTTCGAATTTCCTTCTCCCTAATGTGACTCCTAGCTCTCTAACCATTGTCAGGTTAAAAAAAAAATCATGAATGAAAGTGGGTTATTTTGCTTGAGCTTGTTGGCCTTACGCCTAGTCCAAAATTTTCAAAATCTGAACTAATGCATGGGTAGTAATTTTGTTGGTTCGGGTTGGTGGTTCATCGAACTAGTGCACCCATTGACGGCTCAACTGAAAATTTGCACCCATTAGCTGAAGTGGTTCAATCGATGATTGTTTAACTCGACAGTTGTACTTATTAACCAAATTAGTGCAACCGATGACTGTTTAGGCCAAATAGAGGCACTTGTTTGGCCTCGATGTATCTTGTTCCAGACTAACACCATTTCCTTTATAAATACTCAATTTGGTCTCATTCTCTCTCTCTCACTCCCTATGAGCTCTGTGTTTGAGCTAATGCCAGTACTAACACTCGGATATTAGATCAAGATGAATATATGACCGTTCAAGGCCTTCGTGATTTGTATCCAAGTTTAATGGTTAATTATGAGTTCAAGTCAAGTCAGAAAAAAGTATAATGTAATACTTTGGCTAGTTCATTTGGTTTGAAGTATTATTATAGAATAATATAAAATCGTTATATCTTGTGAGACAAATGTTATAGAGACGTTTAACACATAGCAATGTGTACTGAATTGGTAAGGTGTTGTTGGGCCCAATTACATTTGAGTTTGCCACCGGTTTTTGGCACAACACTCATTTGATCAGGGGCAGAGCCAATGTGTGCTGGGAGGCACATGCCCCTGGTAGGGCCCGCCCACTATAGAATATAGTAATTTTTATTTTAATTTGTGCATTTATAAGAAAATTTCTATATAATACCCCCCATAAAATATATTCTAAATTTTTCTTTCATTTTTCTTCTGCTCTTAATATTTCATTGATTTCCTTAAAAAAAAGTTAAATTTTTCTTCTTTACTCAAACTATAATATTTTGTTCCATTAAAATTTATCATTTTTCTCCCCTTTTTATTCTTCTTTTTTTATTTATTTATTTTTGCCCTTGCTCCGTAACATTCTTCTTTTTGCACTTAAGAATGATGTATATTAGTATGTAATTTTTTTTGTTCTTCTTATTTAAATTATGATTTTCATTTTTACATTGCTTCCTGAATTAAAATCTTGGCTCCGCTCTGCACATGATACGACAAAATCATTGGATATGTTGTTATCAATCCTAAAGAGTCCATCTGAAACACTCCTAAAAACTATTTATAATATGATTGAAAATAAAATAAAGGAAGAGCCAGAGAGAAAAATGCATATGTTGAATTAATAATCGAGAATGGATCATCTCCAATAATTTTCCTCTCCAAGACTATGTTTAACAAATACAAAAATACCACATCATAATGTTGTTGTTATGAAACTAAAACATTATGAAGTTTTGTAGATGCTTGTAGAGGAAAATAATTTAAGAGGATCCAAATCCTCAAATTATTTTTGAAAATAACTTTTATATTTATAGAGTACGGTTTTCTTTAATTTTTTAAAAATATATAATTACTCCAATTTAAATGAGAGAAAGAGTAATGCCAGTAATACATGAAGAGCTATCAGTTTATACCGATTTTATTGGACAATTTTTTTAAAACTTGCAAAAAAAGGTCAAATGAATTATTAAATAAAATTTTGAATAACTTATGGAACCCTCATAAGAGATGGGAGAATATTTTTTTGGTGTATGTTTTTATAATCCAAACGATAATTATTTATTTTTTCCATGTTATCATATTTTAACCAAAAGGATAATTATTTAATTTTTACATACCAAGGCAAGGACTATAACACCAATAATATTTAGGTTTTAATTTGTCATAAAACAAGGTAGTAGTAATATACGATGAGGTTTCATCAGGCATGGTGAAACTGGGCTTCGAACAACGTTGGTGTTGGTCTGGTCTGGTCTGGTTCAGTTCTCGTGGGTTCGGGTTATCGGGTTTGGAGTTGCCGTGTTCACTGTAAACCTCCCTCTATCTCTATTCTTTCACCATTGTCTTCATCATCAACATCATCAACATCTTCTCTCTCAACCCGTTTCTCGTTGAAGCTGAACACCCACACACACCCCATTATCTACACAGACTATACTAGTACTGCCTCACAGATTCGGGTCATCCTCTTTCTCTCGCTGGTAAGCACAATATCTCTCAACCTATTAAAACCTAGGGTTTGGAACACAAAGAGCCCTAGGGCTCGTATTTCTATAAACGAAGTAAATGCATTTAGGGTTTTGAATTTAAAGGAAAGGGACTGGTTTATGCTTTCGAGCAATGACTCTGGCTGCATATGTTGTGATTTCTATTTGATAATTGCAAAAACGGTGTTATCAGATAGATTGGTAGCTCGCTAATAGAAAATGTTTGGTTTTTGGTGTTGGGTTCGTATGTAATTCTTTGCATGTTCATGTAGTGCGACGAGGGTAGTGGCATGAAAGCAGAAATAGAGACTTGTTTTATTCGGAGATGAGCGGACATGAGTAGACTGTCATTCAGGCCTCGTCCACTCGACATTCACAAGAAGCTCCCTATTGTCAAGTCTGTCAAGGACTTTGAAGATGAAGAGACCACCACCACTTCGACCCGTAACTCGCAGATACTGCGTCTTGCTGCAGAGGCCGATAATGAGGTACAAGCTCATTACCAGCTCAAAGTTCTCCATTGATTATTAATCTCTTTCTCTTACAGTTTAACTTTTTCGTTCTACTACAGCTATGCTGTGCTTGTCGAATATGATTTGCTAGTTGTAGTGAAGCTTACATTGGCATAGTATCTGTGATTATTCTAAATTTAAGGTGGCTGGGGATAGTTTTTGTTTTTTTTTCCTTGGCATTTAGTTTCATTGAAAACCACTTCTACCCCCTCCAATACATGCGAACACAAAGCGAAAGCTCAATGTGGGTGCGGGATTTGAAATAAATTATCAAAAAGTGGAGGTTGGGAGAAAATTAGAAATGGGTTCCGAAGAAGGGGAAGGCCGGGAGATGGAGATAACAATAGGGGGTTCTTCAAACTTTTGTACTTTCTGACTGTCTGTGCTTGGAGATTTAACAATATTCGCGTACTAAACATGTGCTAATCTGTTAGCATCTGTCCGTTGAAGGTGTTTGACTCGCCACATGTCCTTCCCTTTTGTACCACACTGCAAATGTAATTTGACATGTTGCATGTACTATTCAATTTGTTTAGGTTGTAGGGCAAGTGAATGACTTGAACCACTACTTTATTTTCCCCTAATTTTAAGTCAAGTCAAATGAATCCAAGTATCTCGATACAGGATTATGATGCAGCACTTCTATTGGCCGCATCACGACTGCTAGGGTCACATCTTGCACATCCATACTGTGACCACAGGGGTGCCATGAGTTGTGGTAGTTATTTGTTAACATATCGAAGAACACATAATGATTCCAAAACTGCAAAACAGTAACATGGATCACGCCTTCTTATCACAACAGATCACAAATGTTGATGCTTATAGCTGCATGATTACAATGGATTACCGTGTCTCATTGTAATCATTGAGGCTGCAGGGTGCCATGAAGGAGGGCGTACTGGAGCCATGTGTTTATGATGCAATACCAAACGGTCCAAACCACACAACAATTGTGATATTTGCAATGCATCACGAGATAGGATATATAGCAATAATCACAACACAATTCACAGGTGACATAGAATCATATGATCACAAACATCAAGGAATAATGAGGTTGCATCAGGGATTGCAGTAGTATGACCTATGATGCAATGCCATTAATGCTGTTTTAGTATGCACTGTGCTCAGAGTCCCCCTTGGTATTGCCTCAAATCTAGACACGTGCAGGATACTTGAGTGGTTTTAGTAAACGAGGAGCTATTCGGTATCATGTGAATTGTAGGTCAGAAAGCTGAATAAAAATTTGAATTGAAAAAGTACACATTAGACCCTTAATTGATTTTTGTTAAAATTGAAAGCATTAGTGGGATTGGAGATCAAGAAGCATTTACTTTTAGGATCTTCAAAGGTTTGGAGGGTGTAGGGCATGTCTAACTTTAATTCCTAGTAATTTTAAATAGTTGATCGAAGGAGCAGCGGTTAATGATAATTTTCACACTTAAAAAGGCATTGTACCAGTTTCCTTGTATTATCCCATTTGTTTGATGAAAATTATGAATATTTATTGAACTTTAATATGTTTCAAGCTACTTAAACTTTTCTTTCACTGTAGAATCATGGGGGGGTGTCTATATAAGAAATATCAAGTTGAGGCTGTTAAATGGGTGTGTAAATATAGTTTTCGTACAACTAGTGATGCTAATATCAGTTGATTTATTATGATTTCCAAAAGGTTTGTATCAGAATTCAGAAATTCTAGTTAGGAGTTGTCTTCCGTGCCGTTGTTTGGAATCTTTGGAAGGTTTAGGTACATATTTTAGGTGATGCTTCTGGATTCTGTGGAAAACACTAACTGCCACTCCAATTGCATCACTTGCAACTTGTGAATGTGGTTTAACAATAGTAAATCATAATTCACCTTTCATAGTTATCCTGTCACCCCAACATCAAATGCATCACCCCTTTCCCCCATTGAATGTCTTATATGCTGAAACTGCAAGATGCAAATTCATAATTGTACAAAGAAAAAATGAAATGAAAAGTCTCATTTGCCCCACGAAGGACATTAAAGAAAAGAACTTCAGAGAAAGCTTATAATGTTCCTATCCTCAAGGAGGCCTTGAGGTTATGCTGTCCTTTATCTACCATAGGAGATAGGTTTACAGCTCCCTCCTTGCTATTGTTTCGAAAATGTCAAAAGGCCAGTATGCATCTTTTACGGAAATATTAAAAATATTCCTCCCAAAAGTTCTATCATAACTTATCACATGTCATTTACAAATGTATGACCTGTAAGATCAGTGTTAACACACGATTTTGCTTCAAGTGCTGAGTTGTTCCTTTACTTTCAATTATTTTTGTTCTTTAGGTACAACATATTCCTACCAAGAAATTGGCTTCTGAAATACCTACACCACAGTTTGTTGTTGTGGGCACATATGAAAGAGATTATTCCCGAACTTTCAGTCAACCGACGTCATATTTACGCGGGAGGGGAGGTTTGAACTACGTAGATACTTTATTGATTCTGTTGCAGGATATAATTGATATATTGTACTGAATGTATGTTAAATTATTTGTAGCTCGGGCTGAGATTGGAGAGTTTATTGAGTACGACCTGGACAACGAGGATGAAGATTGGCTTCAAGAGTTCAACAATGAAAGAAAGATTCTTCAACCTGAAAAGTAATAATATCATATACGATTCCTATATCTGTTTCACGTCTGACAAATTTCATGGTCATTTTGAGTTGCTTGAGGATCATTATAATATCATTATGCTAAAAGATTGCTAGAGTTGTTACACCTTTATTACCTATGATATGGAAAATATGTGAAGTTGCTATAGGCTTTTGTTGCCATGTCTTGATTAAAAAATGAGCTTTTATTTGTAGAAGTTGAAGCACGCTCAATTGGGTATTTACAATAAGTTTTCTTGTTTTCTAGTTTGATATATGCTGCATGTGCAATTTTTGCTTGCACAAACATTGCTTTCTAAAAACTGATTTTCATTTTTTAATGGCACTTAGATGTAATTTCTTTTGAAGGTGTTGGGAGTCATACGTGAAGAGATTAGGGATGTGTTATTCACTTCTGTATTAGACTTTAGAAGTTATTTTTGGTTCTACATAGTAAGATCAATTTAATATGGTTGGAACATTGAAATGATAAAAAAATGCTAACCAATAAATATAAAACATGGAGTTAAAGCAAAACTAAATTTGTTGCAGCTTTGACGTGTATCCGAATCCTTTTTAGATGTAAATGAGATTTTCTTTTTTCAAATAAGAAAACAAAATGTATAAATGAGCTATAAAAACTGCACAGAACTGCTTCTCGTAGTATGATATTTGACTACCAAAACTGTGTGCTTATAACACTACACAACGACCTCTCGTCTTATCCTCAAATGCTGATTATTTGTACCGATCAATTGCTTTTACTTATTTACTCTTAGTCTACTTTATTGTACTACCACTCGCCCTTCTTGATATATTAGTAACTCTTCATAGTATAGAATTGAAAAGTTTTATCGCACAAGGTCAAAAATTTCCCAATGCAGAAGAATATAGCATACTCATTTTATTGATCATACTCATTTTATGGATCATATATATGCTGATCATCGATATCAAATTTAATAAATTCTCTTTGCTTTATGATTGACATTTTTCTTTCAATTTTCCTGAGAAAGAAAAAATTCTGTGTACATTATATAATGCATTTCCATGAGTTTGGATTGAAGTTGATTATTAGAAGTTCTATAATCACCTTTAAGTGATAAATATTGGTTTTTTACCTATAAAAAAGGGTTCCATTTAAAAATAAATAAATAAATTCTGTTATTTTTACTGAATTTTGTTTTCCAAAAAAATAAATAATTATATAATTCTCTCCCAGGACTGAAATTTGTGCTACACTACTTCGGCTGTTGTGTTGCTTTGTTGTTGTTATTATTACTATTATTTATTTGGGGAAGGAGGGGGGTTTGGGTTGGGTTAAGCCGGGGAAAAGTTAAGCCGTTGGATTGTAATATCTCATATCGTAGGCCTTTATTAAATTTAGGGTAACATTGGGTTAGCATAACCTAGCCTGTTCTTTATACCATCATGTCGAAAAGGATTGGGATTCAATCATTTCTTCGCTCCACAAAAAGTTCCTACAAAATCCCAGGTCCACTCTCAGGGTTGTTTCGAGGTTAGGTCCTTTTTTAAGTGCCTCTCGATTGATTCTGGAGGCCCTTTCCCTTGGAAGTCTATTTGGCGATCTAAGGCCCCCCTTAAGGTTGCATTTTTTGCTTGGACTTCCGTCCTGGGCAAGATTTTAACCCAAGATAATTTGAGGAGGAGGAATCAGGTGGTGGTCAATCATTGTTATATGTGCTTGTGCGATGAGGAGACGGTTGACCACCTTCTTTTGCACTGCAGCATGGCCAGAGACTGTTGGGATTTGATGCTTGGATTATTTGGGATCCATTGGGTTATGCCTTGTTCCTCTAGAGGATTGATCGAGGCTTGGAGAGATGTCTCTGTTGGGGTTCTCATTCATGAGGCTTGGAGGGCTACGCCTCTTTGTATTTGGTGGTGCATTTGGCTCGAGCGAAATAGGAGATATTTTGATGGAAAGAAGAAATCTATTTCTACGCTTAAGTTCTCTATTATGTCCACTCTTTTTTGTTGGGTTTTAGGGAGAGATTATAGATCTATTGAGGAGATTATTGTATTTTTGGCCTCTTTGAAGGTTTAAGGACCTTGTGGCCCTTTTGTTTCCATGGGTTCCGCTCCCCTTTTTGAGTGTTTTTTATAAAATCTTACTTTTCAAAAAAAAAAAAAGAAAAGTTTGGACATGTGGAAAAGCTATCAACATACAATCCCTTATAATATGAGAAAGGCTTTTGCTTGCTGCATTGCTAAAATGCTTGGTTTGTCTACCACTTCGTCAATGTCAAAGAGGGGCTTGTTTGTGCCTTGTATCAGGAATCCAAATCCCTATTACATACATGGATCTGTGATGTGACTACCTGGCAGAGGTTGTGATGACCTTTTGTGGATCCCCTCCACTCATGGTAGATATGGAGTACGATCCATGTTCTTGTGTTTGTCTAATTTTGCTGGCCAAGATTTCCCATGGAAGTCTATTTGGCGCTCTAAAGCTCCTCTTAGAGTCACATTCTTTGTTTGGACTGCTACCTGGGGAAAGATTTTGACATTGGTTAATCTGCGAAAGAGAGGCAATACCATTGTTAACTAGTGGTGCCTATGTAAAACAGACGGTGAGTCCGTGGATCACATTCTTATGCATTGTCCTGTGGCGTATGATTGTTGGAATCTCATATTTAGTATTTTTGGCGTTCAGTGGGTAATGTCTAATCAATGCTTGGAGAAGATGCCCTGTTAAAGGTCATGCTTGTGATTTTTGGAGGATCGTCCCACACTGTGTTTGGTGGTGTATTTGGAGAGAGAAATAACAGAAATTTTGAAGGAAAGGCAATCATCTCTTGCAAACTTAAAATCTCATATTCTTCGTTCTCTTTTCTGTTATGTAAGAGGCAGTGCTTGCTCCTCGATTGATGATTTGTTTGATCTATTGGACTATGTTGGTCTTTAGGTTTTTCGTTTTTGTGTATTAGGGACGCGTTCCCCTTTTTAACGTTTTTCTAATATATTTTACTTATCAAAAAAAAAAAAAAAAGGTCTTCATTGGAGTAGATTAATACCATTTGGTATTTATTTACTTATCAGAAAAAAGACCTGTTGTTTTTAGTAGCTCTAGAATGGTTGATTCTTTTGAGCGTTTTTAATAAAATCTTACTTATCAAAAAAAAAAAAATAGAATGGTTGACTCTTGAATCAGTGAAAGTTTTTATGTTTCTGTATTTTGAGTCCTGGTCCTAGTGGAAGTAGAAGATGTTCAAGATTCTATAAACATCTACATACTCTTTTAGTTCCATTGAGAGCTGAGTTTGGAGATTTGAAGATTGTGTTTTGCATGATGCAACTTATTAGTCACAAACCTAGTTGATGGATCCCAAGTGATTCTAGGTGAAAATCCTCATAAATCTTCTTCTTCTTTTCATTCCAAACCTCTACTCTCACAATCCTATCCTTTTCCCATACCCTCTTAGCCTTCAGTGTAACCCTCAAGAGTCAAAACCCTAAAGTACTTCCTATCTACAATTTCCAAGTAAATGATTTTCTGAAATCCAATAAGCCATTACATGCAAAACCAATCAAATACCATCATTTTCATCGAAAAAGCCCATAACCATTATTCTTCTTTTTAAAACCTTCAAGTAAGCTTTTCATAACCTTAGCTTATCAGAAAGCTAGTCATAGGCATCAATATTTTAAATTTTAAATGTTCCCCTGGACCCCTACATTATTCTGGTGTCAGAACTCATGGGGGATTATTTCTTTGCCCTTCTCTTTCATCACCCAGTCTAATTAAGTGTTAATTTATCCACAATCCTTGCATTAAATGTTATCGAAGCAATGATTGTCTTTGTGATTCCGGAAATTGAGAGTAGATTTGATGGTCTAGCCCATTGAAATATTGTGTATATTTCAAAGGGGCTAAACTACTTCTTCTCTTTATTAAACTTCACTTTTACTACTGTTTACTGGTATATTTGTTTGATGGAAATTTTCTATTGCAAAATTCAATAAAATCGAATTGATGCTAACCCTTTGGAGAATGACATGCTTAGTTATGGTCTGGATGCTGTTTGGTCACCTTTACTCATCATAGTACACATTGTTATTGCTCTGAGATCAGTATATCACAGTCAGACTTTGCACCAAGATAGAATGCTATTCTATCGTTCTTCCCAAGTGTGATGTTGTGCCCAAATTTGGGTGCTGGGTCGCAACTACCCTGTTTTTGTTTGTGGGTTAGTACGCTCTTGTAGCCCGACATATAAGGGCGTTTAGGGTTTGAATGGGACATTGAGAGATATTGAAAAATCAGAAAAGAGAGCGAGAGTGAGAGCTAGGGTTTGGAGGCTGAAACTTGTAATCTCTAGATTTTCGGATAGTGAGTTCTTTCTCCGGATCTTAACCGTGGATGTAGCCTTTGCCAAACCATATAAATTTTTGTGTTCTTTGTGTGACATGTTTATTTTTCTGTCGTGTTTCTTGATTGTTTCTTCGGTTCGTTGCGTTTGTCGTAACACCAAGTTCCATTATTTTTTATCTATTATAGTTACAGTTTTTTGTTGCATTTTAATTTATTTTTTTGTTGGTATACCTTCTGGTTTCACTTATATGTAGTTTCTTTTGTTGCTTTTACTCATCTATGACTGCTTGTTGATGCAGGCTTGAGACTATCTTGTTTAAACTAGAGGTATTGGATCATAAGGCCCGGGAACGAGCAGGAGTTATAACTCCTACTCTTGGTGGACCTATTCCTGTACTTCTACAGCTTGATGCTGCTATTGAGGTGAAAGTTACTCCCTTACTTGGTTGCAGAAATAATTATGTACGCTTGTTGGCACCCACTTTAAATATTGTGCACTCAATAGCTACTAATTTCCTTTTAAAATGGAATAAGCTCTTTTCTTCTTCTTCTTTTTTTTTTTTTTTTTTTTTTTTTCTTTCCTTTTTGTTTTTAATGGAAAAAGTTAATTTGTACCTATTCAATTACTTGTGATTGTTAGGTTCACAGTGGATCGTGGAGTTCATGCCTTATTAACATAAGCTATATGTTTATTTATTTTGTTTTCTAAATTGTCTACTCACAAAACTCTATCAACTCAACAAAGGAAAGTGTCTGTGGAGTTGTAGTTCCTTTGCTGAATGGTAAAATTAATTTTTTTGGAAAATAAATTGTTGGTTAGTGACAAATTATAGGTGCAATTACTTTGTGATGGTAAAGCGCTTGAGTATACAGAGTTTGAGGGTAGTCACTTTGTGCAAATAATGTTAAGAGGTCAGATCAATATGCAATGCACTCCTGATACCCTGCATTGGTGGGACCAAAACTAGGTAATGGATTTTGACACTTTTGGGAGAAAAAAGGTTGAGTTCTTGGCTTCTAGTTGGGCTTCGTTGTATGAAGGGTTGAGAAGTGCCTTTGATATTATTTTGGTTTGATTGGAGGACAACTTCCTCTTTGATAGCTCAAAACTAAAACAATAGCCGATCAGAAGTCTCCTTATTGTTGTATGCTTAAGTTCAATTTTGATGGTTATTCCTGTATACACACACAAATTTGATTATGTCTTTTTCTTCTTCTTAGACACACATGAATTTGATTATGGCTTTCTTCTTCTTCTGCTTCTTCAAGTTGGTGCTATTAAAGCAAATGTTGGTACCCTTTTAAATGCCTCGATGAAGGTGTGCCGTCAGTTTGAGGCAAGATCATCATTGGTTGGGTTAAAAGTAAGGGTATTGAAAGTTTTTGATATGCTTACCCATGAATCAAGTCAGGGATGTTCTGATGTCTGTTGTCATGCTCAACTCATAATAACTATCCTCACTAATTTTAATAGAAAGGGTCATTGCTTGAGTCAATGGTAAAAGTTCATGCTGAGAAGTGTGGGGATGCATGCTTGAGCCTGACAGCAGTCACTTTGTGCAAAATAATGTCAAGGTAAGATTTGTTTCCAGTCCTCCCCTCCTAGCATACTGTGTAGCCAGGGCTGGTACTGGCTAATGGCCTTTTAGGGGATTGATTCTCCTATTTTATTGCCTACTTTAGGTATGTTTGTTAAAGTGAATTTGTTCTATGGAATGAAATATCTAGATAATCTCTTTTGGCAATATATGTGTATTCTCTGCACTTGGGTGCTTGTTATGGAAAATCTGGTTTTGTTAGATTCAGTTCTTCACCCCCACCCCCCCCCCCCCCCCCCCCCCCCGCGCGGGCTCTCTCTCTCTCTCTCTCACACACACACAAATGTTAGAATCAGTTGTTTGTATAACAGGGGTTGATTAATATTTATTTGTTTCCTTGAAATGCCAGTCTCTACAAGACCTATCCATAAAATATGGAGTTTTCCAATCTATATATGGTTATTGGAGAGAAAAGGTACGCATTAATGACCATATAAAGCTTTTATGGTTTCATGAAAGATATTGCATCTTTGGTAGGGAATAATTCTGCTGCTATAATTAAATTTTCTGCAGTATGTAGTATGCTTTGTGTATCTTGGAAAATTTAAAATTATCAAAGAACAATGGTAACATTTTTTGATATATATACTTAAAAAAAAAAAACTTTTTGATATTTATAAATAATACTGAATGCGGCATTATATGGTCCACTAGTGCTACTTTGTTAAAAATTGTTTTTTATTTCATTACGTGAGTTGTTATAATTGTTTTAACCCTATATTTTCCCCCACATTTTTTCCTGTCAGCGTGAACGATGGCAAAAACCTGTTTTACGGCGTTTGCAGGTTAGTTCCATTGCTTGGTTATAGTTATTCCTTTCTAAGGTGTTTTGTCTTGTACATTTTCTGATAAAAATTGTCGAAGCGCTTGTTTGAAAAAGTGTGGTTTCATCACATCATTCTATTATTTTTTAAATATTTAACTACCATAAAATTCATTTGGTGAATCCAATTTGATACCCCTTTTCTTTGCACCTCTTTTTAATCTTCCTTCTGCCTCCCGATGATTTAAAGTTTGGATGACTAGCTGCATAGTTTAATGAAGACTTCACTAAAGAAAAGTGAAATCAACTGTTGCTAATCTTACAAGTGGCTTTTTATAATTATTGTTGATTCTATAGGATAGGTGTTCATTTCCAGCTATTTAACTTCTTTCTTTCTCCCCTGATTGCTAAATGTCATTTAGTGCTCAAACTCATTAATAAAACATTTTCCACAATGAATTGATTTGGTTATTGGAATCCTATCTTGCATTCTGCTCTATCCAGGGCTATGCTTTTTGTTCCTTTTTAATTGCCTTGAGTCATAACCCTTTTTGTCTTCCCCTTGTCCTTGGGACTTCTTGACCCGTTCAGCATGTGACTCCTCGCTAATGCAACTACTAAATTTTATTGTAAATGGACAAATAATCTCAATCAGTTTTCTCTTATCTCGTTTATGTTGTTATAAGCATTCTAATTGGGGCTTTAAGTTGGTAGAAACGATCAAGCAGTACTCCCCACGATTCCGATCCAGAGTATGCTCCTATCCACCGATTCAGTAAATAATTATCAGGAACGAAGTAATCCTCTATTTAATTTTTTTTATAGCCCCCTTTTTCTGAGAAAGGAGAATAGTAACGGGAAAAAAAATAAAATAAAAGATGAGATCAATTCAGAAGCACTTTTTATTTATTTATTATAAATAGAGCAGACAGAATGCCATTGGTCTAATACGGGACCTTACGATAGATTTTTTTGACTCTATCTATCCTACAAACATATGAAGATAAATAATATTGAATAGGTCCTTATGAGGTGAAAATCTCATGTACAGATATGTACATTTTAGACATTTTCCTAATAGCATTGTTGTTTTAATTACCCAAAAAAATTTCCATGAAAAAATTGTGGATCTCATAATAGTCTTATAAAGCCTCAAATTGTTTTGATTAGTCTCACATGGACTGGCGACTGCATAACCCTCTGAAAGAATTCCATTTCATCCATTTTGTTTTGGAAATATAATTTTTTTCTTTAGTTATATCTTATGGAATTGAGCCCAGGTAACAAATTCTAAAAGTTGCCTCTAGCTTTAATTTTTTGAACTTCTGTTTTTCATATTTAAAAGTTACTTTTGATTCCAAAGGTTGCCTTGGTGTTGTCATATCGATCAGTATGTCGACACAAATCACATGAAATGGCTTTTTTGGCATGAATCTGCATGATTTTTAACTTTTTCCTTCTCCAATTATTCCCTGGGGAAGGGGATTTGTTTAAGATGTCTGAAGAACTAGCATGTACCGATGGGAACTGCCACCTATCAATGTCTTCCATGATAATTTCATTTACATCTCTCACTAAAATACCCTTTAAAACCTCGTATTTTTCCTGATAAGTACCCTTAAGACTCACTTATGAGGGATATAATTCTCCTGTAAAATTCAGAAAACTGGTTTCTCTTCTCAAAATATTAGTGTGTTAAACATCATTTGAACTTCATGGAGGCATTCTAGCAGAGCAAGATCTTTGGTTTGACTCAAATTCATCCTGATTTCCTGTTATGTTAATGCACTTGAGTGTGATCTGGGATGGGAAGAGAGAGGAAGAAAGAACTGAATTACTATAGTAGCCTCTAATAGTGCCTTATAGTCCCCAATTGGTTAGGATTACCAAGAGAAACCATTGAAATTTAGTTTTATTCTCTCTTTAGGAGGGGGATCCCGTGAACAGGAAGGTATTGTCTTTAGAGTACCATCGTAGTGAACTGATATCCGATGGAGAGGTCAGGTTTAGAGGAACTGCTGCAAACTCTCTTGTTACTGAGACCCTTAGAGAAGTTAAAAATAAGATCTTGTTACATGTAGCAACTATTTTTTTCTTGCTTCTCCTAAAATATTTTGCACTATATACATATATAGAGGTCCATTTTGAGGAGGTGCACAATAAGCATTTTGGAGGACAGAGTATAGGTGCGCTTGAGTGGAAAAAAGAAAAAACTTATAGTAATCTTCACACTTTCAATTTAGCCCCACTTGTCACTTTATCTTCTTTCTTTGCATATTTATATGATTCAGCTATTAACATTTGGATGTGTATAAACTTCTCGGATTAAGTTATTACCATTTGCATGAAAAGCTTTTACTTAATTGTTCTTGATGGTCAGCTAACAACTCTCTCAACTACATTTGTTCTTGCAGCCTCCTCCACCAGTTAATGATACCAATCCATATAACGTATTTAGGCCAAGGGAGAAAGCCCATAGACTTCACACAAGGAGGGTAGGTGGTTGACTTGGTTTATGAATGGATTTTACCTCTTTTTTAAGTGGATAATTCCCTGTGAAATTTTAATTTGTTAATGGCAGGAGTATCATATTATTTGATGTTTTATCTGCTTGCTGTTCTATTATTTAGATGCAAAGGAGGGAAAACAACGTGCAATCATTTGAAAAGCTTCGCCAGGTGAGAACCCCTTACACTTCAACTTGTCAGTTCATGTGCTGGCTTTGACCTTATGTTTTTAATAGGACTTCTGAAACACACAACTCTCTGAAATTAAAGAATGATTATTCATGAATTGTGAACTTATTATGTTTATTTATTAAATGTGAAATTCTTTCTGGCTGAGAGCTACTGCCATTCTTATTCTTATTTTTTCCTTAGCAGTTATATACTCCCTCCCTCCCCCCTCTCCTTTATTTTTTCCACTGCCTAATAATGGTGAATTAGGGTAATGGGGTCTCACATGCTATAAGTGATATATATATATTTTCTGTAACAGTTTCTTATTCTTAATTGTACTACTTTAAAATATTTAGTACTTGCTTGTATAGAAACTGTTTCTAAATTATATCAATTTTATCTTCTTTTGCTAAGTTAAACTTTGGCTATATGATTGCTGATTAGCAAGATAGTCAGCTAGATACGTATCATTTACCTATTATTGGCACCATATGCTTATGATACTTATGCTATGATCTGAATCATTCTAGCAAAAACTTAAATTAACCTGTCTCTCTTGTTTCTTTTGCAAGGGTGGGGTTGGGTTGGGTTGGGTTTTGGGGGACACCACGATTGCTGATTAGCAAGATAATCAGCTAGATACATATCATTTACCTATTATTGGCACCATATGATGATGATACCTATGCTAGTATGATCTGAATTGTTCGATCAAAAACTCAATCTAATCTTTCCCCTGTGGGTTGGGTTGGGTTCGGTTTGGGGGATACTCCTATTGCGTCAGTAATTGAATAATGAATAATGATTGTAATCTTTGTTGAGATGGTTGACATGTCGACGTGATCAAGATCAAGGTACTTATTTCAGATGGTCCATTGGGCTTCTAGAACCCCCACCCCACCCCCCAAATAATAATAATAATAAAAGAAAAGAAAAAGGAAAAAGGAAAGAAAACAAATATGGCCTGATTTATAATATGCTAACTTATTTAAATTTTATGCTTTTGTCAAGAATTTGAATGAGCCTAGATTGGGTTGAATTTATGGGTTATATAGTGCTGGGTGTATTCATAAATATTGGGCATGGGTTTTGCTTTGGATTCCTAGTTATTTCCAAAATAAGGTTGCTTAGGGGGTGAAGTAACTTAAGTTAGAGGACATATAATCTGAAAAACTTAATTTCTGAGTGTGTGTCGTGGTGTGCACACGAGCACACACATGCTACAATGGAATATAGTATAGAAGGTTTTTGAAGAACAAAATTTCAAATTGGTGGTTTGTTTTATGCTCTATCACATGGATTCTTCAAAAGTAGTGAAGTACCCGTGTCGGACGCATGTCCCTTAGACATGGGTATGAGATATGTGTCCGATTCTTTTGGTTGGACATGTACTTTAAAAGCATAGCCAATCATTCAATTACATTATATTATTACTTTAAAATGAGTTAAATGCCTATATTGAACATTATATTAGATAAAAACGGTACTTTACTCTAGAAAATAAAATAATTAATAAAATGAATATTTAGCCGTGTCCGTATGTCCTTCTGTTTAGAGATTTGACACGTCCGACTCATGGATGCACACCCGTGTTCGACACCCGTACCCGAGTCCATGTAACATAGGTTTTATGTCCCTATTTCATCTTTCCTGAGGTCTGTCATCAAGCCCCGCGATATTCAAGCTTTTTATTGCTGGAAGTTATAAGATCTGTTCTACAACCATATTTGCAAATTTTCGGCATTGATTCAAATTTACATGAGTCAACCTTTGATTGTAGGACTGGATTCCCTACTCTTTGCTAAGGGAATACATTGCATAGATGCACATTTCCACACTTTTATGCAAGTTAGAGTTTATGTCCATACCAGGTCTTAGTTCTTGCAACTTGTGGTTTCTAGTACGCAAATTGTGATGTCACAAGACCAAACTATTGTCTGAACTTTGACCTTTTTGAGTGTTACTGAACTTAGAACTTTTCTACCTCTGGTTTTCACCTCCTAGCACCCTGCATAGGTGGGACCAGCTCTAGATAATGGCTTTGCCTTTCATTGTTACAGTCCCTTCCCCAATCCTTGGAATAAGCATTTCTATGGTATGATAGGTGTTTCCCTCAAGTGACTTCAGGCTGTCTAATGGTAGGAATGCACATCCTACGCAAATTAAATTAGGAAAATGAAATGATCATTATGTGTAATCATGCTGTCAACATAGTAACTGTGACGACCTCTATGAGCGGGTGCGAGACACTAGACGAGCTACTGCACTGGTAGACTACAAGGTGTCATGATCCCACATCGCCTAGGGAATGTGAAGTGCTATAGGTAAGGTTCAACAACCTTCTATCACACAACGCGTTTTAAAGCCGTGATGGCCGTGAACCCACCAGAACTATAAAGTTAAGCGTGCTTACTTTGGAGTAGTACCAAGATGGATGACCCCCTGGGAAGTCTTTGGTCTGAGGGAGCCAAAAGTGGACAATATTGTGTTTGGATAGGGTGAGGGCTGTTATAAATGGTATTAAAGCTAGCGCCCAGCCTGAAGTGTGGCCAACAAGGACGTTGGGCCCCCACGAGGGGTGATTGTGACCTATGTTATCCGGATTCGGGTACGGGTGTCGGACACGGGTATATGTCTAGGGGTCGGATCCATCTATCTATCAAATTATTGGATACGGGGACATAAAATAAAAGTGTCCAAAACTCGGACACGGGTATTTGGACATTTTATATATGTTGTAAAGGAGAAATATTACTCTGTCACTTGTATAACTTTTATGCTTCATTTGGTTGGAGAGATTGAAAAATGGATGGAAGGGAAGGTGTCTCCCCATTTTTTGTTTGGTTGAATGGAATGGATAGTAGAAAAGATGGATGGGGTGATACTTTTTTTTGTTTGGTTGGAAGGAAGGGAAATAACGGATTTATATTTTTTTACCAATATACCCTCACTGTTTAAAATAATAAAATTTAGATATCCATTTGAATTTTTTTGAAAAGGTTAAAATTGAAAATTGTATATTTGTAAGCAGTTATTCATTTTCTCTCTCCTCCTTTCCTCCTAAAATTGGGCGGATAGCAAAACAGGAAGAAAGGAGGGATGCTGCATCCCTCCTTGCTTCATTCTCCTCTTCCCTTCCCTCCAACCAAACACGAAAAGTTTCATCCATCCCCTCCTCTTATCCACCCCTCCTCAATCCTTCCCTCTAATCAAACATAGCATTAATATTGCACCAGTTAAATTTATATTTTGACGAAGTTTACTTTTTTCTCTTTTATCAAAGCAAGCACGCGAAATAGCGTCAAATAGAAAGTACAATTTTTGGCAGCCACATCGTCTTATATCCTAATTATGTGGGATGTCCGTTGGATCTCTTTGTTGGCCTCTCAGGTTGGGCGTTTCTCGGCTTCCTGTGTTCTATTCATGGTGGAGGATGGCTTTCGATGGGTTTTTTCTGGAGTCTATGGGCCTACGGAGGATTGTGATAGCCAGTTGCTCTTGGAGGAGCTGGGGGAGATTCGCAGGCGATGGTTGCTGCCTTGGTGTATCGGGGGGAATTTCAATGTTGTACGTTCCCCTTTTGAGAGATTGACAGGGGGCAGATGGATAGCTGATATGATGGCTTTCTCAGAGTTTATTGATGCTTGCTGTTTGCTTGATTTGCCTTTGGTGGGTGGGCCTTTCACTTGGTCCAGTGGATGTTCTCCTCCTACTCTTTCCCGTCTTGATAGATTCTTGGTGTCGAGTGATTGGGAGGAGAAGTTTTCTGATGTAGTTTAGACCACCTTGGCTCGTCCTTTGTTTGATCATATTCCGTTGTTGTTGGACTGTGGCGGGCTGCGTAGCAGAAGATCCCCATTTATATTTGAGAATATGTGGCTCCAGGCTGAAGGTTTTTTGGAGCGAGTCTGATCCTGGTGGGTGGGGTATGGAGTGGTTGGCACTCCAAGTCATTTTTTGGCAGGCAAGTTGCGTTTTTTAAAGAATGATCTCAAAGTCTGGAACAAAGAGGTGTTTGGTAATTTGGTCTGGAGAAAGAATTGAGTTCTCTCTGTGATTGTTGACATTGATAAGATGGAGAGTCAGGGTCTTTTGACGGGTCCTTTGAAGCTTAGGAGGGTGGAGTGCCAAGCAGAGTTTGCTGAGATTGCTGTCATGGAGGAGATTTCATGGAGACAGAAATCTAGAACTTTGTGGCTTAAGGAAGGTGACAATAACACTAAATTCTTTCATAGACTTGCCAATGCTCATAGAAGGGGCAACCACATTGGGAGGATAAGGGTGGATGGGGTGTTGGTTAGTAAAGAGGAGGAGATTTGTAAGAGTTTTTCCGAGTACTTTTCGAAGTTGTTCACTGAGTCAGTCGATTGGCGTCCTTTGCTTGATGGGCTTTTATTTGATTCTATTTCGGGAGAGGAGTGCTCTGTTTTGGAAGAGCCTTTTTCAGAAGAGGAAGTTCTCTCTGCTTTGAAGAGCTGTAATGGGGATAAAGCTCCTGGACCTGATGGTTTTACTATGAGGTTCCTTTTGGAGTGTTGGGAGGTGGTCCGTGAGGAGCTGATAGGCTCTTTTCATGCCTTCCATGTGCAGGGCTCTTTTGAGAAAAGTTTGAATGCAACTTTTATTGCTCTTATTCCGAAGAAGGGAGAGGCAATGGATGTTAGAGACTTCCGCCCTATTAGTTTGGTGAGATGTTTTTACAAGTTGATTGCGAAAGTCTTGGCCTCTAAGTTGAAGAAGGTGATGGATGGTGTCGTTTCTGACTCTCAGAATGTATTTGTGGGAGGTCGGCAGGTTTTGGATTCAGTTCTTATTGCTTGTGAATGTGTTGATTCCCGCTTGAGCAGCGGTGTTCCGGGTGTTCTTTGCAAGCTAGATATTGAAAAGGCATACGATCACGTGAGCTGGAGTTTCCTTCTCTACCTGTTAGAGAGGATGGGTTTTGGTGGGAGGTGGAGGAGATGGATTCTTTTTTGCATCTCTAGCGCTCGTTTCTCTAT